ATATAATAAAATAATTAAGGCCCTCCGCACAACCAAAAATATTAAATATTAAATATTAAATATTAAACAGGAGAAAGAGAAAAGATCTTTTCCATCTTTCATTTCTGTAATATTCAATATTTAATATTTTACTTATTGCGCGCAGGGCCTTAATTGCATCATAAAAACGATAAAATCGACGTTCAAATATTCGTACACCGGCGAGTGCCTACGAAAAAAAAAAAAGAAGCATGCTTGTTCACATCACATCGTGAACAAGCATGCGCGGCAAAACGACGCGTAGATTCATCCCTTCCGTTTCCCTGGTTCCGGAAGGGCGAGAATTTTAATGGCCGCCGCGCGAGTCACGTGTCCCTCGCGCCAACCATCGGCGTCGCGTATCCAGAAGAAGAGCTGCGCGGGACGCTTTTACCGCGTCCTGCGACCTGCGAGTGCGAGGGCCCCATAATTCGCGAGGCAGGCATCGTCGCGGTGCGTGTTCGATGTGTTTTGCGGGTTTGGTTATATATGTAAATCTCCGTACAAATCCCGCCATCTCCCGCAGCTGTGGTCGCGCGGCTAGTTAATGTCGACGGGGACGATCAACAAAAACTGAGGCTACCTGTGGCTATCGTCTCCGCCGTATATCTACGCGTCAACACACAGAAATCATGGCAAACGTGTCGCTTGACAAAGATATGTTTTTTCGGCGCATGAAGCGTCTTTACGCCGCGTGGAAGTAAGCGTTGCCGCGTATGTGGTTGTATGCGCGCGGGAGATGCACGTGTTTTCACGCGGTGTTCCCCGGGTCCTCCCGGCGAGCGGAGTTTCTCCGTACTTATTTCCAAATCTTTTGCTCTCGATAGGATGGCGAAGTCGGCACGGATGACAGTTTCGGGAAAATGGATTGTCTCGTTTCCGCTGTCGGCTCCGACGAAGACATCGTTTACAGCAAGTCCATAGCGTTGCAAGTATGTATATTTCGCGGAGACGGAGTATTTCAAATTCTAACTGTAGATCTTATATTCATTTCATACACACAAGTCAGAAATCTGTCAATTATATGTACACCGATATTCTGATTTTTGGAAGAATATTTGTTCTGCTTTTATCCAATATATTCAGATCATAGACAAGATATATTGTACAATTGTATAAAAAGTAAGTGATGAATAAACTCTTGGACATGTTTATAATCGAGATAAATTGTATTTTTCATCAAATAGGAAATAAGTAATTTAATTGTATAAATTTTTTCAGACATGGCTGCTCAGCTACGAACTTACGGATACGATAATGATTTTGACGGAGGAGTCTATTAATTTCTTGGCCAGCAAGAAGAAAATTGAATTTTTAAGGAAAGTGGAAAATCAGAAAACTGAAGATACAGAAGTACCAGCTGTAAAGTTATTTGTTAGGGACAGAGTATGTATATTGCACAATTTATATAAAAGATTTCATTACCAACATTGTCAGCTTGATGCTAGCAATATTTGAATTAAAGAGCGATGAAGATAAAGCAAACTTTGGAAAACTCATTGAAGTGATGAAACAAAGCAAAAGGGCAAAACTTTGGGAGTATTTTTGAAGGAGAATTATCCTGGTGCTTTTATGGATGCCTGGAGAGCTGCTTTAAAAAATGAATCTTTTGATACAGTAAGCAAAATATAATATTTGCCAGATAAAAGATGATACATTATAAATATATATAACTTTAAAATTTAGGTTGATGTAAGTGCTGCGGCTGCTTATGTTATGTGTCCAAAAGAAGACAGCGAAATACTTACTATAAAAAAGCATGTCTTGTATCAGTAGATGTTTTCACAAAGTATCTGAAAGATCAGATAATGGAGATTATAGATTCTGACAAGGTACATTTTTTCATTCGATGCATGTGAGAGTATAACTAAATTTACAAAATAAGGAAGAATATAGAAAAATATTTGTCTATTTCAGAAAGTTAAACATTCAAAATTGGCAGAAGGTGTAGATACAGCCATCACAAATAAGAAATATGTAAGTGGAGTAGATATTACACAAGTTGATATGTGTTACCCTGCCATTATACAAAGTGGTGGAAATTATTCACTCAAGTTCAGTGCTGTTAGTGACAAAAATACTACTCTTCACTTTGGTGTTATTGTTTGTTCATTGGGAGCACGTTATAAGTCCTATTGTTCAAATATAGTAAGAACTTTGTTGGTTAATCCCACAAAGACAATTGAGGTATGTGAAAGACGAAAATTATTTAATAATAATACATGTGTTTTTATATTATAAAAATTTTTATAGAACCAATTTATAGAAATTCTTTGTTATAATTTATAATACATTTTTTTTTACAGGAAAATTATAATTTTTTGCTACAACTTGAAGAAGAGATCTTAAAAAAGTTAGTTGCAGGAACAAAATAAGTGAAGTATACGAGGCTGGTATTAAATTTGTAAAAATGAGAAATCAGAAATGATAAATCATTTGACCAAGAATTTTGGATTTGCTATGGGAATTGAATTTAAAGAAAGTTCTTTGCTCTTGGGTCCAAAGACTAATGCAGTAGCTAAGAAGGGCATGGTTTTCAATGTTAATGTTGGTCTTGCAAATCTTATCAATTCAGATGCGACAGATAAAGAGGGAAAACATACGCCCTTTTCATAGGCGATACAGTTATGGTGAACGAAGGGCAACCTGCTACTAATTTGACTCCATCAAAAAAGAAAGTGAAAAATATAGGTATATACGTGAAAGATGACGAAGATGAGGAGGAAGAGGGAAGTGGAAAAGAAAACGAGCCAAAGCCAGAGATCCTCGGACGTGGAAAAAGAACGGCTGTCATAGAATCTAAATTGAGAACGGAACATAGCTCGGAAGAGAAGAGGAAGCAACATCAGAAAGAATTAGCTCAACAGTTGAATGAAATCGCTAAGGCTCGATTGGCTCAACAATCTGGCGGTAAAGAACAGGAAAAAATACGAAAATCCACGGTGTCTTACAAAAGTTTGAACCATATGCCACGTGAACCAGAGGTCAAGGAGTTAAAATTATACGTGGATAAGAAGTATGAGACTGTGATTTTACCTATTTCTGGTATTCCAGTACCCTTCCACATATCGACAATTAAGAACATTTCACAGTCGGTAGAGGGAGATTATACGTACCTTAGAATAAACTTTTTTCACCCTGGTGCAACGATGGGACGAAACGAAGGTGGATCTTATCCTCAGCCCGATGCGACGTTTGTTAAAGAAGTAACATATCGAAGCACAAATACCAAAGAGCCCGGTGAGATCTCTGCACCGTCGTCAAATTTAAATACAGCCTTTAGACTAATTAAAGAGGTTCAGAAGAAGTTTAAAAATCGAGAAGCGGAAGAAAGAGAGAAGGAAGATCTCGTCAAACAAGATACTTTAATATTGTCACAGAATAAAGGCAATCCAAAGTTGAAAGATCTGTACATTCGACCAAATATTGTTACAAAGAGAATGACGGGTGGTTTAGAAGCGCACACAAATGGATTCCGATATACTTCGGTCCGCGGTGATAAAGTGGACATTCTTTATAATAACATTAAGAACGCCTTCTTCCAACCATGTGATGGTGAAATGATTATATTGCTTCATTTTCATTTAAAGGTATGTATGAAAAATTAATAAAAGAAATGTTTTTTAATTTATAAAAATTTCATTGTCTGTATAACTATATTATAAATGTTTATTATATTTTCAGCATGCTATTATGTTCGGTAAAAAGAAACATGTAGATGTACAGTTTTACACTGAAGTTGGAGAAATTACTACAGATTTAGGTAAACATCAACATATGCACGATCGCGACGATCTTGCTGCTGAACAGTCGGAACGAGAATTGAGACATAAATTAAAAACTGCTTTTAGAAGTTTCTGTGAAAAAGTATGCATTTTATTATATATATATATATAAATTTATAAATTATTAGGTTTACATTTAATTATACTAATGTATTGTATCTATGTGTTTTTAAAGGTTGAAGGAATGACAAAGCAAGAGATTGAATTTGATACTCCATTTCGGGACTTGGGCTTTCCTGGTGCACCATATAGGAGCACTGTCTTGCTTCAACCAACTAGTGGATGTTTGGTTAATCTCACAGAATGGGTAATGCATATAAATTGTGATGAAACAAAATCATTTTAAAACAAAGCAAATTATACATTATATGTTACATTGAATTTCAGCCTCCCTTTGTCATTACATTGGAAGATGTTGAATTAGTTCATTTTGAAAGGGTACAATTCCATTTGAAGAACTTTGACATGATTTTTGTCTTCAAAGATTATCACAGAAAGGTAGCGATGGTAAATGCCATTCCTATGAATATGCTCGATCATGTTAAGGAATGGTTGAAGTAAGTAATACTATATTATTTAAGAGTTAATTTTCAATATTAAAAGTTATAGCATATACATATGATATATTATTATAATTATTACATTTATCTTGCTTCTTTTAGCTCATGTGATATTCGATATTCGGAAGGCGTTCAGTCTTTGAATTGGACCAAGATTATGAAGACTATAACAGATGATCCTGAAGGATTCTTTGATAGTGGAGGATGGACTTTCTTAGACCCTGAAAGTGATGCAGAAAATGAAGAAGTTGAAGATGAAGAAGAAGAAGAAGATGATGCATATGAGGTTCGAGATATTTTATAGGTTTTCTAAAAACTCAAGAACAATAAATATATTTTAATTGTGATTAATCTGTTTGCAGCCATCCGATATAGAAAGTGAGGAAGAATCTGATGATGATAGTGAATATTCTGAAGCTTCCGAAGACAGTGACAGTGAAGGTATTACTATTCCTAAATTATATTAATTGTTTTTTTTATTATTTAATTTATTCTATTTTTGTTTGGTGTATTTTTTAGAGGAAGAATTAGGCAGCTCTGAAGAATCGGGTAAAGATTGGTCAGATTTAGAACGAGAAGCTGCTGAAGAGGATAAAGAAAGAGGAGAGGATCGTTACCGTGATGATTATAGCGCCAGCAAAAAGAAAAAATCAAATCGAAGACAATCTCCATCTCCTTCAAAAGACAGGTATTATTATGTATATACAGAGTGTTGAAAAAAGGGTGAAATATTTTAAAGGGATTTAGTATGCCCAAAAAGAAAATAAGTCGAAAAGTTAAGTATTAAAGGTCTATTTACACATATCCGTGACGTATCAGTATCGTATCCGTTCAGTGATTTTCTGTATTCAGATCGGAATACGGTACTGTGCCGAATATGTGTGAACACATTCATCTAAAAGCAAAGAAATGATATTTATTTCATTCATACTGACGGAAAATCACGGAACTGAATGGGTCTGATACGTCATGGATATGTGTAAATAAACCTTAAGTTTTTATAAATGTGGATTCGCAAATAAATTGTTTTTGAGATATTTTTTATATACTTTTTTATTTATTTTAAATTTTTATTTTTATTATGTTAACTTTTATTTTTTTATTATTTTATTCATTGTGAATATAGATAAATTAAATTAAATTATAGATAAGTTATGAGATATGGCAAATACCTAAAAAATGACTTATTTGCGGATCCATGTTTATTAAGATTTTTTAAGCATACTTATTTTTGAGGCATACTAAATCTCCTTAAAATATTTTACCTTTTTTCCAACATTCTGTATATTTGATATTTTAGTCGATTTTATCTATTAAACATTGTAAATATATTTTTTTTTGTTTGTAAGGCGGAATAATTCTAAGCACAAGAGTTCCTCGAGTTCAAAGAGCAAAAGTTCGTCCAGCAGTAAGGATAAACGATCACCGGACAAACATAGGTAAATATGATTTATTGTACATTAAAAATAATATATCCCTAATGTAAAGTTCAAGTTTCCATTTTATGAAATGGTATTGAGTTTTGTGCTTCGATAATTTAAAGAACGGATCGATCACGGAGTGGGGGCTCACACAAGAAGGGGTCTCCTTCCAAATCATCCAAACACAGGTGATTACCGTTAAGTTTGATTTTTTTAATGTCACTATAATTTAAAAATTTGTTTGTTTAGCCCCAAGAAAAATGACAAGCATGATAAGCGCGATAAAAGTAAGTCGTCACATTCTTCGTCCAGTAAGAAACGCCCCCGTGATGACAGTTCGGAAAGAAACAATAGGTCATCTAAGAAATCTAGGTAAGTAATTATTAGTACATTCATTATAAATATTTATATACTCCTTTTTAATTACTAAATATTTATAGAAAGTAAATACAAAGGATCTGCGCACTGAAAGGGAAGCACACAGAAAATCACAACAAATACCATGCTGATTCTAAGTAAAGCTTTCTTACTTAAGATGTAGAAATTAGCTGATCCATAAAAATAGTACATTTTCTTGCATTGAGCGATCAGGAGCGAATTAATTATTTTCTTTTTTCGAATTCTTAAATATTTAATTTTTCGTATATATTTCATTTAATTTAATATGCAATGAATTCATACATATATTTTAACAGTGATAAATACATACATTAACACGCATCTTGCAACTATATTTCAAGTGTACATAAGAATAAAATTATAAAAATTAATTCTAAAAATTTTAAATCTATTGAAATGCCTATACATTGCATTTCAGTCTTATTTAGCATTTCTTGAAAAAATATACTAAAAAGAATTTTGTTTTATAACTTTTGTGTTTTCGGTAATGTAGTTTCTAAGCTTAAGTATATATGTATATCTCATTCCATTTCTCATTCAGTAATGTAAGGATCGCGTTATAAAAAAATACATGTTTTAATAAGTTTTCAACAACACGTATATAATGTATAAAGATAATAGATGAACGGAATAAATTCAAAGTACCTCCTTTTTCCAAAAGGCATTATCTGAAAAGTTTACCTATGATCTATATATTTTATATTTTCAAATCAATGAAAAATATTCAAATTTCGTATCTGTATTGGTAAGACACATGATGTAACATAAATATGGCAGCATCACAGCACAAGCATTTCTAATTCGTAGATTGTGAACTATAAGAAAATAATGATAGAAATATGCAAGACAATGTACTAACAACAAATGCGATTCATCATACATGTGAGTCCCAATAGAGAACTTTTCTTGGCACTTACTAAAAATTTGAAGTTTCTTTGCATAATATTTTAAAGCATTTTTCTTTTTATTGGATTTATAGTTTTTTAATCCGTGAAAACATTACAAAATACTCTAGTTTTTTTAAAGAAAATGTTTTATTTAACTGTTCTTATCTTCTTTGATTATTCAGAGATAATGGAAATACATTCGCAGTTTCCCTTGTCGTGCATATGTATGCTGAAAAAACAAAGGGCTTATTAATTTGAAAAAAAAAAAAAAATGAATTGAATGTTGTCCAAAACTCATTTTGCCTAGTTCTCAGAGATTTGTACACTTAACGAATTAAAATCGCTTTTAAGTTATTTATCATTAATGTACAAATGTCATTTGTGGTTTTTATATATTTCAAAATGTATGTAATGTTAATACATGAAAATGACTGTTTTTATTAAAACGCCCTACTTACTCGCGAAAAAAATTATTATACAATAATATTATTATATAGATTAACAGGATATATATATATATATATATATATATATATATATATATATATATATATTTGTATGTGTGAGAGATTACAGAGAAAATGAGACAGGAGATACATCATCTCTATAAGGTAACTATATTTTTATTAAACTTTTGTAACACAGTAAGGTGATCCAGCTGTATATTGTTATAATGTTATATAACGTTACATTGTTATATAACGACTTCTCTGATAGATTTACCTCATTTACACGCACGAACGGCTGTATAAATGAAAGAAAGTGAAAGTGAAAAAAAATATATAAATATAAATCAAGACTTTTCGTTCAGTATGGATATGTATTATAAGAGACAATAAAATTAGCAGAGAACAGAAAAATGAAAAATGATCTCGTAATCTCGTCGTGCCTTGATTAAATACAAATTTCCGTGACACGTGTAGTAAACGGCAGAACAGAAGAGTTGTTCAGTAACATGATGAATAGAAGAAGTGAAAGTATGCTTCTTTAACGAGCACTGCAACTTTCTCTACGATATACATCGCTAGTGTGTAGCTATACATAATTCAAACTAAGTAATCTTTACAAGAATGTGTTTATTTTAGTGAAGACATAAAATACTGCGCATTTCCATATATGTCAATTTCAATGCAAAATATAATTTCGAGGCTATTAATACAGTAATGAAATTGTTAAGAGCAAGTACGCAAATCATATTTTGCTATAAAATACATTTTAGCATTTTATATTTTTCTACGCACACATTGTTAATACATTATCAATAAGCTGTTCTTTATTCATGAATTCACATAATCGTAAGTAGGTGATGCGCACAAACTCTTAAGAGTTGTTTTCCTCATATATTTATTTACGAAAAGTAAAAGGCCTTACATATCGAAAAAAAATTTTACGAGATACAAAAGCAAGGTACAAAAACGGGATTGTACATTTATAAATATTTCTACAAGTACAAAGGATAGGAGACAGAGTATGATTATTTTTTTACACGACGACGATGATGATGACGATGATTGTACGAATCTAATTTCGCCCTATTTGATCAATCTGGGTCTGAAGATTGTTCACCACTTCGGGTGGCACATGTTCGCCCAAGATCTCGAAGAGATTGATTCTCTGATCGCCGGGGATCGATTCGTAAGCGGCCAATTCGATGCCTTCTTGGACCTTCTGTATAGTCGCGTCTTTAGGAATGAGATAGGTATTCTGAGCCTGTCGTATCGCTTCATTGCTGAATATTTGCCCGTCTTTCTGCGGATATGCTAAGATCACGTCCGCCAGAAATAACACGGCTAATATTGTTATGTAAAACTTCATCTGAAAATAAGCAAGAAAAATATGTCATTAAAAAGAATATCTCAAAAATTAAAGTTTACATATTTAAATTTTAAAATATTTAAATAACCACGGGCAGTAAAAACTTCGGTTCGAATTTACATATACATATAACAATCGAAAGATTTCGTAATCTTCTATCACGTAAGATCCATAATTATTGTGTTACCCAGATTTTTTTTTTTTTTTTTTTTTTTTTACGCAGCGATTGCACGAGATGTCTTGGGAATATCGTTTAAATATAAGATTATCACGTAAATATAAGGTAATGGATGTTGACTGAAACAAGAGTTGTTGGTATCAAAAGTGAAGATGCTGAGTGATGGTCCGATCTCTCCTTAATAGTCGAGGTCATGGAATTGGAACAATGTTTAAGGAAAACTTTGTCACGTCTTAATACGCAATAAGGAGCGTAAACAAAAAAACTTTGAATGATAAAAAATCGATGACAAAAGTAACATTTTATTTAGAAAATATCAAATTTGAAATTAATATTTCTGATTAGCAAATGATACAAAAATTTGCAATTTGTTAATCATGCTTTAGAGTGTATAAACATCTTGCGCAGAAATGATTAGGCCAGAAAAAAATATATATATGAGAATGAATTTAATTAAGTAGATATGCATGAATTTTGTTGAAAAATAAGATTCATTTTTCTGGGCAAGATTTTTTCTGCCACGTGATACTTACGTTGAGAGCGGTGCTTCACAATCGGTTATTCCAGAATGAAACTGAGCGCGCGGCAACGGAGGTTGCTTTTATACCGCAGATGCAAGGTAGAACGGTGAACGGTCACTCCCATCCTCCTCGAGGAAGATTCACCGTCCACGTTGCGTTTGTAACTAACTATAGATGATGAAGTACTCGAACAAAATATACGTATATATTCCTGTTATGTATTTTAAGGAACGGAAGAAATCTTGAAAATTATATGATAGTGAACGATGAAATATGGAGAAGAAAAAGAATGTAGTATGGAGAAAATATAGTTCAGAAAACTTTATCATTCAGAAATTGTTTTATGTCATATTAAATAATATTAAATATACCGCATTATGGAATGTTCTTATATATTTAAGATATTTTATTTATATCTTAATTATTTACGAAATTATTATTTTATGACGCAGAGACTATACTTATATTGCAACTTTTTGTATATATAGAACGTATCATTTATGCAAATTAAGCGAAAAATAAATTGTTGAAGAACAATAACGATAAAATATCGGTGCTACAAATTAAACCATTTCACTTCGTACATTCTCGAGGAACGTCGTACGACCTGTTGTGAATATCAGTGCCCCATTGACCAATATACGGTACAGACAAGATTTGCTGTTGCCCATATTGGCGCTGAAGAGTTTCACTTTTATGAATATGTTTCTCTCTCTTGAATTTTGAAACTGTTTCACAATATCGTCATCAGATATTCCTAATATTGGATGAGCAATAGTATTTCTATACATATATTAATCTACCGCGCTTAAAAAGAGCCTTCAAAAAACAAATTACGATTATAAAATAAAATCCATATGAATTTATGTGAAAATTTTCTCCGTAATTTTATTTCAATATCTCTTCTTTCTTTATTATACTAAAAATTCATGTTCAAAATTCAAAATAGAAACAATAAGAGAATGATAAAGATTTTTGAGCTACGAAGTGAAATTTTGAATTTTTATCGCTTGCAAAATATTATCATTCAACAATAAGTTTACCACAAATTTATCGAGAATTTTTCCTTCTTGGAAAATAAATTGTTCTCTAAGGATAGAGAGATATGATTACTTTTTCAAGTAAAATATTCCCTTGATACGGTGTTAGCTGCAAAATTAAATAGTTTGGAGGTCTGTAAACTCTGTCGAAATTTTTCATCATATACTTTTCATTTTTTAAATCGATATTGCACTTACACGTATTTTGTTTTTATGGTAAATATTATTTACGCAAACTTTTCTTGAAATATAATGTGTACAGAACTGACCTTGATAATTTCCTCCGGGTTCCAGATAACGAAATTGCGTCCATTTCTTCTCTCAGATTTACCTTTGCAATCTTCGAGACCGCATAATTTCGTAGATTGGCTGCTCAATAATTTTGAGATATCGGTAAATGATATGTCTCTCGTTCTCGCGGCTGTCCATATCAGCGCAATAATCCTGTAAAACACATATTTGTTTTTTTAATGCTTCTCATATTATTTTCTGATAAATCTTCCCATTTTACAATTTATTTTTATATCAACAACCGAATTGCAACGAAGAGATTCCATCCCAAGCGGTTAAAACATTTTCACGAATTATATTAATCACTTTGTTTCGGAGAACATTTTCAAATACTATTTAAGAAATTTAACTATCAAGGGACGAACATATATATTTTTGAGATTGAAATTGTCAAAGAAGCTTAATATAACAATAGATAAGAAGTTTTGTTTATATGTATAATTATACTCGATTATTATTTTTTCTGATCGAACAACATTTAAATTCAGTAAAACCTTCCGGTATCTTCTCTGCGACGAGTACTAAATAATGATGGCACGTTTCCACGATTAAAGGTGCACCGCGCGAGTCTTAGCATCGTTTATTAATGCCAAACACTCCGCACTTGACAAATACACTATGTGGCATTGCTAGAAAGTTTTATGCAACATTATTTTTACAAAAAGCACTGGAATGAATAATGAATCTCTTATTTAAATTTTGTACGTCAATCGCAGATTAATTTTATGCCATCAAATTCCATGCGATCAAGTCGAGAATGTAAAAAAGTGTCGTACAAGTTTAGATAATTTAAAAATACGAAAAAAAACTGTATGATCTTGCAGCAAGGATAAAAATTTACACGTATTCATGATGGATTCATTCTTTCATTCTGTTCGCATTCTGCGTGAAATTGCATTACGATTAATGATTACGATGAACGTAATATGTAACAAAAATATACGAATGATGTACCGCTAATGCGGTTTTTTTATAGACAGTAGATCCAATTAAAGTCTTCTCATCATTCACAGAGACACGGAAATTCACGGCAACTACTATAAAAAAATAATGTATAGACTGTAGTTATTTCTCGTTCACGGTCTTATTATTTTCATGGTGTCCTCTATTATTTGTCTGCCTTGAAAGAAATTCTATTCGTGTCATGCTATATCATTGCTATAGCAAATAGCACCCTGAAATAATATCCACGAAATACTATTTCAGATCAATGAATCGAAAGTAACGATCTATCTTTTTCTGAGATATCTCCGTTACATTAATAAAAGTAATTGGTGTACGTATTATTTCTAATTAGTAGGGTAACTTACTTTAGCAAATTGAGATATCGAACTGCTTACTTATTTTACAATTTATTCTTAAAATAAAGTTATTTTAAAAACTTTAAAAATAACTAGAGATTTACAACTTGTAGAAAAGATTGCGTAACGAAAATTGATGATATATGTCACTTGTATCGTAACTCTTAAACGGAAAATAAATGACAGAGTTATATCAGCATATATTTCACGAGAGTATAAAAATAAAATATTTTTGTTACACTCGTTTCTTTCAGTGATAGTTTCTTTCAAAGTAAAGTAATCGACATCGATTTAAAAAATGAAAAGTATATGATAAAGATTTTGACAGAGTTTACAAGCCTCTGAACTATTTAATTTTACAACTAACACCGTATATCAAGGGAATATTTTTACTTTGATTTAAATTTGTTTTTACAAATTTAATAGCAATTATCAATATAAATTATTATCTATTACAGATAAAACACAATGATTTATTAAAAGTAACGCGCATTAAACATTTTAAACATAAAATTGCATTTGATCACTAAAATGGTAAGACAGTGCATAAGGTTTCGTTCTCACTCACGCTATAATTTCTCGTATAGCATCTATTTTTCTGCGTCACGCAATACCACTTTGTACATGTAAGTGTTATGCTGAAAAAAATATGCGACAAATGCTACTTGAGATAGTGCGAGAGTGCGAGAATACCAATTTGACTTTAGGACAGATATATTGTTACGGAGATAGCTATTTCGTATTTGATGATTCCTAATACTTAATAATTTTCGAAGAACTTGGCAAAGAAACCGAACAGTATACGTGCAGCCTGAGTCACTTGTACTACAGTTCTCGAGCAAAAAGCTAGGATATAGACTACAGACCATGCTGGTACATGTTCTGCGAGAATACAATGTTAATAAAATATTTTTGTCGCACTTAGGCCTCTGGCCGTTCCAAAGTAAGCTTGTCAGAAATTTCTTGCCGATCTTTTGTCTCGTGCTCGAAATTAGTTACTTTCCATTCGAGGTAATCAGTCAGTCAAGGATGTGCTTATAGGATTTTAGCGTACCATTATAAGTGTTCTATTACTATAATTGAGAATTTAGTGAGCCTCTCATTGTAAACATCTAAATTTCGAACTAGTCTCATTTTTCATCGAAACTGATTGTGCACAAGATACATTTTTTTAAATGCGATATCAAGTAATTAAATAAATTTCAAATCGAGATTTTTATTTTGAAACTCCCTCTGACCTCTCTAAAGAAACGTAGATGAGAAAATGACGATATTATTCTCGTCTATGATTCTTTAAGAGAGTTGGAGTGATTTTAGAACAAAAATCTCAAATTAAAGCTTATTTAATTACTTGGTATCACGTTAAAAAAATTTGTGTTCTCTACACAACTAATCAGTTTTAATGAAAAATTAATTTTCCTTGAAATTCACGGACTATTATCCATATCATATGGCTCTTACTAGGCCGTTGAAATTTATGCAAATTTGTGTTCTGATTTACGATTAATATTACACACAGATATTAATATTATACGATCATCAAGATGATGCGCAAATGGTTTTCGAAGGTTTCTATCAACTGGTCATATCGACTGCCTTTCTAGTACGGCTGTGGAATGAAATTTGGAATCGCGACAAGGTAAGTTTTCTAAAGCAACGAGATTTTTCCAAACGTTTTTATTTTTATTTTCTCAATCACTATCTTGGAAAGAGATTTTCTTTGATATAGACGTTGTTGTTACGATCAGTTTCAATGTTTGTACGAGGCCATGAACGATCACTGGAATATATTCACAAACGATTTAGAAGTTCGAATTCTGAAAGAATATTCCACCATATCACGAAAGTTTACGATATTTTATTCAAGTGAGTTTTAAATTTTTTTCGATGAAATTAAAGATGATTTCTCCAAACATAATTTTGGTTAAATTATTATGTAAGGTACGAAGAATATACATATATATTTTTTAATTTTACAGTTACGATGTATCTTCTGAGTTCAATGTTTATAGTGATCCCGTTGTCATCGGTGTTCTTAGATATCGTGATGCCTCTTAATGAATCGCGTCCGCGAATTTTGGCGATCGACGTCGAATTTAGAGTAGACGTTAACGAATACTTCATGCCACTTTTTTGTTACACCACTGCAATCATTGTGGTGGGTATGAGCATTATGGTGGCTGCCGACACAATGCATTTCACATGCACTACTCATGCGTGTAGCTTGTTCTCAATTATCGGGTAAGTGTATACGATACCTGGAGCTCTATTTTCAGAGGGTATTTCGTTAAAATCACGAGTTATTTTACAGTAAGCAAATTGAAAATATTGCGTTGGAACGAGATGTGGAAATATGTGGTGGTTCCGCGAGTAAGGAGCTTAAGTTGTCGGATGAGCAGGCGATTTATCAGAAGTACATTATATGTTTAAAAAAATATCAGCTTGCATTAAAGTAAGCCACTTTGACAAATCTTTTTTTTTTGCATATATGATGCGTTAAATTAATACAAGATTATTATTGTTGTCGCTATTATTGTGATTCTTAGGTTTGTCAATATACTAAATTCAACGCACCAAACTGTTGCAGTGTTCTTTTTATTATTGATTGGTGCAACCTTAAGTCTGATTGGAGTTCGAGTAAGTATTAACTATTTATTTCTCAATAAGATTCATCGTTATTTCTTAACAAGAAAGCAAAAATAAATAGCAGATATGCATTTTTTAAATTAATTCTCATTAAATTATATAAAAAATTGTATAAATTGTGTGAATAATATTTTTGACATTAATATTATAGATTGTCTATGTCTTAAATCAAATGGAAGAAATGATTAGATTTACGTTTATAATCATGGGAGCGTTATTACAATTGATGATAATGTGTTACTCTGGTCAGAAGTTAATGGATGAAAGTCAGAATATATTCTACCGAGCGTAATATAATTTTATTTTATACTCTCAAATATATTTATATGCAAATGCGACTTTAAAATAGTTAATAGTTTTCGATAAAATAATACTTCAAATAATAAATTAAGTTTTAAATCACACTTAAAATGTTATAATATTAATGATTTTTCATTCGTAAAAGAAAAAATGTAATATAAAGATGTTTATATTTTTCAGATACGCGGCCAAATGGTATATATATTCGCCGAGGCTAAAATCGCTGTTAATTACAACATTTTATCGGAGTTATACACCGTGTTGTTTGACGGCAGGTAAACTAGTTCCGTTGTCGATGACAACTTATGCCGCGGTAAGTATAAGATCTCGAAAATTTATTACAACTTACAATACTGAAAAAAAATAGTTAACTTGACTAAACCGTTCAACTAAATTGTTATTTTGTTAATTGAACATATAATTCAATTATCAAATAAATAATATTTAGTTGAGCGTTATAATCAAGTTAACAAATTTTTTTCAGTGAATGTACATGTAAATTTATTACAATGAAAACGATATGTAAAACATGCATTTTTTATTTAAGGTAATACGAGCGGGTATGTCTTACTTTACGGCATTCTTATCGATCAAAGAATAATTAATTTCGAGCGACTCAAATGATTTTTTCGAACGAATCTTTCATATAGTTACTGTAATTATTCTTCGAAGATAATTTTTGTATTTTATATATATAAAGTATATTTCATGTGTTTGTCTAAATATTCAAAAATTATATTTAAAATTATATTTAAAAATTTATCTCGCGCCTGAGAAAAGAGTTTCACGAACTGATATCTGTTTTCGCATTATTCCTTGAAGATAATTTACATAATGCACATAAGAGTATATTTTACATGTTGTGTGTTCAAATATTTGAAAAAATTATATAAAAAATCGCTTTGTAACATACCTGATTTCCTGGTGTTACACCCCAGAAGGCAACCTCTACAAATATTTTCGCTTCCTTCGCCTTAACTTGAGATTGTCTATAAGGCAATGGTAGGCGGAATAGAATTCCTATAACATATGAGAGATAAACAATGTAAGTATAAAGATGATTTTCTAGTGTTTATATAAACGACGGAAGGGGAAGAATAAAGATCGTTACAAAGGCATATATCCACGATCCATGTAGCAGTGTGAAATCCTTCCTATTCAATTCTATCGCGTTCGTTTACACGTACGTGGGAGTCTATTATTCCGAGCATTAACACCAACGAGCCGAAAAAATCGTTAAATTAAATTCCGAGATATTTCTAAAAAGCATTTCGCGATTCGCATTTATTTATTTCCCCATCCCAAGTAATTTCCGACAAATATCTTATAACATCTTCATCATATATTTCCCATTTTCTGCTTACTTATATTGTATATGTGTTGTATACGCTATTTGCGAAGACTGTTCTTTGAAAAAAGTGTAGATTTACAAATTTCCTTGACGATACATTTCGCGTCTAGGAAATAGTTTAAAGATTGATCTTCTACCAAGAATAAAATATAGTAGTTCGGGATAATGATGTGTTACATCATGTAAAAAGAAATGATTAAATATTGATAAGAATAGGGAAGCGAACAGATGCATAAATTATATACGCACATTCGAAGACGATCGTATCTACATTTATCAGTGTTCGAGCTAAAAAAAATGTAGCAATAGAATAGGAGAAAAGGGTCGTTGATAATAGATTGAAGAAAAAAAAACCGGAGATCTCCTCATCAGAACTACCGCGTCACGTGGCATGAAATTGTCATTCTGAAAAGACAGTGCAAGAAATTGCATTTCAGAGAGAACTAGATACTAAATTTTGATGATACATAAGTGACCACGAGCGGATGATATATCTGACATCCCGCAATTTTCCAATTCTTCCGACATCTCTATAATTTTACGATTCTCGGATCTCCTGCAAAGATCGATCGACACGCGCACGCAGAACGTACTTCTTCATTTCTATCGTAACAAGCAGAAGCGAATCATGCTGGTGAATGTACTTCGAGAGTATAATGTCAATAGAATATTTTTGTCGTGCCTAGGTCTTTGGCCATTTCAACGTAAGCTCACGAGATATTTATTGCCAATACTCTGCTTTATAATCGAAATAAGTTACTTGCCGTTCGAGGTAATACGATTGATTTGAATTTCAGTTTGTCTTTAAAAACTTCTATTATGCTAAATATAATTCTTTACTATATGTATATTTTGTTTTAATATATATTTTCGGATTACAATATAATTAAATCGCAGATAGTAACATTGTACATACATAGAAATGATGGACAAATGATCTTTGAATGTCTGTATCAAATGGTTGTAACGCTGGCGTTCCTTGTAAAATTATTCAATCAGCTTTGGTATCGTAATAAGGTAAATTTTCAAATACAACAATATCATTGTCCAGTGTTAATTTTATGCTTAAGTTTGATTAAAAAGTGAAATGTACTTTTCTCTCTTTATATTTGCATATTTATATATGTAATATATGTGTGTATGTTTAAATCGTTTTTGCACGTCTTTTATAATCAGTTTCGACGTTTATACGAAACTATGGAAAACCATTGGAATATATTTACGAATGATTTCGAAGTTCGAGTTATAAAAAGTTATTCTGTCATATCACAGAAATTTGCAATATCTTATCTCAGTAAGTGATATTACATTATAAAAAAAAGAAATTATGTATATATTAATATATACAGATGTATAATTGATCGATACATTTTATGTATAAAAATATTATCCAAAGAATAATATTTAACATTAATAAATTTGCAGCATTCCTTTACGTTATGGTGTTAATGTTTGTCACAATACCTTCATTCGGACCGAAGCTTCTTGATATTGTGCTACCTCTTAATGAATCGCGCCCCGTACACTTGGCAATTTATGCTGAATATGGGGTAGATCAAGATAAGTATTTTATGGCAATATTTTCGTACACCACTATTATGATCGCAGTGGGTATAACTATTATGGTGGCTGTTGATACTATGCATGTCACGTGCACCGCGCATGCATGTGGTTTATTCCAAGTTATCGGGTAAGAATACGATATAAATGTGCGGATAAAAAAGATTCGTTCGACAGATCCTTTCGCGAATTATCACGAGAATCTCATTACAGTCAACAAATTGAAAATATAATATCGAACGTGAACGGCGAGACTAAAAATCACGCAAATGCGGAGTACGAATTACTCAATGAGAAAATGATATATCGAGAATACATTGTGTGCTTGAAGAAACATCAACTTGCTTTAGAGTAAGCATGAGTGTCTCCGTGTTTAATCTTTTGCATGAACTCGCCACAGATGATCTAGTAAAAAAAGAATGTGATTAATTAAAGTCATCATTATTTTGTAGGTATGTCGATATATTGAACGACACGCATAAGATTGTGGGAATCAGCTTCTCATTATTTATTGGCGCGGTTTTCAGTCTGATTGGAGTTCGCGTAAGTGTTAAATAAATATTCATACGTATCGCAGGACATATTTTTTAAATTATCGGCATTGTTATGTGTCGACATTATTATGTAAAAATTTCGTGAAATTATAATTATATTTCAGAGATGGGACGTGGATATATGTATAACACTTTTGATATATAATGTATATTATAGATCGTCTATGTGTTAGACCAAGTGGAAGAAATAATTAGATACTTCTTTATAATCTCGGGAGCATTGGTGCAACTGATGATCGTGTGTTATTCCGGCCAAAAATTAATGGACGAAAGTCAGAATATATTTCACCGAGCGTAATAATAATTTTTATATTCTTATATATGTATATATATATTTATATTTGTATTAGATCCCGCATTTCAGAAAATCAGCTTATCAAAAATATTTCAAAATTATGATTTATAAATTTCGAATGTTCTAAATTTCTATGCTTTGTAAATCGATTTTGGAGTTTTTCTTATAAAATAGAGTCGTTGATTTAAAAAATTGTAATATTATTTATATGTAAAAAATATCTAAAATATTAATAATTATAAATTCAATTTCGACATAAAAAAATATTTTACAATATTTCCTGGTTTGCATGAAATCGCGATCTTGATGAAAATTTTATATAAAATAATTTTAAAAATATCTTTTCACACAGATATGCAGCGGAATGGTATAAATTCTCACCAAGATTAAAATCATTGTTAATTATAACTCTTTACAGAAGTGTTGTACCATGCAAATTAACAGCAGGTAATTTGTTTCCATTATCGATGACACTCTACGCCGTGGTAAGTACGAAAATCTGGAAAAAATTATTTTACAAAATACATATATTGGAAATGATTTATGTGTTTTTGTTCGATTTAAGGTGGTGAAAACGGGAGTATCTTATTTCACGGCATTCTTGTCATTTAAAGATAATTCTGAAACATAAAAACGTTTAAAGACTCCTTCATCGATACGTCTTCAACTCGAGCGCCAATAAACTATAGATAAAAATAAAAAATTTACATACTGTAGTTTATATGGACAAAATTATATTTATTTAAAAAAAAGGTATATTTTTATATTTAACAACATCACATTTATTATTAAATATACAGTTTGTAATAATATCGGAGCCGATACGACTATAATCGATATCACAGCATTTTGCAGGTAGACATTCATAATGTCAATCTCTTAATAAATAACTTAATAAGGATTATTAATTATTGTAGTAACGATACGCGATTAATGACTTATGCGTTTTCGAACAAAACTAGCTTTTTTTTTTAATTTTCGCGTAGTTCGATTTACACAATAATACGTTTTTAAGTAAAAACATATGTCAAATCCCCCACGATGCTGTTAAGTCAAACCATATTCCAAGTTGTTAGCATACTATATCTAACAGGACATGGTTATAAAGCTGTGTAATATTATTATTGCGCTAACTATTCTATTTCCTTAATTAACATCTCTAACGTTAAAGTATAACGTTTATATATAAATAGATGTATTTTTGAAATGCAAATATTTCAATAGCAATATATAATTCAATTTTCTCTAATTTCTTCCTTTTTCTGAAACAGAATAAGTTAATTAAATGTGCAACACATACATAAATGCAAATAAACGCTGACTATTGTCATCTCTGAGTTTTTGCTTAGAGATTTCAATGAGACTAAATGTTCTTATTTGTCAAAAAAATCTGTTAGAAAAAGAAGCCATGATTACGAATATTAGTGAAAATAATTAATTGCTATCACAATTATGGTTCGATTATGGTGTATACATATATATATATACTTTTGCATATAAAAGATTATTGGAAATATATTAAGATGTTAATCTAGTTATATGTCAAATATTTCGAATGCACAATATCAATAATTTAATTTTGTTGAAATATAAATTATTAATTTAATACAGAGATCCTAAGGAAAATTGTATTTGAAAAAAAAAGTTTTCGAAACAATTATATATCTACAATAATGAGATTAATTCGATAACGATGGTAATGGCAATAGTTTCATTCGTCGGTGGACTTCGTTAATTTGTTGAGGCAATCATACGATTTTGATTGCGTGACATATCTGCAACAGAGAAAAAATCTTCGTTAGATGTCATATAATTATAATTATTAATTAACGGCGCTGAAAGCAAGAAGCAAATAAAGAGATAGTGAGATATGGTTGTTAATAGAGCGAAGCAAAAACTAACCGGCGCGTATATTAATAGTTAAATATCGCATTACTCTAAACTGCATGGTTTGTGTGAGACAACCGTTTATGCGCCGGGTCTCTTCGGGCGACGTGAAGTATCAAATTCCCGGCTTTGGCGTTCTTGAACATCTGCAACGCCTTGGCATGTGTCAGGCCGTCTAACGAGGAGCCGTTAATAGCTAGAATTTCGTCCCCCGCTCTCAGAGTACCTTTAACAATATTACAAGTAAACCAATGGAAATTATTTCCTCCACGTTATATTACATCATTATATCTTCCTATTTTTATTTTTACATCAATCTTGATATTTTGCGGTAAAACCGCACATTAATATCTCGATAGAAGAAATACAATACCTTCCTCCGCAGCTTGTCCATCGGGCATAATATCTTTCACAAAGATACCCATGCGCCCTTTATTGCTGTCCACACCACCGACGATGGAGAAGCCCAATTTCTTCGGCGCACCCTTCGTCAATATGATCGTCAGCAGATCCATGGCTAAACTGGAGCCTCGTTGAACGGCGCGAGTTTCGGCGCTTCGTTTCTTCACGATCTGGAACTTCTTCATCCCCGTTATTTTCCGGCCAGTCGTGTCGTCGAGATATGCGCTCGCATCGGAAGTGCGGTTTGTCGGAGACGAAGCACGGGAAGTCGGGTGAAATTCGGTTCTTTGGTTCCTTGAGATCCACGAGTCGGGATCGCTTCGTGTACGCGTCAAGACGTCGCCCCAGGTGTCGCCGATTTTCTTCGGCTCTCTCGCTACCTGAAGCTCGACCGTGCCGACGCAGCTTCGCAAGGCGTTTCGCGCCTCCGCCATCGACATACCTCGTATCCTACGTCCGCAGATTCGGACGATCTCATCGCCGATACGAAATTGCTTCGATCTAGCCGCCTCGCCGTTTGGCTCCATCTTGGCGATCACGTAAAACGGTCTGGCCGCCTCGCGTCGCTCCACCGAAATACCAAGACCCATCGTATGGCTCATTGTGAGCTTCATCGTTTTCAATTCGCGTCGTACTAGAGTTTTACCGACAGCCTTGGAAACTGTGTTGGGAAGCGTGAACTCGTTCAACGTCAACACTCTCTTCGCTGCATTCCTCGTCACGTCCGTTGTATCGAGCTCCAGACTGGAACGTGATCTCTTCGGGCTGTAATATTGTAGCGGATTAGTCATTTCAGATAAAGAACAGATTTTGTTAGCCGGTGGACTGTCGTTACACGTAGGCGCGACGTGATCTAAAAGATGTAACACGCTCGGACTGGAACACTTGCGATTTTTATATTTCTTGTCTTTCAGTAAATTCGGAAATTTAACCATTTGAGGTACATGGTTTGCTGCAACAGATTTTTTCTCGACTTTCGTTTTGGCATCATCAATGCCGTGCATATCAGCATCGTCAGGAGCGTCGTCATATTGTGTCAGAGTAATGTCGGGATCATTACTCTCCGTCGTTTCAGGTCGTTTCGTTGAATCCTCGCTAAGCGGAGCCGCGGAAGACGCTGCTATCATTAGATCCTTGTAACATTGCGGAAACAGTTCCGCCTCCCTCTTAGAATAAGTTCTCGTCAAGTCTGGTTGATATTCAAAAAAATCGGCGAAAGTATCATCGTCACAGCTATCCGTGTCGTCGTCCGACATCAACATGGTAGTTTGAGTCACAGTCGAATCATTGAAGGAAGCGTTGCTTGTCGCGGCATCGACGATCTCGTCGACTTTTTCGACCGTTGAGGTTTTCGATGAATTTGACTTGATCGTCGCGCCTTTTTTCCGCGAGGCATCGCCGAGGAACGATGATAGCGACAAGCCGCGATAATCGTCAGACGTTACCGAGGAACTTCGTGGTTTCATCGTCGAAGGTACCGCTAATTTTTCGCTGTCTGGCGAATCCGCGCCGGTCCGGGTACTATCAGAATCGTAGCCACTTTCGTCGCAACCTATTCGCAGATTGCTCAGTAGATCTTCCAAACCGGTCAGCGGGACGGAGGATTCGTGGGAATGACAAACGTTTTCTTTGACTTCGTTACCGGAAGTAGACTGATGATCAGACATTCGCGTCGAGACGTTCTTCGGTCTTTCCGTAGACGAACGATTGGAGATTCGCTTCGAATTCGTTCGAGCATTCTCCAGGGTTTCTCTTACGAACGTGTCGCCTTGTCGCGTCTTCAGGATCTCCTGATTCTTGAGTATGTAATCTAAGACTCGCCGCTGCTCTTGAAGATCCTGAATGCTACGACTAAGTTGCAACTTCTTTTGACGAAGAAACGTTTCTCGAGTGATCCCAGCGAATTCGCGATCGTCCATAATCTCGGAGCAGACACCTCGAAGAGGAGTTTTCCTGATCGCTCCTTCGCTCAGAGTCTTCTCCATCGGGCAGTGTCTGATATCGATGATGTCCTCCTCTTGTATCGTCACATTTCTCGCAGAATTTTTGGGGTTGAAGGAATGATCGCTGCTGGTCTTAAAGAAATTTCTCAACGATTCCACCCTGGGAATTCTCTTTGTTCTCAGGAACTCGCTATTACCCTAAAAATGTTCGGAATTATTCAGAAAGATTACATCTTCCGTGTAAACGAGAGACTTTATATTGGATCAACATCTTAGCTGAAGTGATTACAACGCGTATTTTATTATTATATGTTACATTTTCTTTCTCGTTCAAGGTTTCGTCGTAGCTGCTCTTCCGATGCGGGCTCCATCGTCGTCGTCGTCGAGATACTGAAAGTAATTCGGAACTATCTGATCTCTTCATTTGATCCCATCTCCGACCCATCTTTCGCCCCCAAGTTGAAATTCCTTTTACGCAAAGGTGCAAGATTCGATTTTAACATGTCAATCAAAATCAATTCCTTTATTATTATACTGTTTATTATACAATAAAGTAATACAGTTGTTGTAAAGTGCGCACTCACTAATATTATCAATATTATAAGTAATTTGTTATACATTCCTACCTTTACGAGTCAGAATAGAAGAATCCATCGGTTCCTTTTGCGCGTCGACATCTTTAATTGGAAGAATATCTTCTAATTTTTCGTCTGACTTTGATTTTTTCTCCGGTCTCTCAGACGCATTACTTTCGACAGTAGGTGCAATATCTTGGGAGATAGATACAGCCGAAACAAGCTGAGGACTTGTATCGGCTGTATGACGTTTGAAAAGACGCATCGTTCAAATGTACTGCAAGTGAAATTATTTCATCTGGTGTTAACAATAAATAATAGAGAGAAATGAGGGAATTACAGTAAGAAAACAGGTAAAAGTGTAAATAGCGAATTATATGTACAATTAACATATTTTCAGCACAATCAAGAAAATTACATTTTAAGTAAGAGACGTCGTTCAAATTAAAAATTCCTACGGTAATGGCTACGGTAAATTCTATGGAACACCCTGTGCGTATGAGAGATGAGAGTAAGAAAAGCAAAGAAAGGAAAGAAAGAAACGTGGAAGGGAGACTTTGCGAGACAGCCTCGGACTTCCTTGAAAGGTTTGTCGTCGGATGACGTCAGCCCTCGTCCACAAAACGGTCACCATCGCGTATGTACATCTGTCGCATGCCCGTATGTCTGTTTCACGTTTTTGAATAAAAAAGAAAAAATGGACTGCGAGAAGAACATCGCAGGTAAGTAATCGTACAATAAACCCGCTTATACCACACGTTTTCTTCCTTCTTTTTATTTTTTATTTTTACGCATCGTGATTCTTTTTATCAAATGATATATATCGTTCTATTTAATGAATAACAATTACATTTTTATATATTTTATTAATAACGTAATTAAAAAACAGATAAGAGTATTGTATTTATATGTTTAAATATTATTCTTAAATAATATAATATTAATTAATTATTATGAAAATTGATTATTATGTATTATATGCGAGAAGGTTGGAGTGACATGAAGAAAATGTTTCAAATGTGATACATGAAAATATTCGAACAATATGATTTTTCAATATTTACGACATACCTGAAAGAATATAACGTAAAAGTAATACACCAAAATATTGAGAAACGAATAAAATAAAAAATGATAAATAGTATTATTTATCTTTCTTGATCTAATTCAAAAAAGAAAAATCAATAATATTTATTTTTTTTTAATTTTATTTGTTGTTCGATATTTTGTTGCATTAATTTTACGTTGTCTTTTCAGATGTTTAATAAACACTAAAGAATCATATTGTTCAAATGTTTTATCACATATTTTAAGCATTTTTATGTGTCACTCAAACCTTCTCGCATATATACAAAATATATACAAAATAATCAATTTATGATACACTTTTGCTTTAGCCTCAATATTATATGCATTTTGTAAATGTATTATTATTTTGACAAAAATTTTTGTTGTAATATGCTATAAGTATTATTGTATATTTTATATTTAACAGTGTGTTATGGTCATTTACTTACATCAAAATAAGATTGCCAAGCATCCCTTCTTTTAACATAACATTTTCGCACATATTCAGATGTTTACTTTTTAAATGTCTCTTTACAGACGAATAATTTAATAATAAATATGGGTTGTACCTCTCATATATTACACAGTGCACGTTTCGTGCTCGGTGGTGTATAAAATTCCCATTTCCAACTTTTGTAGAACTGGGCGTGTAACATAATTCCACTAAATACAAAAGAACAATTATTTCAAGGAGAAGTATACGAAGAATAGTTGATAGAAGAAGGAGAAGGTCGCGGACATATTTGATTTTTTATAAAAAAAGAGAAAATACATCTGCAACTGGGACTTAAACTGAGAGACATTGATCTCTCATTTAGAAGAGAACAAGATAACGGTTGATATCTTCGATGCAATCTAAGCGATTGCAAATTCAAGTGGAGAAAGCAAGGATATATCTGACTTTTCGATTATAATGACGGGGTCGAATAAACTTCTTCGTTAGACATATTAACAAAATAAATATTTCTTTAACTGTGTTCGATTGTAGAAATATCCGGCTAAAATTTTTTTATTAAATTGCACAAAAAAAAGTATATTTTAAAAGCATTTTTGTGAAACAATTCTACTATTCTAACGATTCAATGATTTGCGTAATTATAAAAAATTGTACGTGAAGTTAAAAGATATAAAAAAATTAAGCATCTCGATTTTTATTTCTTACAACAAAATATCCTAAAAATCATTAATTATCTTAGATTTTATTTTCGTACATTTTATTGAGCGTAATTACTTTCAAAGAATATATTTTTAAATGAATTAATGTCAATTAGCAATTTCGAGTAATAAACTAATTTGTTGTTGACGATATTTCATTGTTTTCTAGCGCGACAAAAGCAAGTATTTTGTGCATTAAATTTTGCAAAAAGGAAAGTAAATATTTTTAAAACGCGCATTGTGTTTGTACATATTTCATACAAGAAAAAATATATATATTAGATTGCAATGATTAGGCACGCGATAATTCTAAAGATATATATTATATATATGTATGTACACATATCCTTTATAGATAAGACTACATAATCGCACTAATATTTACCAAGGCTGATCATTCTAAGGTCATTAACAACGTGAATGATATTTTTTTTATAATATGTAAGAGTTAATACCCTTGAATAACATTATCTCTTTCCTTGTGGCAATTATTCGCAATCAAGAAGCGGCGATATCTTAAACGAATATACATGAAATATGTACATGGAATAATATCGCATTGCATATTAACGCATGTGCATTACGTATTACACATTGCGCATAATATATTGCATGTCTTTTGAATAATTCGTTCAGACGATAAATATTCACCAAATCGATACAAATATCGCGTCATGAATAAAGTAACATGCACTGCAATGTGATAACATATTTCAACTGCGGTAAGATCTGGAAATATTTCGCAATAACTGCACGATCTGCAGGGAGCTTTATTGTCGTAAGTCATGCGCAACCCATTTTGTTCGATCTTGTTGGCAGTTAATATTATAAACAACGTGATTAACTAGCAGATACACACTATGCACTATGTATGCACTATGTACCGCGAACTCACCTATTTCAACATAACGGTATAAGATCACAAGCGATGCGCGAGATGCGTTACTGTTATATGCAGTATGCGCGCTATATTCTATGAAATTAAATACGCCCCCTTTAACACTCGGATAATCAAGAAAATATTAGTAAATGTAAGTATTTTTAAGAATCTTTATGTTATAATTACATATAATTCTTGAGCGCGATCTATACAAATTATACATAAAAATCATATATAATATAGAAGATATTATTTTTATAAAATTTTAGTCCCGGAAGAGAATGCATAATATAGGAGTCTTTCTAAATGCATTTGTACCTTTCGTATTAAAACACAAAAACTCGCAGGTGCACACATATTTTTACCCTCCATACTCATGATTACGTGCACTTAGATCAACCTCATCATTTTTATGTCTCACGAGGGGAAGTTGAATTTTGCGCACAAATTGTTCTTTGCTTATACTTTAAATAGGACTAAGAAAAGATGTATGAAAATAAAGATATATAAAATGCATTCATTATAAAGCTAGATGACTGAACTGTAAATATATCTGGTTTTATTAATAATATAACTGTGAGAAACCTAGACTCTCTATGCTCAATTACAAATTAGCTCGTGACTTTTTTATCAAATTCACGATATCTTTAGAAAATGATCTGTCCGAGTTATTCATGAATATGCATATCGAACTGGGTGTCGTTCGAGGACACGCCGATAGTTTTACTTTCTACGAGACGCTGTTTGGCGAAGAGTAAAAATTATGGAAAAGATATATATTCCGGGAATTAAAAAGGAGAATAAAGAAGATCCGTCGAATATTTATCATATTTCATGCTAATGCGTGAAATTGACTTTATTCCTTTGATCGAGCCGTCGAAGGAATCGCGGCTTATGTATTTCGGAGTCGAAAATTTCGAGTCAAATCATCAAGGTCTCGAATTTTGAGGGCTCGATGCATACGACTGTAAACTATAGCGCGCCAGCGGTCTCGTTATTACCTGAAACTATAGGTCTAATCGATGAAATGATGAGGGTAGCTGCTGTCCCTCGTTTGCAAGGACAATGGACATCTGCTTTCTGGCACGTATATAATGCCTAAAAGGCACGGCAGGTTCCTATGGTAAAGAGTCAGGTGTGTCTAGCAGTGAAAGCGCGCGAGGGCTAACGTCAACCTTGCAAAGAGCATATCGCAGTATCCTTCTCTTCTTTTATATTTATTTACATTTGTATATAACTGATTTTATATAAATATTATTCAAGCAATTTATATATCTTTTTAAGCTAGGACCGGTCAAGTTATTTAATTTAAACATTCTGGTTTGAAGAAATGTTTATTTCTATACATTATTATTGAGGTTTCTCTTGTTGTTGAAGCAAAAAGAATTTTTCGCGAAGGATATTTGTATGGTCATTAATGTTTCATTGGTAGCCTCGAACTGAACGAAAAATGAGAGAAGAGATTGTGTCGTAACCCAAGTTCCAAATTAGGACTCGATTCTGACTCCGCTATGTTAACAGTTTCAGTTCACTGTTCCTCGACAACTTCTGTGCGAAACTTTAGCATACATACATGGAAGTACGAAAAGAAATATAAAATTATTTTACTTTTATGCGAAAATTATAAAACGAAACTTTTTAATTTAAGAGAAAACGCCTCTTATTTTAATGTGTGATTATAATACTTAATTGTGTGTATATTATTTTAATTAATTTAACATTGATAGTGATAGTGACATTTCGATAAATAGAATTTAATTTAACTTTATAGTTGAGCTGTGTAACATTTTTGTTTACGGTCAAAAATTAATAATTTCTATTATTGTTTATAGCGTAATTTTTAATACTATTTATTATAGCAGAGAAATCTGATTAAAAGTCAATAATTTCTATGAAAATATTGAAAAACATGAATATATATATGTATATTATTCGAGGTAATACGTTAGAGTTAAATATCACATTGACTGTGTATTCGACGTTTGTTTACATCAATGTCCTCAGAAATATGTGCTGATATTCAATAACAATTAAGTACGACTAAAAGCAGTGAAAGGTGACGAGCATAAAGGACAAAGCCTTCGATATTATACAGTTTTATTTCGTCTTCAGAAGTATATATTAATATCCAATAACAATCAAATGTGACTAAAAGCAGTGAAAAGTGATGAGCAGAGGAGACGAAGCAATTATTACTGCAGTTTTATTTAGTAAGCAATTACTTTTTCAAATTACATTTTATGTAAAAAAAAACACACGAAATAGACTTTTCGTATTACAAATTTAAATTATCTATTTATCGCAACATCGGCGCATGCAGTTATTAATGGCAAATGGAATGGAGGAAAATAAGATATGGTAACGGCACCGTAACCGAAGACTTACCTTCGATTAGAGAACGTTATTGCTCGTCGACAGCGCGAACATAGTTTTGCGGTCGAAACGATACATCATCGGTACGATTCCGATCTAAATTCTCGACTCTACCACGCGTCCGTGAATGCGGAAACGCACTGATAAATAAAACGGTCGACGGCACAGCTATACGTTGCCGTATATCCGTATCGCACGGCTCCGGTTTCGGAGCAAACCCGAGGCGAGGTACCGATATATATATATGTATATATATATATATGTGTATGTATCTTGTATCTTTGCCACCGATCGACGAGAGGGAAGAAGTCCCGCTCTCACCCGACCTGTTCACCGGCAAGACTCGCTCCAAACTGCCGGCATCACATCATCGCAGTCGTGCCGATTACGCGTGGCGCTACCTGCACAGGAACACAATCCTTTTGCCCCTACTCTCTATCCGCCCCTATATTTTTTTTTCATCTTAACAATTATTGTTGATAATATTTCTGTTGTGTGCGTTTGTGTCTGTTCCTCTTAGGAAATCGGCACCCCAAACGGCGAATTTTTACAACATTGATATGACATTCCACATTTGTTCATATACATAGATAATCGTTTGTTTTCTCCACCTTCTAACAAAATTAATTAAATAAAAAATAAAAGAAATTTGCAAATATTGATTTTGTATTTCATTTTTATTTTAAATTTTTTTACATGATGAACAACAACGATGAAGTATCTGTGGACAAATGTGAACAATGAAATGCCATATCAATTTTGTAAAAGTTCGCACTTTGAGATGCCAACAGAGTAGTTATTTTCTCCTATACGTAATATATGCTAATAATAATATTGTTATTCTTTTCCTACTTTTTCATAATCTTCATTAACACAGTCTGTGTCGATGGAATCTTACTTTCAACTCTATACACATGCATATTCTTGATAACAAAAATAAAAATAATTAAGGAAGTAGAAAGGAAATAAAGATTCTGCTTCCAAAAATTTGTACAAAGCAACGAGGAGTGTTTTTAAAAATAAATATTAAAAAATATATCAAGCACAAACGCAATGAAAAAACGTTGAATATTATTTTTCAATAAAATTATTCGTTCAACTTGAGCGCAAAGAAGTCGGACAAGTGTGAGAAGAAGAGATGCAAGGAGAAACAGGTTCTAGATTCATTCACATCTCTCGCCGAGGCCTTGGGCCGAGCAAAAAGCGATTTCTACATAGACTCACCTTGTAATTCAATATGGCTACTAGCGAGAACAAATACGGGAGGGTGCTTGATATAATCTAGCGATAGACGAAAGATCGATTCTCTTACCGAGAAAAACCTGGGAATCGAACATTTCGTATACTATTATTCGGAGGCACTTATCTAAAACGTGATGCTGCGTGGGTAACCCATGAAACATCGGCGTGTAAGGAACACTTCGACGTGGCCTACGCCTTTCTCACTAATCTCACATGTGATCAAAGCGGGCGATAAATTAATATCAGAAGCACGGATGGACATAACACCGTGTATTTTAATAACACACGCGATATATGGAGCCCTGATTTATGGTACGCAGCCAAAAAAGCACCGATCTCTTACGACATAATATTATAAAATAGCCTGGCGATTTCATAAAAATGATAAAAATGAAGAGTCTTCGGTTTCATCACCGGAAAAGCGTATGCGTATAATCGGATCCTACGAGCGATACTCCCGAGTGCAATTAACAATAGTCCAGACTCTAGATCGTGCGGATCGTGGGCTACCTTCTTGAATAAATTCAAATCGATTGCGAACCCAAAAAAAAAAAATGTCCACGCCGACGTCGCGTCGACCCCGACTTATTTAGCAATCGGCGAACCATAGGCAGTGTAAAACCAGTATCTATAAAAGCAGCCGTTCCTTCTCGCCGTAATATCCAGACGCAATCATTACGTCCTGCTATTACGCGCGTTTGTTGTTCTCATCGACTCAATCACAAAGCTAATTAAATGTACCGTCACGCCGTGCAATTAAGGAAATAGTTAAAACGAACAACCTTCGCGAAACGATCGAGAGAAATCCGTAATAGCTCGATAATTAACTTAAATAAAAAAGTATTTTAGTGACCGCGTTGTATCTTATTAGTATAAATTTGTAACAAATGTATATACTATTTATATATAAAGTTAATATTCAAATACTATAAATTATATATAAAGTTTATATTCAAATACTATTCTATTCTTGTCTATTCTTTAACTGTTTACAGTTTAACGATCGTATATAATCTATTAATTATTATATTTTCAATTTTAATTTTTGAATTTAACTTGAAATTTCTTTTTTTAATTTAAAAAACATCAATGAATCAAATATATCTCAAATATATACAGTAAACGTATATAATCAGAATTTTCACACGTGGTATTTATACTCGTACACGAGAGAATTTTCTCTTAGAATTTACCCTGTACATAATAAAATTAATGAAACATATTTTATATTATTGTGGTAGATATTAATATTTTTATTGTGATAAATATTTTTAATCAAAGAAACTCTTATAAAATTCATCCAATATCACGTTGTCTCACATGATTATTCAGGGTAAATTCTAAGAGAAAATTCTCTCTGTGTAAACTTCGCTCGTTTGTTCACTTCGCTTGAAAGTGTTTCAAAATTAAGACTGAAGCAATATGTATACTACCATACAAATCGATTACCGGTCGTTTTATCAATGCTCGCCGCGAGTGCTCGACCAAACGATTACTTCGAGGAATAACTGTAACGGACTTTTGTTAACCCTTGACTGTGGGCCGTCCCCAACGAACTTCCATTCGCTCTCGACGATGCCCACGATGGTAGTCATTTTACGGATCAGTGACTTCTCGAATTGTTCAACCGATGACGATCTCGGACGGTCCCAATGTAAATAATCGATTAACCGTCTGATATTCACTAGAGAAGTTCCGCTTTATTCGAAACAGTTATACAAACGTGTTATCGAAACGTTTTTGCGCAGAGTCACGACAGATAGAAGTGGAGTTTTCATTTTTGCCCTTGTATTATTTTATGTCTCGATCTAAGGTTTCGGTCTAAGTGTCTCGAAGCAATATTAGACTCTTTTTAGACGCAGGAAGTCAACGCACACGTATGACGCGTGCTCGAGTTAATTGGCAGCTTTATTTGATGGCACGCATCACGTGCCTTCAAGGGGTGCCTTCGGGCACCCTCGCAGTCTTACAGGAAAATAGGTTCACGCACCGTGAAAAATTAATGTTCTTCACGGGGGAGAAAAGCAGGCACAGTAGCGTATTGTTGGCGCAATATCGTGCAACTCGTTTCCAACCCCTTTACGCAAAGTAAACACGGAGAATGGACGGAAAATTGTAAAAAAAATTAGATTGTATAGAGCGCGAAACTCTTGACGGCCTACAACGCATGACATTTGATACACCAACCGACGGATGTTAACAGTCTGGTATATACGCATGCGGATGTCTATGAGCCGATCTCTCGCTCTAATGATTCCACCTGGGTTCGGATACACCTAGCCGTGGGTGGTCCGTCATGCGCTTAAGAAGCCAGGTGTAGATTGAAGGAAGAAAGGAACCGAGTTTACCCTCCTTGGTGGGGCAATAACGTCCCCAACATTCTTCCTTTCTTAAATTAATTCATCATTTTTTTTATACGAAATTAATAATCTATTTTTGGGTACGAGAAAATTAGACATTTTTCGAAATTTAGTTTTCTTTAAACTGCAAAAATATTTTATATATTTAGAAATAAATGGATTAAAAAATAGAGATTATTAAATTCGATCGCATAGAGAAAATATTTTTACAGCTTCGGGAAAATTACAATAAATTTTGAAAGACATTTTTTAATTTTTTACGCCCGAAAGGAAATATATTATTAATTTCGATCGTATAAAGAAATTATTTTGACAGCTTCGAAAAAATTAAATTTTAAGAAGTGTCTTCAATTTTCTTGTGCTTGAAAAAAAATATTTTTATAATCTATTTTCTGTCGGGCATAAAAAATACAAAATGTCTCGAAGCTTGTAATTTTCTCAGAGCTGTAAAAATATTTTCTTTATGCGGTCGAAATTAATAATCGCTATATTTTTCCAATTGCAAGAAGATTAGAAATGATTTCTCTACAATTTTCGAAGCTGCAAAAATATTTTCAAAGAATTTAAAAGAAAATCGAATTGATTGGCGAATACTGGCGGGCAAGAGTGGGCAGAAATGGCAGGAACAATCCTCTGCATTCGCAGTAAATTTGATTGTTTGGAGGCAGGGACGGCCCACGCTGTCCGGTCCGTGAGTTCGCCACGGGGAAACGTTGCATTCTTATCGTTCGAGAAACTAGCATAGAAACATCTATAGGTATATGCCGTCGCGTGTGTATGTGTGTATCGGCTAGTTGTCTCTTCTAACAATACAATAACGATGGAAGGCGTCGCTTGCGGGCAAGTCCGCCTAGTACAGTTTCTCTGGTACATACCTATCGACGCGTTGTGGCGGTAAAATATTGCGCTTACGAGGACCTCGTGCGAAGTGCCTTCTCGTAGGATATCACTTCCGGGATATCTTCGATATGACGTTTCTAAGGTCGATCCGTAAACGCGTTCTTCGACGTTACAATATTCTAAGTTGTACAAAACAATAAATGTGAGGTATTTTTAATCAATTTTGCATCAATAGCCTCTCTCTCTCTCTCTTTTGTATAAAATTTTCCGTTAGAGAACTAGCTTTATAAAAATAATAAAATCTTCTATTTATTTCTTTATAGCTTCTATGAACATTAAAACATCCGGTGCTTTTATGCAGAGAGATAAATACGAAGCAAAGAGATAAATAGAAGCAGTTATTAAAGCTAGTTCTTTAAGAAGTTATATGTAAAAAAATGAATTACATTTAATGCACGCTAAACAACGCTAATTGATTTAAACGATCAAACAGTGTTAATTGATACTTCTGTCTTTTCTCTCAAGTATATCAACTTAATTTTTATTCTCACTGTTATACGCGAAATACGGTGAGAATCGCACAAACGACGCACTTAACTCTCTTAGGAAAGGGATCCATCCACACCTCATAATTGAGAGAAAGATGGGAGTAGGAGAAACAAGTTGCTATTCCCACGCTGCGCCTGCTTAGGATGCTACAAACACTTTCGCTATCTAACTTTATCGGTGCATTGCGAAATGTAACAGGTTCATGATTGCATTTTTTGTTTCAAAAGCTTAAAGATTTACGCTGAAATCCTAACGTACAGACAAATATGCGAATGTAAAATGATCAAGTAACCTATCGTAAATATTACTTTGGCTCTTTATGGAAAGAATCATAAAAAATAAACTTTATTTATTTTAATTATGGCTCATATTTAATTTAAATATGGCTAAATTAATTAATTGTATATTACTTGTTGATTATATATATTGTGTGCTTTGCTCAAAATAGTTTAATGAGAAAATCATGTAATTCTTTTATAAAGAGATAAGCGGAAACACTATTTCAATTTTTTTTCGTTCTCATATCATATTAATTTCAAGAAAAATTCTTTCGACATTTCTATTTTGTTTGGCGCAGATAAAAATTGATTCCGTTAATTTTACTTAGCTTTCTGAACGTAAACGTTGTAATGTCACAGTCTTTCGTCACAGTGCATCTGAATATCGCGCCTCTCCAGCACCTGTTTCCACCTTGACATCTGACAGAGTCTCTTCTCGCGCTCACTTGGGGATTCGAGAACACATCGCTTGTCCATGCGACGCGGTCGACGCCGACGACCAGACAGCTGTCAATGCGTTGTGCCGTAAACGGCATAATGCAAGATATAAGGCAATCCCGTTTGTGGTCTCAGTTCTCGACCATTCGTTCGCTCGCATACGTTACGTTCTATTTATAGTCATGCATCGATGGATTTGTTCGGATATTATTTTTGTTAACTCTGATTTTATATAATAATGATACTTTATAATAAAAAATCGATTCTTTAATTTAACACTAATGTATTTTCTTTAGAAATAGAAAATAATTCAATCTGTTTCCCTAACATTTTTTATTGCAATCCCGATGAAGCTTTCTCGCATTGCGCCAGGAGATCGGCAACCGTAGATACGTAGTCGCTTGTCGGTATTTACGCTTTTCTCTATTCTTTTGAAATGATGAATTTCCGCATAATTATTAAGACAAGGTCTTTGCAAAAGAAAAGTAACGTTGCCTTTATTTCATAAGCTAATGTTGAGAAACTGATCGTTACATTATTTCAGCAAGTAGGAGATTACTTGAAAAAATCTAGAGCTACGTTCTATGGTTAATTACAAGCAATTTTTTATCAAGATATTGACACACAATAAAAAAACTCGAACAATTATGATAATTTTTCAATCACATTGCAACTGCTTTCAAAGAATCCAGCATAATTATATCAAACCTAAGAAAATACAAGAAAATACAAAATAGTATTACTGCATTCATAATACTGTATAGATATATAATATAAATAAAAGAGATATAATAAATATAGTAAATATATAAAAGGATTTAGTAATAATAATAATAAAATAATTAAAAAATCAGAAGTATCTTAATTGTGCAAACAAAAATAGATATAGTGTTTAAAATTCAGATTAATCATAATGAGTTAATAACAGACTCTCACCCCCAACGCAATCCGGACTAGTACAAGGCAGTGTATTAATTTTATTCGGCGTGCCGGCGTAAGTTGTGTAACAACTTACATCGCATCTGTATCGTAAGATCGGATTGCCGCATCCGGAGCAGTCAGGCTGCGCATTTAAAATGATTACGATTTGTACTCTATGACATGCAGGATATTTCAAATTCGATAGGATACTGTCTACCTGTGCTTCCTTAGCGCCGCTTTGTTGGATGCAAAGCCACTGATTTTGCGCGCATCCGCCTGCAGCTCCGAATCCTACACCGTACGTGATTTGTGGTACCAACGAAATCTGAGGTATTATAGGAATCGATGGATAGCGAGATGCTGCAAATTGAAGACGAGCCTGAATCGACGATATGGAACTTATCGAAAATCATTCTATCACCTTAAATCGCATTTGCAAAAATTGGAATCTATATATTAAATAAAGAACTTGACTCACAACAGCTCAAACAGTCTCTTCCTGATGTACTCGTGATTGAAATACCACCATTACCTTCATTACCGCCACCTCCGGGTGTACCTGGTGTACCTGGTGTACCTGGTTTACCTGGTGTACCTGGTTTACCTGGTGTACCTGGTGTACCGGGTGTACCCGGTGTACCAGGCGTACCCGGTCTACCAAACGTATCGGGTCCTCCATGAGGTCCACCGTTTATGGTACCATTGCCAAAAGTATTAATGATATTATTGATGTCGATGTTTGTTGTTATATTGGTAGTTCTTAGCCCGTCATTGGCCGGACCGCAATTTCCCGATACGCATTCCGTCTCATATTCCGTAATGATCTGATGCCTGTGCTTGGTTTTCGTGCAATGACTGCACTTTTTCTCGCAATTGTCATGTTCCGAATGGTAGTCACATTTTTTTAGACACGTTTCCAAACAATGAGTGGGATCTGCGAAATGTTTTTATATTTTTTTCACTTATCGTTTTACAACCGCAATATATCTCGTATACGAGTGTCATTAATTTACATATAAATAATTGAAGAATAATTATGTCATGTAAGAATAAAGTCGCAATGCTTCTTTTATATATCATCCGCTGCACAACAGTCGCGTTAATTAATGATCAACCATATTGCGCAATTGCATCTGTGTTATACACGTTTTCAAGAGATCCAGTAATTTAAATTTAATACGATCGTCTATCCGCGTCTAAACGATCGTGTAACAGATGTAGTTGCGTAATACATTGAAACGAAGGCTTCCAAAGCAGATACGCGAATTCCTCGCACGTTTATCTTGATTGTTATAAAACGATTGAATCTACCATTTTCCGACAGCCCGTGGCCGCTATGATGATGCCTCTTCGGCCTCATTAAACACTTGAGATATTTCTTGTAGTCCGGATTCCGGCATTCGTCATGCACCTTCTGCTGATCCTCGCTGATGCCTTCCTGTTCGGTGACCCCGGCTTCGACGTTTCCGTGCGATTCGCGCACGCTTAGAGCAACGAGAAGATACACGATGAGTAAGTGCGTCACTTCCATAGTGTGTCGAGATTTCTCAACAAAGTAATCGGACGGGATGAGCGACGCAACCCTTTATACCTTAAGCCGTTTACCGGGACGACGGGGTTAATGACCATCGAAGAGAGTTTGCGCTGTCAAAGTCTTAGTTAGAGGCATGTTTGCGTCGCACGCACTCTCGTAAAGATACGTCGTCGCATGTATGGCTAATATATTAACGCGTAAATTGTTATCTATCTCCTGACAACATTGGTGTGCAACGTCAAATTTGCACTGCTTATCGGCCTCCGCCATGGAGCTTCTTCGAAACCCATATGCACTTGTATGCAGCGGGCTGTATGCAACGGCGTAACGAAGGCAGAAGATGCAAAATACCAACACTTTCTCATAATGATAATAATTAATAAGCCTCGCAACCCTTGTGCAGATATAATGTTCGATATGACAGATTTATCGGAGATATGCACGCAATCGAATAAATGTTTAGCGATGTAAACAAAATTATGTAACACGAGGATATTTTATTTCGACGTAATAATTTGAGGATATATTTTTTATCTTTTAACGCTTCTCTATTTTTAGCACCGTTCGTTAAAACGTCTTGAATTTACTATTTACAGCTTTCTTTTTTTTTTTAATGTACTTCGAATGCTATCTCGTATACTCGTTTGTTCCGCAAACACATTTATTCAAAAACAGTATCATTATCGCATCCTGCGTATGCATACTATCATGCGAATTTTTTCTTATGCACGCTGGATGAAATTACATTGACTAGTTGGATATGAACAAGTCACGTTGTTCGCGATAAATTATTCATTCTACGAACAAAGCTAACAATAAATCTTGAAAATATAGTGATAGTCGGCATACTTGAAACTTCGAATTTAATATTTTAAATTCAGATAATCGATCTCCTCTTATTAGAAACCGAATAAAATATACTATACGCAATAGGTCAGCGACACTCGCTCTTATCGTAATCTTCTGAGGTATAGATCAGGAAATATGTTATCATTTCCTTTATTTGCACCACTCATCGATAACACAATTACTCGCAAATAAATAATAAATACTTTTTCTAAAAATTATTTAATAATTTTTTTTTTATTATTTATAGTTGACAATTGCTTTATCGATTCGATCTTTTTCTGGATAGTATCCGTTTTTCGTCCTAGTATTTAGTACTGTTATTTACTGATACCTCCCTGTCTCCCCGAGACAGTCATCGCGAGTCGATTTTTAATAGGTCAAATAATTATAAAATCTTTCACGCTCGTGTCCACGTACGTTCGCGATTTATTAAGTCTCTTCCGGTGATGGAGATTTCCATTCAAGGGAGAGTACCGCTACCAGACCACTTATATAGAGTCGTTAACGAAAGGGATCGCATCAAAGGGTGGCATTAAAAAAATACAAATTATAGCTCATTCGATCTCTAGTATCCGAATCTTTAATTATCTTACAGATTTTTTTTCTTATTGTCAAATAATTATATTTTTATTAGACGGTGACGCGTGGATGTATAATGTTGTTTATAACTTTCACTCTTGCAAAGAGTTAAATATATGTTATTTTATACAACGAACACGTGTATATATTTTGCAGAGAAATTTCATTTATAATAATGTATGATGATTGCAAGCGAACCAGAAGCAGGTGGGTATATAAAGCCGATGCGGACTTTCTAAACGCCCTGTATACAAACGATTTCCTGATGGTAGGGGCATCGCCGATCTCGCTCTCACTCTTTTTCTTTCTCTCTTTCTCGTTAGGTCCATCGGTGTGTATGCCAGAGAGACATACAATGGCCGCCGTGAGCCAACGTGCCGCGCGCCTCAAGTATTAATCGTCCTCAATTTTCCCGTCTTAATTTGCCGGCCGAGAGACGCCCACGAAAAAAAAAAACAGAAAAAATGCACGACGCCTCGTCACGGTGCTATCATTCGGCCCGAGTCCGTTCGACAGCGTGCTCCGATATACGACGCCCGCGTCGTCCTGACGTATCATCAACGTTGACGCTCCTCGACGAAAACACAGTGGCCGTCGACACGCGACCGATTGCACACGGGTGCATTACGTCGTTGGGACGCGAATGCTGAAACCTTCCACGACAATCGAGGCGAACGTTACTTATGCATTGATATTGTGCTACCGTGTTGATATTCGTAGTGCGCGTCCTCAAATTATAGAGGTGTTTCATTCGTTACCAGTGCATTCATGTCCCCTGGTGTTATTATGTATCCTACGTATATATGTCGTTCGCTTGAGGAAGGTAATTAGTATTTCTGCAGTATTCTTTAGTGCAGAGTGCGTGGGATCGAAAAATCGAGAGACTTTTTTATCCGTGAAAGAATTGTCGTGTGTATTTTTTCGAAAATAATTGATATCTCTTATAAATAAATTTGATTCGGTTAAATTCTTTTGAATAAAATTGTCACCTCAAAATCTAAGAAAATGGGAGTGCGTATTGAATATTAAAAATCTCGAAGATGTGACAGTGAAAAATTCTGCACACGTGAACGTTTTTTCGAAAATAATTGGTATCTCTTTAAAAATTTAATTCGGTTAAATTCTTTTGAATAAAATTGCCACATCAAAATCTAAGAGAGGATGAGAGTGTGTATTGAATATTAAAAATCCTGAAGATGTGACAGTAAAAATTCTGCACACGTGAACGGTTTTTCGTAAATAATTGGTATCCCTTAAAAAAATTTGATTCGATTAAATTCTTTTGAATAAATTGCCAAAATCTATGAAGATGAGAGTGTGTATTGAATATTAAAAATCCCGAAGAGTGACAGTAAAAAATTCTGCACTCATGAACATTCATTCATCTCCCTCCTACGTAAATAATTCGGCCAATCTAGCTGGATTAACACGATTTAAACTGATGATACTCTTGTTACGCTTTATTCACTGTTATGTCTATAAAGCTTTAAAGAAGTAACATCGTCGATGAACGCACTTTTTCTATAAAAAAAAAGTGAAATCATTGAATTGTACGTATACATTATACAATCTAATGTTATGCTTTTCCTGGTACGGTTAAATGAATAAAGATTATTCCGATAGATAAGTCTATTTACGTCGCTGTGAAACACACAGTTAATTATTCGGTTGAATTCCTGCTACATTTTTAACTATGCGTTCTATTAAAAATTCTATTGAAGAAAAAAATAGTCTTCCTTAAAAATGAGCTAAATTATTCCGTCAATTTTGGATGATTATCGTGTCTGGTAAAAAATATTCTTCCAAATTTATTCGACCGTGGAAACAACACTTTCGTTTTTCGAGGGGAAATCTAATTGCTCGACTGCGTAGAATGTATGAAAAGCGTTGTAAGTCGAGAAAGTCGATTTTTGCGCAATAAACATCCGTCAGTCTATAACATTGGCAATTCGAAGAAAATCGACCGCGAGTGGCGTTTAAAAACTAACAGTAACTTTATTAATAATTAATATATTTATTATTAATATTTATTGACTACTAAGACTTTCATATTAATTAACTCATAATTATCCAGATTGGTGGAGTGTTGAATATAAATATTTCTAGAATTGCACGAATTATTTAAATAAAAATAATTATGTGCCCTTGTAAATAAGCAATTACAAGAAAAACATAAATTTCTTTTTCAACTGTTATTAAAATAAATAAAAAATCGAGATTTACATATAAACACACATAAAATAGATATCACTAATATTACATACTAATATTCCCCCATTTTATAGATAATTAGAAAAAAGAAATATATGCCAGTGCTATGGCATATATTCCGTACTCGATGCTCGAGAATCGGCTATTCTGATGTATTTATAATTCGACTGCCCCGAAGAAGAGACGAAAATGGCAACGAAAGTAGAGGAGACTCCCTCGTCTCCAACCGGGGGGTTTCCCTGGTACGGCAAGATCTTCGAGTGTTGGAGAAATCGGAGTCGAGTTAGTCCCGGAAAAATCGAGTTGCCCGATTGCGATTTCTTTATCGTGGCACCGCGACGTACGCTGCGCGTTCTCAAGCCGACCCTGAAGAGCGGCTGGTATTACGAGAGCGCGGCGAACGACCGGCCGGAATCGATCAACGATAATTTCTTCGCCCGATGGACCAGGAGGCCGCATCCGTCCGGGAACTGCAGATGCTCCTTCCGTCAGTCCACCGGTGCATTGAGCACGAACGAGGAGCGAATCATATCCGCGGAACTTAATCGCATCCGTACGAGTCTCTGCGAGGGCGAGAAAAACGCGCGCGACCTCGAGGAATTGGAGCAAAAAGTCTCGGTGAATTTGCAAAAATTGCGGAACGCTGATCACATAAATGAGACGAACCAGACGACGGTGCCGTCGATACTAACAGATCGTCAATCGTTCGAACAAAATGCGAAGCAACAAATCGTTAAAGATTTAGAAAGGTAAGTTTATCGATCCAATAGGAAGCAATGTGTGAATAAGAATGAGGACATTCAGAGTAATATAATATAAATATATTGTCCTGTTTTGAATGCAGTATATTGAAAATTCCCTCATTGATCTATCTCTTTCATTTCTATTCATACATTCTCTCTTATATATTATTAAAATATTATTAAAAATTCATATGTTATAAAAACTAATATTAATTGTACTAGGTATATCAATACGCTTCTGGAAGAAGTGCTCGACGACACCGTTAAGCATGTAACTGGCGTAGAAAAAAATGGTGTTCAACATTCTTGGCAACAAACGAAAAATAATTTGAAATCACAGTCTGATAAATCCAAAGATGAAATTTCGATAAAGAGAGACCAGGATGATTCTATTATCGATATTAATTCCCGTCTTTCAATAGATAAGACAGAAGAACAATGGAGCGTAGAAAATGAATGTAAAAAACAAGAATTCGCCAGAGTTTCAATAGGCGAAGGTTATGTGAATCCTGCTTTTGTCGATTCGACAGATGAATTAGCTTCCTTAGACTTCAATCACTCTGCAAGAAAACGCGGTAAGCGACAGATTTGCGAAATAAAATTATTTATTATAATAATAAAATTATTATTATATAGATTATTATTATAGAGTAATACATAGAAAAAATAAAATTATTTATTATAGTAGATATTGTATTTTTTATAGACTTGTCTCGTATGTACAAAAAATTTTGTTATTTATATATATATTATTTTTCACATGGATCAGCCGACCTGTATTTTGGAATATCGGGAAATACCGAGAGCATCGCGCCGGAACAATTAGACTGCGTGGACTCTGGAATAAACAGTGTGGAAACGATCGAATTTCAATTACTTGATCAAGAACCCAGCTTCGAGCAATCCCTATTACGAATCATCGATGAAAAATTGGGAAGAGGTCCTCTGACGAATAACTCGGAGGAAGATAGAGGAAGTCCTGAGAAAAATTTGCAAAAAACGATTTCCGAGATCGATTCTCTGGAGCCTGTACAAGCCAATCTTGAAATATTACCAACTGATCCTAACAAAGTGGAGCATCAGGAGGATGCTATCAACGCAGAAACTAATTTCGAGAAACTACGCTTGGAATTTCAAAGTAACGGCATGTCTGTAAACGATAGAACTCGATCGAAACTCGATTCGAAATTAACGGAGGCCGCTCCTATCGAGCTCAAGGATTACAGGAAAGAATGGACGGAGTTTGATAGTATTTCTTCGCGAGAAAATACTCGTCAAAGTCTTCACAATTCGATAACATTTCGAAGGAACAGAAAACCGACTATAGTTTTTTTACACGGCTTCGGTTCCTCGGCAGAAGTCTTTGAACATCAACTACAGTATTTCTCTTCTTTTGGTTATCCTTGCATCGCTCCCGATATGCTTGGACACGGTATGAGTTCAGCGCCCGGTCGATCTAGAGATTATCACTTTAGTAAATTACTCAAGGACTTGGACGCTGTTCTACATCATTACGCTTTCAAACCCGGAGAGAAATGCGTTTTAGTGGCACATAATTATGGGTAAGTGGTGCTGTTGTTTAAAAGAGATTATGCCACGTAAGCTGTTTAATTATTAAATTCGTGACACAATTCACAAAATAATTAATAAGTATATTTTTTTTACACCTGGTTTGATATTTATATCAGAACCTTTTCAATGTATTATTATTTAAAATTAAAGATGTTTAGTTATTAAATGAATGTCTGCGTATATCTTACGAATTTATTTCAGATGTAGCTTCGCTACGGCATTAGCTTGCAAATATGACAGCGTATTCATCAGCTCGTGCTAATATCGGGCGGTGGCCCGACTCCTCTGGCTCCGCCGAGCACGGAATGTGCGGGACATTGCTGTCTCAGGGCGATTCTCGCACCACTTTTAATGTGCGGTCTTCACCGAGATATTCTATATTCCGCGCGAGGTCGTCAGCATCCTTATTGCGGTCACGAATCGACGGAACAGTGGCCTTCCCACATGAAATACGTATTGGACGGTATGACCTGGCCGCAAGGAGACTACGCTTTTCACAGGAAGATATGTACACCGACGCTTCTGGTGCACGGATTAAGGGACAATCAAGTTTCGCTGGTGCAGGAGTGTCAAATGGAAAGAGTGAGTTACAATATTAATTATTATCCGCGCGATATATATATATATATATATATATATATATATATATATATATAGACAATAGAGATATTAAATTACACAATTTTTTATGTATCGATTATTTGTTTTGTTGTCAGAATAATATTAAATTTAAAGTAAGAAAGCTGAATGTTAAATTTAATTTTAAAAAATTTTTCAGACAATGGTTAAAGCTTTCCTCGAAGCTATTCCAATGGCAGGTCATAGCCCGATGACCGAATGCCCTCAGCAGTTGAATCATATGATACATTGTTTCATAGATTTGTGGAAAAACAAAAATGGCAGCAATGATATTATATAATAATTTCAATCTAGAAATAATCACCTAAAAATCTGTATGATATTGAAATTGCATCGAGTGAGTCGATCGTTATCAAATAGTTAAATATGATATTAAACTTGTGTGTATATCTTAAGTGAAGGGAATTAAGCAATATTATGACCGAAAGTGAATATTAGCAATATTATGATTCGAAAAAGATTGAATTTGATCGAACGATAAGATAAATTGATACACAATTTGAGTGGCTTCGTAAATGTGCCAAAATTTATGTAAATAAATACGAAATGTCTCATTCGTCTCTCGATCACTTGAAATAACTTTTATATATCTGAAAATATTATTTTTTTAATAATCAACATGTATCACCAATACATTTGATTCAATTTTAAATTTGAACTTTTAAATGTACCTGAGAAAATTGTTCGCTATCATAAATAAAATATATATAAAATTTTATTTATATTAAATAATTTTTAAAACTTGTTTTATTGTTGTACCAGATAAAAAAAGTTATTCAAAGTGATTTAACAAATATTGTAAACAGAGGCTATGGAATAGCATAGAAAACCAAAGATCATTTATATATATCGTTATTTCATAGATAATATTTTTAATATAAGTTATTTGTTTTTACAAATAAAATTGTATACAGCTGATTATATTGTTGCAGTAATTATTATTTAGAACCTAAATGTAACATTTAGATTAAATAATTAATCAGTCAGTGATGTGCGCAAATACCGAGCGCATTTGATATCATTATCAATTATTCAAATTTCTGATTAAGCGGATTCTCAGGAGATTTTGTCCATTCTTTTCTAAGTATCTGTTTTAACTGACTCAATCTCAAGGTAGGATTTTGTTCTTTAATAATCGGCATCATTTTTTCTTCGAAGCTTGTATATGCCGCTTTCATTCGTTTCTCCGGATGTCGATCAATTTCAGGATCCTTTGTACTGAAAATAAAATCATGAAAATTGAAGTAAAAGAAATTAAATAATATAGATAAACACTATTGTGTGTATAATATGCATATAGATTTTTCGATTAAAGCCTTCAATCTACAATTATCATTGCAAATATATACATATATACAGCAGAAAATTTTAATAGAGCATTTATAATACTTAATTATATTCTAATCTTGAAAATAATTACCTTAAAATAGATATAGCTTCATCTATACCGTGAGCTGTTTCACCTTCCAAAGTTATTCTATTTAAATTTTCTTCAATTGGTTTCTCCTCTTCTTTCTTCTTCATGGCCACTTGATTTCGTTTTTCAGTAATAGAAACAATTTCAGCTCTAGTAACTTTGGACGCTGGCTGTTTGCCACCGACTTTTATAGTTGACATTTCTTTTTCAAGCAGAGCTTTAGCTTCCGCTTTTTTTTCTAATTGCTGTTGACGTTTCTTTTCTAGTTCTTCCTATATATATAATAAAATATACATATATATTATATTTCTTATTTCTTCTGATCTAAAATAAATATCTCTTCATAATAACTCTAAGACGTACTTGCTTTTGTTTTTCTTTAATAACTGTTTATCATTATCTTCCCAGGCCTTATCTTCAGCTTCCATTGCTTTTTTTATATTTTCGGCTTCTTTGGCTGCCGCTTTTCTAGCTCGGGCGGCAACCGCCTTACTATTCTCACCCACGAATTTCTTCGGCATATTGATCTGTGATATGCAAATTTTATTTGTGATTCTTATATGATATGTATTATTTCCGTGCATTTTTGAAAATAGCGGGCGGATGTAGAGATTACTATATTCGAGTTGGTAATAATCGCAGCACATGCGCGGAATCACTGTTGAAAGCTGTGAAGATTCAGGTTAAGAGACTCCGAAATAATTTACGTTTCGAAAACATAAAAACGACGTACAAAAACTCGTATACGTGCGTAGTGTATTTCGTTTCACAGATAAACGATAAATGTGACACGGTGACAATTCATGATTACGCGACTAAATAAACGTGCTTGTGGAAGTTATTTATTTGTTACGCGAGAAATGTCGAAACAGCGGTCTGCGAAAAATGAGAAGATGCGGAAGGAGACAACCACCGATGTGAGTGATTATTTATTTAAATACTGCGCTTACCGATTCCTTGTTTGCGAGGATATACGATCACCTATTGCGAAAATAATATGACATTTTCTATTAGACACTTTACCATCTCTGGCACTTCAGTATCGGTATAAAAGTGACTAGACTCACTTCTACCAACCTTATAGTTACAACTCACTATAGTTTGAGAATTTTACGGATGTAATTGGACAAAGTGCTATACTAGCACGTAAAACGTTTCTTAGCAACGCGATGATCAATAATTTCTTCATATATATATATATATATATATATATATTAACGTTGTCGCTTTCTACTTTCGATCGAATAACGTTTATTTGATAACATATTATTGAGAACACAAATTCAAAAAATAAACATTTGAAATAAAAATTCTGATATCAAAATGTTTAGGCAACATTTTTTTACAGAAACAATTTTTGAGCGAGAAACATATAGACGTTTGATCTTTTATCAACTTGCTAAAATTTGAGGCTTTTATAGGACAAAATAATGCTATAGGGAATAATATGTAACTAGGGAATAATATAGACCAATCAATTCCTCGTTCTTCTAAAAATAATGTACTTAGATGTAACGAAAAGTCGATTTTGGTAAGCACATAATTACAAGATTTTGTCTTCATTTGTTAATACAGCATTGATTTACAGAATCAATCTACGGGACCTGTGGTTTTAAATAAAGATGGAAATGTAGTAATAAAAATTCAGGCTAAACCCGGAGCAAAATGTAACAATGTAACCGGTAATAAAAATTATTCAACAAATTTTGTGTTTGTTGTATTTTTTATTATAGAGAAGATTCATTTCTTTTTTCGGAAAAAATAAAAAAAAAAAGAAAAGATTTATTTCCTCTTTGATAAAATGATTGTTAAAAATAAGATGTGAATAAATATTTATAGATATTTCCGATGACGCAGTAGGCATTGCAATCTCAGCCCCACCAATGGAAGGTGAAGCAAATGCCGAACTTGTTAAATATTTAGCCTCGATTTTTGATCTAAGAAAATCTGATGTATCTTTGGACCGTGTAAGTATTTTAATTAAATAGTTTCAAGATGATTTTATTACAATTGCATGTCGAAATTATGAACTTTTATTCTCTTTTTTGTGTAGGGATCTCGAAGTCGACAAAAAATAGTTATAGTGTCGGGAATTACAACAGATCAAGTTCTGGCAAAATTGAAAAGAGAAATGGGCAATTAAAAAATTTCCTTTACTTCATAAAAAAGCTTTTTTAACAGTAAACGATTTTCTCTAATTAATATACATAATATGTATAGATTTTTCTTTAAATATACATTTTTTAATCTGTCTTATTATTAATTTTGTTATTTATTTTCTGCATATATATCTGTTTGGAATGTCAATAATTTTTTGCAATATTATACACAATTTATACATCTCTACTTCTCTCTATAAAGATAATTGGTAGAGTTAGCGTATTGTCAATATTCATAAAATTTAAATTACATTAAACTTACACTTTAACGACTATATTATATATTTGCACCAAATTCAATATTTCTAAAAAATCATCATCAATTCGTAAAAATTTTACACAAGCGTTGCTGTGACTAGCAATACACGAGAATCGGTGAAGATTTTTGTTAGAGTATTTATAAGCATACGTGTCCGTACAATTGTAATCGCAGAAAATTAAGGTACCTTTAATACCAAGGTACCATTTGTTCATGTAATAACTCGATATATATAACTATGATAATTAATACATCGGCTTTCATTCTTGTATCTCGAAAGCTTTGTCGTCGAGCCAAGGTCGGAAAATGGGTAGTGTCGATGGATAATGGGCTCCACGTTTGGAAGGCGCCGTACCAGCTGGTGCACCTTCCGGCCTCAACGGATACGTAGCCAGTACGATTGGTATTTGCAATTTGATTTCTTTGTCCAAACTCTTGGGACTTATGACAAACTGCGAGAAACATTTATTATATCAAATCTGGCGGACTCGCGGAAGTGATTCCGTTTCTAACGATGAATTATTTTATTCATTACATCTAAAAATATATATATTTTTTTTCAACACTCACGTAAACGTGATAAAGAACATTGATCAAGTGACATCCCCGCAGATTTGTCGGCGGCAACGGAGGAACGTACATTTGTTCGTTCAGCCATTCTTCGCCTTCGCCCGGTCGAATTTTCCCCCTTGAAACGTTCGCCAGCTCTCTGGTCTCACTAGCGAGCACTTTACCCCGACACAAGTATTGTATCGTTTCGGTGAGCGACGCCTTGGTCGACTTCATCGTCACCTAATATAATTCGAGTTTTCAAAAAGACTTTTCGTGCTTCCTCTAGTATGTTGTATTAAAATTGTTAAAAATTGTATTCGTTAGTTACGCTAATTACGTATACCTTACTGCGATTGCTGACAGTCGCAGAAATACCGATTGTTTCCCCAGGTACATATCCACCCCGATCGAGACTAACTCTGCAGAATACAGGACCACCCGATACACAAGAGACACCCACACGCTGTTCGACCTCTTGTCTCGCAGGTTGCTGTTCGTTGCGAAAATATTTTATTTATATGTCGATTTTTTTTCGAATAGATCAAACTTAGATAAATTTACTCGACAGAAACAATATCTCAAAAAGCAGAATGCATCTTTAAATTATTGAACACTATAAACGTTTGATAAACGATAGTATATATGCTATAGTATTTATGATTAAACAATGCCTACTACTGAACCTACGCAAAAAAATTCTTGCGCAATTTTCTAGAAATGCAAATGCTATCGGAAGATATGGGTGGTGATTTCATCATGATTTCTATGCGAGTATTATTACGTTGCATCAACACAAATCGTATGCAAACAGAACGCTTGGAATTTTAAATGTGTCTATGAATTAAGTGAATTATATCGAAAATATATTCTCTTTAAATTCATTGCCGCGCCTCAAGTTATTTGCAACGCTTTCCTCACGGGTTGATGACCAGTATTTGGAACTTGGTTATGGTAATGCAAATTCGGTATTCATTTAATCGCGTGCGTGAAACACTTTCCTTGGTCTTAATCGATTTCGTAAAGCTTGGATGTCCATAATCATTTTTCATCAAAGCTGCTTTCTATTTAATTAAGGAATGAAAATTTTTACCTAACAAGGAGATAATTAGAGATTGCGAGACCTATATTTAAATAAATTAAATCTGCAACTAATTCTTTCATTATAATATTAGCTCACCGCTAATATCGGAGGCTCCAGATTTAAATCGATCGGATTCATAACGATGAAGACCTGTTGATTTTTATGTGTGAGTCCACCTGGCTCGCGAAGAGCCGCTTTACAATAATATTGCACCCATCCGTGCTTTCCAAGGAAAGTAGAAGGTAGACCCAATGGTAAACCCAATTTAAAGGGAAAGCTGTGTATTCCCGGTGATAGCAATGACGGCCCTTCGCCTGTGCGAAATCGCATTCACCATCAGAAAAACATAAAGATATATTAAATCTTCAATTATAGATTAATATATATTTTTAATTATATAATTGTATATATAAATTATCATGAAGATATTTTCTGTTAAGCTATATATATATATATATATGATATAATTCATTGCCGATTATTTAAAGACAGAAATATAAAAAAATAAATAAATGTAAAAAAAAAAATTTTACTTTAAAATGTAAAATTAGTAAGTTACATGATCATTGAACCATGTTCATTGAAATATGACATAAAATAATTTATTCGAAATAATTCACCTGGTTCGCCTAGCAGTCGCATACGAAAATCAATGTAATTCTCTTTATCGTAAACTCTCTCGGCACGTTGACTGCGTACCCGAACTACACCTTCTCCCACAACATGGAAATGTAATCCCGAAACACTACGGTAACGTATTCCACATATTATCATTATTCGTAATAAAAAAATTTCTTAACGCATATTTTTTCTCAAGACGCATAAAAATAATGTTTTCAGACGTTAATTTAAATCTTTCTAATTTTTTTTTCAACATTACTTACTAAGCCTCATCGTCCAGCTCTATGAGAACACGGCCGGACAAGAAGTGTCCAGGAAAATACAGTAGATTCGTATTATCGAAAAGTATTAAGAACTTGCTGAGTTTTCTCGTCATCCTGGCGCCGAGAAGAACACTTTTTCAACTATATTTACAGAGACTGACGGTCAGTGCAGGCGTTTACGTCACCGCGGCTTCACGCTCACTGAATGCACATCAAGGTACGCGCAAGGAACAAGCTTTTTTCCATTCGCTATCTCATGATGCGAGGTGAGAATCACTGGTTTGCATCGCATCAGCACGTTCGTAGTATGTGGCATGCGTCTCTCCCTCTCTTTTCCTCTTTCTCTCTCTCTTTCTTCCTTGCTCTCTTTCACAATCTCCTTTCCTGCGTGCTAGCGAATTGTGGTACCAGTTATGCCACGATGCACCTCATCATCGCATTTTTCTTCATTTGAAGATAGCGGCACATTCCGCACGGCGTTACACGCGTTCTCCGCACTTTTCATCGATCAATAGACGATTGATGAGCACCAAATTCCCCCTGACTCGAACCACGAACCTCGCTATCGCCCACCGCGAACCTTATTCCTGTCACCTCTTCTCGCAACAGTCAGCTCCTTCTTGCCCATTCTTGGAGACGCGCTCACTTTCGATCCCTACCTCTCGACTAGTTGCTTCTCTTCCACCTCCAGTCTTTTTCCGACTAATATCTATCTTTGTGGTCTCACCTGTCTGATACTTTATATATTATTCAATTGTATTCTAATTAATAGTTGCTGTTTGGCGTTGCATTTTGTTCTCGTTAGCAGTCAGGATTTATCGAGATAAAACGAAAGGATTAAAGATATTTAAACACGATGAGACTTAACAAAGTAAAAAATCGCAATAATAGAGAAATGATTTATAGAATTTTATTTCTCTGTCTGCCCTTGTAGAAATTTATCACTAGTAATGTCAATTAATCACTTTTATTTTGAATACTTAAAATACTGATACGCAGTAATTTTAAGTACTCGAAATAAGTGATAAATTGGCGTTACTAGTGATAAATTTCTATAAGGGTGTAATGAATATTTGATATATCTATTTGAATAAAAAAATATAGTCTATTTGAGAAGAATTAATAATTATTTATCTATTTATTTTAAAATATAATTATTCATTCGTAATATAAATACATATACACAAATGTATAAAAGAATATTGAAAATAGAAATTTTACGTCAAATACAAAAGTTCTATCTGTTTTTAAAATTGTAATCTTACTTTTTTCTTTATTTACATCTATCTATATTTTTATGATTGTAATGTAGATATTTTATTAGATATCCACGTATAACGAAACAAAGAAATATAAATAAGAAAAATTCATCTGCGAATAATTTTACATGTGATTATTTCCAAATTGCGATTTCTACGAGCACGTGCATGAATGACAATTAGAACAGTCCGGGCAACTTTCAAGCTTGGAATTCGCACCCAAGTACCAACTTGAAAACGTACATAACACCGTGTAGTAGTCGCAAGTTATCGATTTCTTTTCGAAGTATCAATAGAATACACATGGATATTATAGTTTATTATTATTTATTATAAAAATATAGTTATTAAAATTTCGAATCTAATCTATACAGTCATCTAAGTGTCTGCGTGTCCAAACTTCCAAATTGGTTATAATTTAAAACTCTGACGATGGAAAACAAAGTAATTAATCAAAAGGAATATTTGAAGAAATACATATCTTTCGGCGATACAGATCAAAAGAAGAAGAAAAAGAAGAAGAAGTGTAAAACGGGAACGAAAACGTAAGAATTAATCTACAAGTATTCTAGTTTTCATCAGTGTTGAATGTTGTACATTGAGGTTAGGTTAGCTTACTGTTATGCACTTGTGATGCATTTTTTTAAATAATTTTTTAAAATAAAAGGAAACATTGTTATCAAAATAACGCTTATGTGATCATGTTCGTATTATTTACATCACTGCAAATAATTTTTTATATGAGATTGCATATTGCATGTTATTCTTTGACTAAAATTATTCTTTCTCTTTGCCAATAAAGTTTTTCATATTTTTAAGTATAAAATTATAAAAGTCTGATCAATCGACACATATGTAGTTACTTAAAAGAAAGCTGTTTTTTTTATTTATGTCATATTTTTTTAGATTTATGCAGTATGTAGTAATTAGACAATTAAATTAATTTTTAATGTTGAAACTAAGGACTTCTCAGTATTTCACATATGTAAATTATTTTTAAGCAGAATTTTTTATTTGATGATGATATATATATATATCTTTGCAGAGTAACAATTATAGATGATGACATTGACCTGAAAAATATGCGACCTGTTGAAGAAGGTGAATTCGATATCCTCTTAGAAGGGGAAGATGCTCCACAAATTGCTGGTATAATTGATGAACGTGGACCAGTTGATTTCACGGACAAAAAAAGATGGAAAATTATAACTGAGAATGAAGAAGGAGATTTAACTATTATTAATCGTACTATCGATAAGGAAACAAGACTTCAAGTAGATGAGATGGAAGCCAATCAGAATAATAGTGATGATTCCGATTTGAGTCCACCTAGACCTAAAAATTCTAAAAGTAAAAATGCAGATTTAAATTCATATGGACAGTCCAAAAATGATACCTCAAATTCGAGTCCATTTAGATCTAGGTATTCTAAAAATAAACATGTAGATTTAAGTCCACGTGGACAATCTAAAGATAATGACTCAGATTTGAGTCCACCTAGATCTAAGCATTCTAAGAATAAGCATGTGGATTTAAATTCACGTAGAAAAGTTAAAAGTGAACCTAGAGACAGTGATTCAGATTTGAGTCCACCTAGGCAGCAGTCTAAGAATAATGATTCTGACTTGAGTCCACCTAGACAATCTAGGCACAACGACAATAACTCGGATTTGAGTCCACCCAGACAATTTAAAAATTACGACTCGGATTTAGAGCCACCTAGAAAAAGTATGAAACATTCGACTCGCAATACATCTGAACGAAGCTATCGGAATTCAGGTAACAGAGGCAGTGATTCAGATTTTAGTCCACCTAGAAGACACAAGCAGGATCTAGATATAGATTTGTATGAAAGTAGAAAAAATAAAAGAAACAGAGATTCAAACTCAAGCACATCACGACGCAAGGAACACCGTTCTCGAAAAGCGGATTCGCCATACTCCACTTCGCGTAGAAGCGACAGAAGACACGATCATTATGATAAAAATTCGTCCAGATCTAGTAAACATGATGTATCAAGGTAAATTTACGGAGGATAATTTTATCGAAATAAAATAATAGAAATCTAATGAAAATTATAATCAAATATTTTGTTATTTGTTGAGTATTCATAAAAATTATAAATATAATATATTTTTTTTAGCAGGTCAAGCAAAAGTACCCGAAAGGAATATGAAGATCGAGATCGTAAATCTCGGCCGCACTCGGATGCAAGAGAAAAAAGAAAAAAATCACGATGGGACGACGAAACAGACAATCTTGAACACAGACGCACGGAAAGTCATTCGAAAGATCGGGACGGCCGGATGACAAAGACATTAGATGGAAAAACAGCGGGATTTCAAGCTGCGAAAGAATTGCGTGAGGAAATTGAGGCTCAGAAACGACGAGACGCAGAGCTATTTAACAAGGTATTATAATATTCTTTACAATACAGAATAAGAAAAACAATTAATTCATTCATGGAGATAATAAATTGTTTCAGTTAAGTAACGAAGTCAGCGGAAGAGGACAAGCTGCAATTTTGCGTGATAAAAACACAGGAAGGAGGCGTAATTTGGAAGAAGAAGCAGAAAAAGAAAGGGAAGAACAAAAAAAGCAACAAGAAATGGATGAAAAATATGCCAAATGGGGCAAAGGGTAAGTGATCTTTTTATTTTTATTCATTTTACATTTATTAATATTTGTTTTATTTCGAATGTATCTCGATTAAAAAAATCTTTTTCTAATTAATAAATGTTGATAAATGCTTTGATATTTTCATGATGCATAATATATATTATCTATGTTATTTTTTAGTTTGAAACAAGTGGAGAATCGCGAGGAAAAATTAAAGGACGATTTGTATGAGATGAATAAACCTTTAGCAAGATATGCGGATGATGCAGATTTAGACAAACAACTGAGAGAACAAGAGAGAGAAGGTGATCCTATGTTGAAGTACATAAAACAGAAGCAGATAAAAGAGGGAAAAAGAAAGCCAGGTACTTATTGTTAGTTCGTTATAAAGTAATTCTGTGATGAATTTTCATGTCAATATATTTCAAATTTCTCACTCGATAATTTCATTTCTAGATCCTCCACAATATCAAGGTTCATTCGCGCCGAATCGATTCGGAATCAAACCTGGTCACCGATGGGACGGTGTCGATAGAAGTAACGGATACGAAAAGAAGTGGTTCGACGCACAAAATGCGAAGAAAGCGGTGCAAGAAGAAGCCTACAAATGGAGTACATCCGATATGTGATTATTACGTTTGCGCATAATTATATATATATTCCTACAACAGAAATTTTCTATTTCCATTAATTGTTAATAAAAAAAAAGTAATTTTTACCAACATCTCTCGATCTAAGATAAATATAAACTTTTTCTTTGACTTTTTGCGATCGCGAGATATACACGTCGAAAAGAAATTCGTATCGTTTATCCGTAATAACATCTTTAACCCTTATCCGTCACGAATTCGCTCTAACGTCGCGTAACGACCGAGATAGATTAGCGGGCTACGTGTGCGTGCACCGTGAAGACCGCGAGAGAGATCGATATTCGTTCCAGAAAACGAGAGGAACGGAGAGGCTGGCGCCGGTCTGGCAACTGTCTAGGCGAGCAGAAATACTACTTGCTGTCTGTGCGAAATCGATCGCGCGCTTTTAAGGTCGCGCGGGAGAATCCGCTCCGGATGACGGGCGACAGAGAGAGAGAATATGGGAGTACATTGGGAGTGGCGGGTAGATTTTTGACATAGTCATTCGCGGTGCGCGACCGAGACCGGATCGAAACGATCGGGTAGTCAATCTATATCGGGTGGTCCTTCGCACGCCGAATCCTTTAGCGGAAGGACGAGCACCGCCATAGGGTGACAGCGAGGCTTGCGCTTTAGCCTCCGCCGCCAGAAGCATGCCGCTTCGCGCGCCGGCCGAAATGTGGCTAGAAACGTGGCGATCGTTTCCGCGTGCGTTTCTCCACGCGTGAGAAACCGGGGAGAGTTTTTCCGCGACGCGACGAATATACCCCCGCGACATATATATATATATATATATATACATATATATATATACGTATAGAACGACTCTCCGTGGTACAAGCTCGCCACGCGAGCAAGGGCAGGGTCGTGAGCAAGCAACGCCAGTACCGTTCGCGACGCCGAGGACAGGATTTCTCGTCTGCGTGCTCGCGATGTTTGACTTTCGGTGAGTCACGATCACGGTCGGTGGAATCCTCCGTCGAAGGGGCAAAACGTGAGGAACACGGGACACGTCGCGTGAGCGGGAGAGCATCGGATTACTTTCGAGTGTGAAGGATTGTCTAGCAGGTGCCGGCGCCACGCGACCCGTGTCAGTAACCCTCGAATAAAACGGAAGGAAGATTCAGGGGTGGGAAAGAGAGAGGCAGCAGGAGGAACGTGTCGGGGCGAAACGTACATAGATAGATAAAAGTAGAGGGAGAGAGAGAAAAAAAGTGCGAGATATAGTTTTTAATAAAAATCATCAAATCTTAATATAACGAAATATATAAGCTTTAAGTGCTTCGAAGAAATTATATAGCGAGCTGTGACTAAAAGAGGGGAGTTACTTCCATTATTAAAAACACATTAAAAAACACAAAGACGATCATTTAAAAATATATTTAAAGCGTAGTAGATTTTTATATAAAATTTTTTGAGCAATAAGAGACAAAAAGGGTGAGAGATAATAAATAAAAAGGTGGAATGAGCAAGGGGGAAAAATAAAAAACGAAGAATGAGAAGATAAAAAAGTCAAAAGAGCGCGAAGAAAATTTATAGACTTTACCTCAGCCTCTCTCTCTCTCTCAAAGAAAAATTATACCGTATATTGCTTACGAGACTAATTGCTCTATTGAGAAAAGTGATAGCTTGATACGATTTTTACTCGGTAACGCGATGTTAACGAGGGAACTGCAATAATACGGGCGCCTTTCAACAACGTGGTTTAATCTGACATAAGGAGAGCTTAGAAACGAACTGAGGAGAGACATGGGGTGCAACACTAGTAAGGAAAGTGTTCAGCCAGCGGTTGAAGAGGGAAAAGAAGGCGAGTCCGTTAAGAATGGGGGTAAGCGCGATCATCCCTTCTAATTTATTAATTGTGCAAACAGCAGTGTCGCGAACGAGAATACTATTCAAACTTACATACCATGTAATAAATGCAATTTTGTTTGCGCTTTTGCACAACACACTTTCATCATTATGATTTGCATGACGTTCATATTTTTAATGATGATTGCATATATTGTCTGATGCTTTTTATCGCTCATCTCTATATATTGCGATTACCGCAGAACTTTGGCGTTGTTTATCTTGACAATGACAAAGTCCGCTTTGTTTCACAAATGATAAATGTTTCTCTGTTCAATACATACATGCACATTTCGTTAGATTTTTCGAGCTGATTGCGTGCACGCTTCAGTAATATCAACGCAATCAGTAGGGTCGCCGGGACAAACGACTATTTTCTGCGTAATGAATACATTCAGCGTGTGCAGTGATGAAATATAGAAATTTTTAACATTCAATTAAAATTTTATTTTTGATATTCCCTATAAGATTTACATATAACAGAAATTCTTGATTACCCTCCCAATGGAAAATTTCGGGTTATCAGACATCATTAGTGGTCGATATAGTAAGATCTACATAACTCTTAACCAATTCACTGGTAATGACTCATAAATGAGCACTTTGCCAATTTTGAACGAATTTGACTGAAACTTGGTATACCCATGTTTTATGTTTTTATACTTTTATAGTTAAACTTTCATATAAAATACGTAATTATTTGCTCTCACCAGTTTTGGCACAAAACGTCGATTTCGGATTGACCAGTGAACTGGTTAAAATATATTCTAATCTCTTTAAGCAATATCAAAATAAATTATTTTTTAAATTTAATTGACTATATGTAGAATAAGTTTTTTATAATATAAATATTGAAATATATCCAATTTTTTTATCTAAATATTTGATTATTCGAGACGAAATTAATATTAATATATTAATATATGTGAGAACAATACTTATACAAAAATGTCATTAAATCTTCTTTTTAACTTGTGATTCTCCGAACGATATATTTTTATAGATTCTTAATAAAAAGAATAAACGTCATTAACTTGGTGAACGAAAAATGGGACGCTTGTAAAATACGATGGGGACGTATCGAAAAACCAATGGAAGTAATGATCGCGTGATGTATGTCAAGGTTCAACCCTTCGCTTTCTACATCTATGAAAGTTTCTTATAATCGGAAAATGTGGTGGAGTTAATGGCGTCCGGGTAAAGAAATTAAATAAGTTAAGAATTACTAGCACAGGAATATACTATAACTCTCTCATATTTAATGAAGTTAAATATATTAATAAAATGTATGCAGAATTGTTTGGAGCAGCTTTTCGTCGGCATTTAAATCATATTATTATCTGTCGAGTATAATATGGTAATTGAGTTTTCGAAGGTAGTGATGGATTATATATTACTATACATATATGTGCGAGAAAAAAACACGTCATATGATAATAATAAAGAACAAAGAATGGATTTGTCAATAAATTGATTTAATACGTTCGAGAGGTTTCTTGGGAAGAATTTTCTTGAAATTATATTTCTATTTGTCTGATAAAATAACATTTTTTTTCACAACTTATGAATTTTGCATGTTTTAGAGTTTATTAATTAATAACTAGTAATTAAGAAGATTAACTTATCATAAGTTGATACAATCGTGCAATTGTTTAATTATTTAATTTGCGCACATTCTGCTTTACTGGCTGCAGTAACAAGTTATGCAACGTAACTTGTGCTTTTCGGGCACAGAATCAATTATTCGAAGCTTCGACAGTTTTCTGCATGCGAGATATTGGGTTTCATCAATACCGACATCTAGATATTCTATATATGTGTAATTCATCGATCGAAGGCAGAAATGCTACCGTAGAATGATGGATGACTACATCAATACATGTAAAAGTTTTGCAAAGATCTTAGAAATATACTAATCGACTTTAAAAATATCGTAGTTTCGAGCTGTTATGGATGAGTGTCTATTTGAAATATTCAAAGTATTAAGGCAATTTTTCTTCATGATCATAGATACAAAATTTTTTTAGTAAGTTGAAAATGTTTTTCTCTGCGTGATTGATAGATAAAATAATTAATTTAATATTGTAACAGTATATATATATATACAATATAACATCTGACCTAGTTTCGCTATTGTATATAATTGCAAATCGTTATAATTTCTGGATTGAAAATAACACAATCAATCAATTACTTAAAAAGAATATTTCACAATAAGCGATGTGATAACAATAAAAAACTATAAAAAAATATAAGCTTGCACTACTGCAATTGTATTTTTCAAGTTAACGAGAGTTGAATATAAATGAAACATTGTGCTGCCAATTGTATTTTCATAGTTGTATTACTAGACCGCATAATAATATGAGCAGTTGATGAGTTAGATAAGTAGCTTATATTGTATACATATAATATGTAATAGTTCATTATTTATTGATATTGTTTTAATAGGGATACTAAATTGTGTACGCATTAGCTTTTTCTTTAATCCTCTTTTGTACCATCACTGGCTTCTTAACGATTAAGATGCCCTGACAATACTATCGTCTTAAAAATGGCATATATTTCTTGATGCTTCTCGAAAAGAATCATATAATATTTCCAAAAAGATAAAATATTACCACAATGCGCGATTTTGCATTGTTCAATAATAATTTTCAAACATTCGTGAATTAGGAAAATGAAAAGAAGAGATTTCATGATATAAAATCACTAATATAGAATGACGAGAGCGCAGTAAATAACTACGAGCATGCTTGTATTTTGTGCCAAGTATATAAAAAATTAAAAAAGCCTTCACAAATCTCAGTTCAAAAAAGAAAATAAAAAAAAGAGAAGAGATCAATATCTTTCTTGAGTTCAGGAGAGTCTAAAGCGGACCAAGACATCGACTGCATTTAAATCCACAGACACGATTTATACACATTTGTATGTGACTCGATATATATAAATCATCCGATCGCGAGTCGATGCGCTCATATGCGGCAAAATGAATGTTCGAAGTGGCGAGTAAATAAATAGCGGGGAAAAAGAAAAAGTTTCGTAACACGAAGGGTTGAACGACACCTGCGACGGCCCTGTTCCGCGGTGCGTCTCGTCGCGAGGCGAGAATCGAGAGGGCCGCGACTGCGAACGAGCGGCGCGGCAGGGCCGTGATCGGCCGCTATTATAAACGGGGTCGCCGGGAACCCGGGAACAGTCAGTCGCACGTCAGATCGAGCCGCGCGTGGATGTGCAGGTGAGAGAGTAGCCGAGAAGCGAGGAAAACGGCGACGCGACTCCTCCGACCCAGGTGAGTCGCGGGCGCGAGTAGTGCGACCCGAAAGCCGCCTCTCGCCGATATATGACCACGACGACGACGATGATAGTCCTCCTCGCGTGCATGCACCTCGTCGTCGGCGAGAGAAACCGGGTTAAAAGAGGCGGCGCGAGGCCGCCGGCCGGGGGATGAAGTGATATTGTCCCGAGGCACGCGAATTTGCATTCGTCGCTACACATCGTGAATATATCCGCGAGCGCGCAAAAGCGAAAACGATGATCGACGAGGCGATTGTTAAGGTGCGACGCGCGCGATTCCGTTCTTTCCTTATACCACTTGCCTGCACATCCGAGAATGCATATCGAACGCCAACCGTGACCGTCAGGTCGAGTTAAAAAAGAGATCGTTATCGTTTGGCGATATGGGGAAGCAGTTGCACGCTCGAAAGCCCTAAATCGATTTGAGATCAGCTGTTTGATATCGACAGTTATTTCGTATCGGTCTGACGGAGACGTAAGCCGTTTGATAAATGCGCGAAATAAATTCCATCGCGCAAAAAAATCCTCGGGGAGAAAAAAATTGTCGCCATCAAAGAGAGAGAGTGAATTCTCAGATTGTAAATCTGTTTTTGTCAAATGCTTGATGGTTTCGATTTATCGTTATTGACCTTTTCATTTTTTTTTTTTTGCACATCATTAATCGTGAAATCTTCCTCATTCGATAAAAAATATTTCAAGAGACACTGATGGATATTATCAATTAATTATCAAATAGTCGACGACCTGAAATTAGAACAAAGGTTTTCTATTTCTAAATTAGAACACGACATTTAGTCGCAAGATATTAATAACTAAGCGGCTTTAAAAAAAGTTCATCGTTAAAAAAAAAAAAAAAATAATTCTCCGGAGTTTTTTAAACAATAACACGATTTTCTCTCAATAGAAGTATCTATCAAATTTAACTTAAAAAAAATACAAAATAATGTATAGAGAATCGGACCTTTCTATTAGTTAAGTAATAAAATGAAATTTACATCTATTTAGAGCTACGAGGTTTCATAATCAAGATAACGATGTTTCTCTAATGGGAAATTTGATTTCCTTGAGGGTAGTTCTAGTAACAAGGTCTGGGTGGATCGATGATGGGACATCCTTGCGTGATATCAGAAAAAGAAATAAGAGCGCGAAGCATTCAAGGAACATTGTTGTCGTAAAAAACACAACACGAAGGATGCTCGTAGAGAGGAGATTACGATACAAATAGCGGCTAGCTCCTAAATAAGCACATTTTAGCTTTTAACTGAAATTTCATATCCGCTATATATGCACGCACATAAAGTGCTCCACGATCTTATCATCTTTCTCTCTTCGTAGACTTTTTACTTTCTTCGCGAGCTTTACAGCGTACATAAACATAAATGTCGATAAAATTACCGCGGACTTGTACGGTCGATCCGTCCGTTTTGCACAACGTGGTAAAACAGTTGGGAAGCGCATAACTGTGGAAGAATTCATTGCTGTCGTCATGAAATGTCAGTGTATTCCTTCAAGTCCTACTTCGTCGAGTGGTAACCTAGGGAAACCGTGTCGCGCCAAAGCGCTCGATAGCTGAAGTGTTCTCTACTTTTCTAAAAGAAAATTCAGTTTCCGATAATGTCACACCTAATCCTTGCACCTCATAGTCTTCCCCTTTGCATTTATTCGAGCTCAAAGAATTTTAGGTTTCCATTGATTTAAATTTATAATATATATATATATATATATATAATATGTATTTAATAAAAATGAATGAACGAAAGTGCGTTATTTCCGAAGGAGATTCACCGAGATACCGGTAATTGAGTCGGATCATTAAGAACGTTTAATGAAACCTGGGAAACCTTGATGTCCGATACGGGAATTAATCTTTGTTACAACTTTGTTCTCTCGCCGGAAGAAATGAAGGAAATAATAGCGATTATCTTCTGTGATTTCCAAGGAAAAGTTACGTCGCGTGAAATAAACGCATAAGAACACGGTAGAGCTTTAGATATGTCGGCACGCTATTAGTGTATACATACATCGATTAATCATTTTGCGCGGGGACACGCAGATTTAATTTAATCGGGAAAGATCAAAAGAAATCGATTGGCCGCCACCATCTTCCCATCGAGGTGTGAAATATTAAATATGTATATTAGGCACTGTGTGTAATCTCGAACGTGCAGCGCGAAAATAGAAACGCTAATCGATACTTGTCGCTCTCTGGACGTGTCTGTGGAAGGTGAAATGTTCGGAATAAATGTAGGTGAACTGTGGCTAACACGGCGGCCATTTCTAATATACGGGATGTAGCCGCGCCCTTTCTGCACTGGGTTACGGATTTTCTGAGCAATTTAGGACTGTTTTCCTCTTGGGGAAAATTTATTCAAGCAGATAATCAGAAGATCCCTAAAATGTGCATCTCTTGTACCAAACATAATTTATGAATTCGCTATTATATTTTATTACAATAATTAATAATTGATCCCGATCATTCCTTTAAAAAATGTTTAGCAATATCACACATAATATCTTTAATATCTCAAAATTATATATTGAAATTAAAATTAAATTAAAATTAAAATTCTATTTTAATTACTTCTCTTCGAAGATATCTCAAAGGCGGGGGAAGACAGTGCAACGAAAACCGAGTCCTCCGAGGAGAAAGAAAAGGACGCGGAGGGAGATAAAGAGAAGGAGGAGGCAGCAGCCACGAAAATACAAGCAGTTTTCCGCGGACATCACGCTAGGAAAAGTTTAAAAGTGGCTAACACGGAGTCGGAACGAACGAGGATCGACAAAGCATCCTCGGAATCTGCAGAGGAACCTACGAAGGAACAGCTGCAGGAAGAATTCTCTGCCGACGACAAGGGTAAGCGATTCTATATGATCTGAAATGAATTCGAAGTTAGAAGAAAAATCACGCGAATCTCGAAAGCACTCGTCTTCCACTCCATAGAGCTCTGTAGCGCGGTTTCGAAGATACAAGCGACTTTCCGGGGCCACATGTCGAGAAAGGACGCTGCCGCTGCCGCCAAATCGGCGATAAACGCGGTCGAGAGCGCAACTGCCAAGATAGAAGAAAAGGTAAGTCAATCTCATTAAATATGTAGACTTGTTAACTATTTGATCAAGGAAATGGTTAGAAAAGTTGGATAAAAGAGAAGTTGCTTTATCCAATATTCGTCTCTCCTCTTTCGACCTTCCGCGAACAATTTTAAGAGGCGCTATTGATTCTCTAGAATTTCTTCTCTGAGTTGATGTTATAGATTTTCAAGAAAAGTTACCTTCGTCTCTCGTGCATTTTTCATTATCGTTATTTATACGCAACGAACTTTTGCTTTCGACTGAGTTATTTATAATATAGAATATTATATATTTAATACATAGAAATTTGCATTTTAATGAAATGTGTTTAATATTTAAAATTTTACACGTGTATGTACGCGTCATATAACAATTTTAAAAAATTAGGAAAATAAAAAGATTCATTCTCGATTCATTTTCTTGACAATCTTGCACAATGTAAATTAATTAATCCCGTTTAATGATGATTAATTTTCTGAGAAGGCTTCATTTGACATACACATTATCAGTTTTTTTGTCAAGAAAGATTAACGACTAGTAAAGTAGAGCGTAACTAATTATAATGAAAGAATAAGGCGCTTATTTAAAGAAATTATTTTTTCTGTTAATATATTATTTTATACTAATGAATAAAATTTATAATTTTCTGCACACATAAAAAATGTGTATAAAAATAATATGAATGGATATTCTAAGACGCTAGTCAGATCAAATTGATTATAAATTCATGTTTTTCAGAAATTATCTTTCTGGAAAATACATTATTATGGTTATACACTTTGTTTATACACTGTGCATTATATTGAAAAAAAGAATAAATAACTTCGCCGCTATAATCAAAGTAATTTTTTTCTCAATCCGTATGACAACATTGATTCGATCGATAGAACAGTAATGACAGGTTTTGATGCGCAAGGTCGTCGTAATCGATCATTTCTGTGCGAGGTTCGTGAGAGAAAGCTATTGTTAGATCCTTTGACGTTATGTTGATCCATGCCCGGCAAGTAATCGACAGCTGCCTTCCAAGCTGAAGATGATCTGGGTATTGAAGCGCTATTAAAGCTCATCCCGAGATCAGTAGACCGGTATGGTCTATAAAGTTTAAGTTACTTTCATGCCGATTAATTATGTACGGGATAATTGACGCACAGCAGGATTCCGCGCAGTCTAAGTCTCAGCGACGATATAAGAAGAGTGACCTCTTTAAACACAGGAGACACTTTGTGCACGGACAGAGAGAGAGAGCTCGATTCGGAAAGCTGTATTCGAGGACGAAAAGATATTTTAGGACAGCGACACACCCGAATCAAGAATCGATTACTCTCACGCTTCACATTCTTTTTCTCAAACTCTGCTCCAGATGCATGACGCTGTACAGGAATTAGAGGGGATCGACTTGGCCGATCCGGACTTGCATAAGGCAGCGACTAAGATTCAAGCGAGTTTCCGCGGTCACAAGGTCCGTCAGGAGGTCAACATTCATTCTACTGCCGACGAAATTAAAAAATAAGACGCTTATTCGAAACGCAGAGGGATGCCGGGAGATAGATTACTACTTATTACAGCCAGTGCCATTCTTAAGAAGATTGAACGCCATCCCCTATTTCTTATACCTCATAATGTAGCATCCGTGGATTATTGTAAGTTATGCGCGTAAATATATACGAGGCATTCCAAAAAATCTCTCAGACAACCAAACAATTTTGATTATATTAGTTCACTTTGGACCATAAAATTTGTAAACAACGATACCGTTTATCTTACGTTAACAATTACTCCAGCCTTCTCGCCCGGGACCAGTGAGACTTTTAAGCGCTTTCTACTTTGACTAGAATGAGGATTTTTCAAACGAGACATATGCACAGCTTGAAACACTCGAATGGAGAAATATCTCTATCGTTTATGGATATATAAAAGAAAATTGTCTGGAATAAAATTGCATTGTGTAAAGAAAGAGTATAATGGTAAATAAAAAAAAAATTGTTCCTTGAATCGATTGTTACAAATCGATTTTAAGTACTTTTCACACAATTCACTCTACATGACTATTTTCAAACTACTCCTGTATTATCGATTTATATCTACATTTTTTATGAGTTATATCTGTCACATATAGGGACAAAGTCATATAATAGACAGATTTTTCAAAGCACTTTTCAAAGTATGATAATATAATATACGTAGCATAAAACGCATCATGATTGAGGAAAAGAGTAACAGGATGGGTAGGAAAAAAAAGAAGAAAAGACAAATAGTTCCTTATGATTAATCAACATAATATTCGATAGAAATTGTGATCTACAAGAACAGAACGACGAATATACACAAATTCCTCATATCTGGTAGGTATGTTAATGGAACACGATAAACGATAGAGTATATCTTTGACGTCCTGCGCACGATGAACGGAATATTAGGATGCACACTATGCATGTTAACTTTTATAAGTTCTTGTATTTATGTAAAATAAACGGTATGGTTGTACTGTCTCCAATTTTAAAGTTATTAACGATGAAAGTGGTTTTCGAATACTCTTTATTACAACACGAATGTTTTGAAGCACGATTTTGCTTTTTTAAACTTTTCTAATTTATTAATCGTTAAAATGTGATAACTAAAGTATATTTCTTGACTGCACTTTTTACATTTTCCTACAATTTCTTCTTTACTCTCTTTCTCTCTCTTTCTCTCTTCGAAAAATTGAATGTATATTTGTTTCATTTTAAATGTGGAAAGTGTAAAAATGTGTATGATTGCTTCTCCCTTGAGAACTTGGAAAGAAAGCATATTGACCTAAAAGCAAAAGGAGTTGTATCTTGATCGTCATATTACCATTTAACTTGTTAACATTTTAGAGGAACTGTAAATTTAGAAAACTCTTTCTCATATACTCGATAGGACTAAAAAAACAATCCCAAATTTTCATATAATTTTGCAAACATTAAATCAGAAATATTTAATTATATTTTATTAATGCAGTAGAACCTCTAACGGAGAAGAATAATGACATTTAAACCTTAAAGTAAAATTTAAATTATATCGTAAATGTGAATCTGTGAAATTTTTCTAATTCAAATTCCCTTAATATGATTTTTTTTCAGATGCTTCAATGTGTCGAAGACATTTAAAAGAATGTGCTTAAAAAACCGCAATTTATCGGCCTATTGTCAATAATGGAGCAATTAAATCAACTATTAAATCGAAGTTCTACTGCATCGATTAAAAGCGTGCGTAAATATACAGAATTCATAACTGAAATGAACTGAACAAATCCGTCAAAATAACGAGTCTGTTCTTTCCAGTCATGGTCTCTCTGAGTGTGTGTTTATTTGTGTGCTCAAAATTGTTATATATACTAAAGTTAAAATTCCATTTTTTAAATTAATTATTACGTTTTTCTTTAAGTATTTATTAATATTAGTTTAGCTTATCTTTCCTAAATATCGACAACTATCTCTTGAACTTGGTTGTCATTTAGTCCATTTTTCATATGTATAAATTAGCATCGATATCTCGATACTTTAAAATGGGAATTTATTTTACCAGGCCTAAAGAGAAACTAACTCTTGTGTACATTATCGATCACCTTTCGTGTATGATCGTAGCAAATAAACGATCAGTAAGAGATTCAAGATGCATAATGCGAAGCAGCAAACGAGAACAATTTTGCAACTCAACTACTCAAATAATTCTTTATTTAATGCCAGCTTTATTCGTCCACAAGAAGCAGGGTACTGCGAATTTATTATTTTTTACTTCCTCACGTTCGTCCACGCGGTTTTCTACAGAGCGAATATTATTTCTATCTTCTATACTCTTGTAATTTATATCGATCGATATTTATATCAATTTGCTGAAGACAAGTTAAATAATATTACGCGTTAAATAATTAATATTTCCGATACACGTTTAACGCCGACTATGAGCAATAATCGCACGTATTTTATTGTGACAAAATTTTTGCGGTTTAAAATGATTAAAATTATTGTATAAATTAACGTATCGCGGCAATATATAATACAAACGACGATTCTTCCTCTCAAATATAACATGCTTTTTATTATATGTGTAATATTTACGATTGATATTGATTGCGATGGTACGTGCAACTATTGTTCAAAAACCAATATAGTGAAACAACATTTTTCCATTCGCGTTATTCAATTACTTTATTTCTAGTTTTCCAATTCTCACTTCCTATATTCTATATCCATCCCTAGCTCTAAGGTCATATTTCAAATTCACAGTAGTAGGGTTCCCAAAATTTCCAGAAAAAATTACAATATTTCGGACTTCATAATTATATATATCCACGATTTTTACTTATCGATTTCTAATTAGTAATTTATGAACAAATACTGTCTTGGATCACGATTTACATATTATTCATCTAGAGTATCTACGATTGTCGGCTTGTAGAAAATTAAAGCGAAACTTGATATCGTCGAAAATGATCTATCATCGAGTAACGTTATCTAGTTTATGTCGGAGTGAATACTGTGGATAAAGAATACTTGTTGTATCGAATTATAATATAGAATGCGAAACGTTGCGACGGATAATAGTCATTCTTGTCGATACGTTACTTTATCACATATAAATAGTTTAGTGATGCACAAGACAAGTTGTGGTAAAACTATATTGTAAGAATGTAATAAAATGACTTGTATCGCTGATACGAGCGGTGCATTACATGTATTCTGTTTGTTTAAAATACATACCTTGCTAAATGTACGAACTAAAATTTTAATATCTGCAAATTCGTTAATTAGATTGATCCGATACGATAATGCGCATATATAATAATGCATATACTGATGATAATGTAATAATTATATTACAAAATATATAGTAAATAATAACGAAATATAATTCATCTTTCTTTTATTTGAATAATAATGTAATAATTAACATTATTGCTTTATCATATGTTATATAGAGAGTATAATTAAATTATACATATGTCAATATGTATTTGAAAAATATTTCTCGAGTTATTTCATAGAAACAATTATAAAAATAATCCATTTCCCCAGTATTTTCTCCCAGAAACATTGATTTTCTAAGAGAGAAAGAGAATCACTGTTTAATATAAATATGTCGAAGTAAAGTCTTCATTAAATCGATAGGATACATTAAATAATTAAGTACTCTCGGGGGGAATGAAAAAGTATCCGCGCGTGTAAGCTTTGTTATCTGATGCGCATTTAAAAGTAAACTGTGACTGACCGTATTCAGTTAACATTTATACAACCAGATGTCACTTCCCAGTTATATCTTTCCCATCTCAACCACGCACAAACACATTCTTACTCCCTCGTTTTCTGTTTACGCATCCTCCATTTAGGGTGATTTATACAAGTTGACACTTTTAATCAGTGCGTTCAGTCAGCTGTTATTTAATATATATTATAATTATTAATATAAAATTTATATATTTTTTCTATATTTATTGCAAATGCACTGAGCATATACTAATCTTATTTCAATGGGCAAGACGTATTATTGCGATTACTGCGACAGATCTTTCAAGGATGATGTGGAAGCCCGTAAAAAGCATCTGTCCAGTTTGCAACATGTAAAAAATCGAGCGAATCATTATAACACATTTAAAGGTAAGATTTTTAAAACTAAATCTTTTCTCGTACATAACCTAACCTCTCTTGCAATCTACTATAATCTGTCGTAATTGATTGTGAACTATATATCGATATTTTTTTCAGATCCAGAAACGATATTGAAAGAAGAATATGCGAAGACTCCATGCAAACGTTATATGACAGTTGGAGACTGCGCTTTCGGTTTCGGTTGTCGATATTCACATTACACGCCGCACATGATATGGGAACTTCAACAGCTCGGTAATCATTCTCTATCAATTATCTCATCATTAAATTTGTGTAAAATGCGTAAACTGTCATTAATTAAAATTGTATTTTCAGTTGCAATGAAAAATTACAAAGCCTCGACAATTCAACCTAAAAATGGTTGGCCAAATTCGGAAGATATTATTAAAGAATATTTTGAGAACCCGCTGGACTCGAGCGGTACCGAGGAGCTTAATTACCTAGTATGGAGTATACCATCAAGATTAATTAATTATCCTTATTTACCGCCATCTTTGCAACCGGTTACGTCAGAAAGAATGATCGACTGCAATTTTAGCAAATGGGGTTGAAAAATCTATACGCTTAAAATATTTTTAAGAATAAATAACAAATATATATTCGCAATTCCTATTGTGTTATATTTTCAATTATAAATAAATAAAATAAAATTATACGGATATAATAAATAATAAAGTATATACGTGTTATCCCCCGCCAAAATTTAAACCGTGCTCGCTATATCGGCGGAACAAAGTCCTCTCTCCGGTCTCCCTTCCAGCATCGTTTACACCAATGGCCGAGCGGATCTGCCTTGGCACAGTGATGTTGCTATGGAACATAGTGTCTGAGCATTCGTTGCCACGACAGTATAGCGTAAGTCGGCACGTGACGCAACGCAGTGCGACGCGTAGCGCCTATCGAAGAGTGATAACCGATTTTTCGAAAGAAAATAAAACTCCTTTTTTCCTGCGACGTAGGAAGAAACGAGCCGCGATCTTTCGCGAGTGCATATCCGCGCGGAAAAATATGAGTGTTCGCGAACGCCGGTCTCTCGTATTACTCACGAACGCCTGGTGGACGCGTTGAAAAAAAAAAAACGGTGTTCCACTTGGAGGAGCTGATTTAGCGAGATTGGAATTCGAGTCTGGACCCTTCCAGGTAGTCCTCTCGGTGAGCCCTTCGATAAATTCCTCTCCTCGCAAGCGCATACGAGGCAATCAAGATCGTAGGAATTCATAAATCAAAGTGGGGGAAATAATATTAAGCGCGCGTGCGTATCTAACAATAAGAGACGTCTATTGTAAAATAAATACTCCGAAAAAAACTTGAATAATTCAATCTGTTTATTATATATACTAAAGTATACGAAACAAATTATAAGATAATATTCTATAAAAAAAGTTTGAATATAGAATCGGTTTTTATTCTTAATGAAATTATCTAGATAAGAGCGTAATTATGGAATTATATATATTTTGTGTTATTAAAATTATAATAAATTAAAATTCATTTTTTGTTTAACGCCGCGGCTTTAATTTAACTGAGCTCGAAAGCAAAGATACATAAAGAATATATAAGTTCTTTCTAATTCTAAGAGTCTGACGTAGTACTCTATACATTATACAGAAACTGAAAGTTTCCTACATGCCATCAGCTCATTTACAATGTACGTTTCATTTGTGATGCACATGACATCATGTTCTCAATAAAAAATATTTGATTGTTGGATAGACTTATCAGATTTTTATCACTATCGCTAGATATCACTTTTATTATTTATAGAAAACTGATTTCGGAGATTATACAGGAATTCAATTTAGATGAGGAAATTTTTGTTATTTTTCTTTATTACATTTCCTGCTCTATTTGCAAAATTAAAATAATCTATAGGAAAAAATCACAGGATATTCGTTTCAATCGCAGTGTTTGTATTATGATGGATGCTGAGCCAAACACAGCATGAAATAGAATACTGTCTTATATTCTCGACAAAAGAAATGCATATTGAAACGATAAGAAAATTCAAATTTCTTATCTACATTCTGTAGAAAATATTTTAGAGCCATTTTGTTAGATTCCTTTAGTACCGTGAAATTGATGAAAACTAATTTTTGTCAAGGATTGACAGCGATCTATTATTTTGTAATTCTGAACTTGTTGAGATAAGCAATTGTATTATTTCTTTTGGAATATACCTGGGAATCATGAAATAAACGAAAATTAAACTGGCGAGATGGTAAGTGCGGCGTGACGACGTGATGATGGCAACGACCTGAACAGCTCTGTACAATCTAGTCACGATTCTCGGTGGAGGTCGTGACCTTGCCGATATGCAGGATACGAGAAATATGGAGAACGCGAGGAATATTATCGGGAATCTCGATTGTTGAATTAATCTCACAGAGATATTCATTTGACGATTCTTTACAAAATAAATGAGCTCAGCAGGATTTTAATGAAGAATGAAATATTTATCTCTTGCTGCATTAAGATATAATGATAGATTATATATAAACAAGATTTTAAATATTTATAAATTCATTTCCTATTTCGATAATTAAGAACTCAATTAAAAATAAAAAATAAAAGTAAAAAAAAAAATAAAAATAAAAGAAAATTTGTCCCAGAGAGAGAGAATATTAGTTCATAAAATAATAATTTCATTTCGCTACAAGCGCTGTGCAAGCAAAACATACTGTGTACAAACTACGGTCTTGAATGCAACCCTGGATCGATTTGACGACTCAGTCTCGTTCATTGTCCCTGTATTTTAGTTCACCCTATGAATTGTACGTTGTGGAGCAGCTGCCTATAGCCGACAGTTCGTATATATCCCTAACGTCGAACAATGTCTTTATGCGTCGTGAAGCACATGATCGCGTTTGAAATAAATCTCTCTCTTTTCGCAGATTTTCATACCAGAAATTATTTCTCGAAAATTTTGCAAATTTATTTTATCTTGTCTCGAAAAATTATAATCTAATGTATCGTACATTATCCGAAAGACATGTTATTTACAAAATAAATTAAAAAAAATCTATGTTAGACAATTGCTTATGTTTCTAACTCTAAAAAGCAGTCATGTGACTATAAATACGCAAGCTTCGTCTTGATCTCATCTTCATTCTCTAATGTTTGTCTCCAATTCTCCCATGCCAGTAGAACTCGCTAAAAAACGAGTCACCCAACAATAATTTAATGTCATTTATTTCTATTGCCTTTATGCGGGCCATTACGTCACGGCGATTTCTCCGCCCTTCGTCGCTGTTTCTCGTCGCGACGATATAAGGCATGCTCTAATTTTCGCCGTACGAAAATTCAACGAAGTAACGCGAGACAAAGAAATGCAAACAGATGGACACGGATCGATAATGTAATCGGCGTAGCGACCGTTGCAAATGCAAATATCGGCTCGGAAAACCTGTTACACATCGTTGAACATGCTGTTTTTCAAAAGTCTGTAACGTCGCGGTCGAGATCGACCTTGAGAAATAAAGACCTCTTGAACATGTGATTTAATGCATTATGCTCGTTACGATTTACGTTCCTGCACGACTTTCGCTTTGACCGCTAATGGCATAATGCCCCGGGGATCGTGACGAGGCGATAACTTCCTCTCTCTTTCTTTTCGCTTTGCTTTTATCTACTATTCTAATAACCGCGATTTAATTTGTATCATTTAAATATTCGAGAGGCGCGACGTTAATCGACATTGATGCCGATTATAAAGCGCATGTATATAAACACAGACCGGATTCTACCTACGTAATCTCGATAGAAAATGAGTGGGAATCCGTTTAGGTGTTGGAAAGTGAAAAAAGAGCCTACGCGCGCTCTTCGTATTTGAGCAGATTCAGTTTTTAGAAGTGAGAAAAAAAATAAAAATAAAGAAAAAAATATTTTGGAATATTTTGGAAGAAATAAAAAAATTACAACCAAGAATGCAAATTGATATAAAAAAAGCCTTATTACTTATATCTATTATATAATTAGGAGCTAGTTATGCAGATTCAATTTTTAGAAGAGAAAGAAAAAAAATAACCAAGAACGCAAATAAAAATAAGTCTATTATTCATATCTTTTATATAATGAAGATCTAATTATTCATATCTATTATATAATGAAGATCTAATTATACTATCGCTCACAAGATCGCAATAAATGAATAATTATAATAAGAGTCGCGTACTACGCTTCTGTTCCGTTATTCCACTGCATATTCGATAAATATCTCGAACATCTATAAACTGTACGTCGGCGTTAATGCAGTCCATGGGAAGCTGCTACTCAAAGGGTTCGCGTATGAGAGGAACGGTAAAAAATAAAGAGGCAGACACACGAAGAGGAAGATGCGGTTGCCAGGCAGATGTCGCCGCCAGAAATGGGCGAAACTGATGATTTCGTGAAACTTTCGCACGAACGATTGTCACGCGATAGATTTTATGATACTTATTATGTCTCTTGGTTTCGAATTTGGCGTTTCCGAGTCATTTATCGCGCCTACTTCTTTTTTGCCCGACCTAGATCGCTTATTTCTTTGAAATCATTAATCGTTGTCGAATCATTATTATTGCTGGACGCGTCAGATTCTAACATCACTTCAGATTCTCAATTGCCTTAAATTCAGACAATTACCCATATCTCTATATCGATATAACGGCATTTAACGGGGAAGCTGTCATCATCGTCAATGACAAAATACTCAGTTCGTTTCTTATTTGATGGCGATTGTTTACAATGAAAATCGATTACATCTTTCGAGATATATATGCAGTCATTTTATATCCGTCGTAAAAAGTGTGGCAAACATATACTGGCGATATTTTTCTTGCTCTTCAAAGAGTAATAAATATATTTATATGTATGAGATAAAAGATTCTCAATCTTGAATTGAATAATTTATTAATCACGCAGGCCTGAGGAAATTATTCTTACTATTATATAGAAGAGAATAAAAGAAAATATCGCTAGTACATCTACACTTTTTTTACGATGAGCGACTACATATATATATATTTCGAAATATATATGTGAGATCGAATCGCATGTGAGAAGCTTCGTGCACGAAGCTTGCACGTATGCGAGTTACTGCAACGGATGTTCTATATGCGGCAGAACGGAACGGAGCGCGGACAGGACCGGACGCGAAGTGCTTACAGTCGGTACCTGACACGAACGTGCTTCTTCCTGCTAAAACGGTTTCTGTAAATAAACCCGCATCCGTCGAAGCTCAAAGCGAGAAAGGAGAGCCGTCTACACACTCTCTCTCTCTTTCTCTACATGCTGGTCTTTTAATTTGGGATTTCATAAGACAGAGATCTGACAGTAATTGAGTTGGCGACTTTCGCGTCTAAGTTGCGCTGTCCTAACTACGTGAGATTTTTGATTGTTTTTGTTACGAGAAAAAAAACATTGGCTCCCACAGTTTATCGGAAGTAAGTTCGTGTATCAATGACTGATACATTTTTGACTTGATACTTGTTTATTCGACACCATTACATCAATCTAAAATCGTTTGATTTTTATAGTAACAAGAACGAAGAAAAAAAAATCTCAGAACTATATCAATTTGGCTCATCGCGTATACATCTCGCGAACGTTAAAGATAAAATAACTCATATATCTCCGTAGGCGATGCTCATATAGTGGGGCATCATTGTAAATCATTCCGCGTGTAGCACAACTGACGTCATCGGTAAACGTTTATATCGCGGCGTTAACTGCCGCTAATGGAGAACGAACCGTTGACCCATTGAGAAAAGCTTCGCCAAAAGAGAGTATGTCGATGATGACAGCGATCCAATTAATTGACACACGTCATTTCTTAATGCGCTCGTTCGCGAGTATCTTTGCATTTCCTTTACGAGGACGATAATCGACTAATCTAATCTAATATTAGATAGACGTGCTAAGCTGCAATTTGCACGGAGAGGCGTGACTATATGTGCTTTCATTAAAATCATGCTATCATTGTGCGCTATCTTCTCGCTTGCGTGCGGGCAAACATTTACGTTCGCCATTTGCCTACACCACGACTTCTTGCTATCTTTTTAAGTACGCAAGATCTTGCGTTACGTGTTTACAACAAGTGCGTGCGCGACGTGGAAAAAATATTTTTAAAGTTCGTCTTTTCAGAGCGACGCGAACGGAAAAAGATTATCATCGAGAAACGAGCGAAAAGATGTGTCCAAGGCCGTGGGTACCAACTGTATTTGCACGATAATATACGTATGTTGTGATCATACATAGCTGCAAACTCGCAAAGAATTTGCTCCCATTTATTTTCGATTTACTCAACTTATCTTCGCGAATTAAAATTATTCGAATTTTTCGATAAAATTTACAGTACATGGATTTTTCCGATAATTATCTCCCTGCTTCTTAACCTTATATGCATCAAATATTTATCTTCGATAAAAGTGTGATCAAATATATATTTAAGTGTATAAATTTAATTTATAGAATATTTTCAAATTTCTTAAATATATTTTTATTTATTTAATTCACCAATCATAAATTCACCTGCGCACAGGCAGGTGTCTACTGGCTTCAAATAGAGTCACGCGAGAAACCGACGATGCACCTGCGCTTTCTGCCTCGACTGATTTTAATGAAGTGTCACTGGAGAAAATTTGTGACGCGTATATTTCAAATTTGACTTGAGAAGAAACAATAAAATGGGCAATCCTTTTTCCGAATTATAGCACATCCTTTCACTAATGTTAACGCGCTTCAAGATTATAGCGCATATTACGAAGTATGTCTTGAATTTTATCGTTTGACGCACTCCATCATGTTGCGACAAGCGTGTGTTGTTTATTATCGGATATCTTATCACAAATGCCTCGTCAGTCTGGTATTCCATGTATAAGAGACAGCGCAAGTATCGATCCAACTACGTTCCCCGAGAAATGTTCGTTCGCGCGTCCGAACTCGTACTCGTATAAGTATGATGAAATTAAACTGCACTGCGTAATAAGTCGATGACCTACCAGATTTGCGACGATGACCCGTTAGACTCTGCTAACATGCATTCGAAAGCTCGAGAAGATGATGATATCGCGATGATATTTAACGTAGACAGAGCGAAGCTAACGGAGATAACGATAAGATTTCTGCTTTCTCACTCGAAGATCTCAGCTTAAGAAATTCAACGAAATCCAAACGTCTTAATCGTCGGCTTTAAATTACTAGCCGATATGAAATCCGAGGAGGTGTAATTTAAGCAGACTGAATGTACTAATACACGATCGTATGTAGCGCCACAAGCTAACCGTTTATCCGTTTTACCACAGATATTAATTACTAAAATTTCAAACATGAAAGTATTACTCTTTATATGATACTGCAAATAAGAATAAAATGGAATCGGAAAAAGTAATTATATTTTATATTAAATTTAATACCAATTTTTTCCCTTTGCTATTTTAGATTTAAAGATATATGCATTCTTTTTAATTCTTCTATATTGATTCCTATAATTATTATTATTTAAGTCATCAGAAATATATTTTTATTTATTTTGTTATAATTTAATGATGCAGAAATTTAAGAATGATACAATCTTAAGCTGATTCGCCCGAAGTATTTTTGTTCCTAAATGTATGAGATTGCGCGATAACAAGTCATCCTATTTTTTATTTCTCTGTGCATTTCACGCGTTTTCTCCGCAATGAGCTAGCTCGGTATAGAAATTGCAAGTGAAATACACTTCCTCGTGGCCAGACGCGTTAGCAAAGTTCAACGGGACGGCCTAACGTAATGCGCTTAATTAAAGTTGTTTCAACTCGTTAAGATCATTCACATGAGATGAACAACCCTATAAACGGCATGCATGCTTGGCGTCAACTGCGACGATGGTTTTCAGTATGACTAAAATTTTCCAATTCCTTTTATGTGCAGATTTATTAAATATAAAAATCTGTTTAAATATAGACAAAATTAATTAGTTGCAAGCATTTGTTAAAATGTGACCGCAATGAAATTATTTTACAAACGCGGAATTATCATAAATTTCCGTGAGATGCGCAATAGGTCGCAAAAAGGTTAAGAACCCCTGGCGTAGACTAACTTTATGATGGGGAGGAGCCCCAAAAGAAAAAAGATAGAAAAGTCTTTGCGCGTCTCGGAAAGACCGGTTTTTCACTCTTGCCTTTTCCTTTTGGGCAATCCTCTCCATTCTTATCCGCCAATGTGAAGCTTCGCCTCGTAGAACTCATCTGGATCGATCTCTCGCGAAACGATAGCCATAATCTTCGACGAGGTCGTTCGTTGTAGCTAATAATAAGGCACGATAAACTTTCCCTCTTCCCCCTCGATGGTATATGTTTCGACATCGAGTAGCACAACTTTAATGGTGCTCCCCGAGGAGGATGCAAATTTCTCACAGCTATCATAATTGTTATAATTTCCGCGCAGTTTCCCTAATTCTCATGAGAATTCACGATATATGTAGGTCATTGTAGGTAAAACTTATTAAAAATATAATCTTTTTTCCTTTGCTAACATCGCTCTGCGCCGTGTATCATTAATATTTTTGCCAATTAAACTCAATTCATTACGCGCATAGCTCTAATGACAAATGCGGTATTCCCGATTCCCGTGGGTATCGATGGAATTGGATCGTTAACGTTACGTTACGTTACCGCGCCAATCTCTCCGCTATAATTCCACCTGATAATTCTACGGCGCATTTATTACGAATGCTTTCGTTTTACAGGCATGGCGAACATAGCGACCGCCGGTCTCGAGGTGCACGAGGCGGGTCGAGCGTTGCGCGTGCAAACGGAAGCGCCGCATCTCGTCTCCATGGGAAGCGGACGACTGTCGACGGCCGTGACTTTGCATCCTCTGCCCGAAGGTTAGATATAAAAGCGACGTGACGCCTTATTTCACCCTTTCCTGTCTCACGACAAACGCTTCGCTCGAAGAGAGTTTAAGAAGTTATTATAATCAGCTGACATTTTTGACATTTGACGTTTGACATTTATCGTACTGAAAAAAAAAAACACGGGTGCACCTGTGTGTAGCCAAGAGCGAGATATAGAGGGAGAAAGAAAACGTGAAGAATATGATCCTGATGTCAAATTACTCTAATTGGCACATTTTTCTATCATCTGTATCACCTGTGAAATTGTAGCGACAGATAAATTCATCGTCACGTAACCGCGAGTGATTCATTCTGTGTTTAATCCATTTGAATAACGTTATCTAAACATGTACACACACATATACACATTCTGATAAAGCTTTATGGCGCCATAGAGATACGATAGTCGTTAACTACTGCTACTCGTGTAACAATAAATGAAATAGCTCGAAAAAAACGAACGATACTGTTTTGTCATGATACTATGAAAAAATGTGGCGGGAAGAATCGACGATAAAATCTTTATTTCGTCATACAAGTATAAACGTAAGAAAAAGAGACGGCAAGTATTGTATTCAGTTAAATTGAAAGGCTCACGATAGGAAATAGCAAGACCGTAATATCCGCGACTGCACAACCCTTCGAGGTCTCCGCTTTAGCTTTTATGTGCACGCCATATATACGTACGAAGAAACTTGTGCACGCACATATGCGCGGTATATATAAACGTACGGGACATATAAATGGCATAAAGACCGTTTTTCTCCGAGTCAGCAGAGCCGTTTTAAGATCCCCACAGGGCCTACATTTCCGTTCCGGAAGAATAAGCTATAGCAGCCCTGAAACAATATCGTGCGGACTGTGAAACAGCGAACAGATTGAACAAATATCTTAGCCAACAATAATTATTGCCAATCTGCGAAACTTGATAGAAAAAAGAGATTTTAAGACATATATACGAGATACGAGATTTTTGTTTATGAATTCTAGAATCTCTTAAACATGCTAGACGATGTGCGTCATGCGTAACCAAGCATAATAAAATTATTGCGTGAGTCAAACTTCCTACTTCTGTTCCACTTTCGTAACTTTCGGATTGTTCGAGAAAGTCTTAACGAGATCGAGTTTTATTAAATAAAAAAAATAAACGAAAATTTTGACGAGATCAAGAGAGGCGAATGCATGAGAGAACAGCATGTGAACGAGCATAGAGCGTCGTATATATACATGTGACGCGAATAAATCTGTCTGGGCGGACGCATGTACCTGCATAACGCTTGCACGAAGATAGATATACGCGTAGGATGGAATTGATCGACAGGAAGTTATCTTCCGTTCGGCTATGGCGACCGAGTAAAGCGACGCCATCGAAAAAAAAAAAATAAATAAGCTTTCTTACAAATTTGTAATGTAAGTTCAACAAGATATCGTATACTCGACTTTTACGTAAGAATTGAATAATAAATTAAAATAAGAAAAAGTTTTCCGAGAAATTTTTAAAGTGGGTCACGACAGAAATTTACTTTCAAACTTAATTGCCAAGAGATTTTAATTAACGGCGGAGAGCGGTCTATCAATTTTTCAGAATATTATCTTCGCGCGAGATAAGAGTGCCACACTTTTCCTCCGAGCACCTGTCCCGCCCGTCTGTATCTGTTTGCATGCCGGAACACCGCGTCTACTTGGAATTTACGGTCGCGTTTCGTTTTGAAATCACAGAAAACTTTCTCCTGTACGAAACAATACGCGTTTACGCGACAAAATTCGATCTTCGAAATCTAGTGCCAATGATTCTCACGTTAATTAAAATCTGAATTTTCCATATTTTCAGTAAAAAAAAAAATACTTAAAATACAAAAAATATATTAATACATTTTGCATTACTTCAATATAATTGATTGATATAATGAGGGTATAGTGGTTATTCAAATGGATATATAGTCTGTAGAAATAGATATATCTTCGATTTGCACGACGTGCGAATTCATGTATCGCATTCCGAGAATATTGAACATGATCTGATTCATCTCTCGAACACGTTCGGCGAAAGAGAGAGAGATAGAGAGAGAGGAGAAAAAATCAGTGCAGCCGTTGCTTAAATCTAGACACCGTCGGACATTTATATATTTCTACACAACGCACGTCGTGCGGCCAACACATTTCCAAAAAGACCGAAAATGCAAGAGAGAGAGTGCACGACCGCGCTAAAACTAAATATAACTGCAGTCCTTCGTAGAATGCACCACGATTTACCCGTGTCGCGTGGAACGGAACACGCCCAGAGTTATTTTACGGAAACTAGTGCGAGTTATTTATCGATCTATCGAGAGCCGATTCTATAGAGCTCTGTGAAAAAGTCGCGTCCGCTTTGTGTACAAGTGTATTTTCGTAGATCTATTAAAAGTTAAACGATTCTCCGTGGCAAATTGAATTTTAAAGGTGCGCAAGCAATTAATAAAGTTCTAAGTGTCTTGTTAATTCAAATTTGCATTTTAATTCGACAGCATTTCGCTTCGATCGAAGTACTTCCGTACTTCGAAGTCTTGTGCATCTGGTGGAGAATATATCCGCCGTTCTCGTTGTGGTCGTTAGGTCGTTGACATTCCCGGAAGGCTCAAATTAATATTGTAAACTGGCCGGGCTCTCTATGCGCCTTTCGGAATTGAAGTGCGGCGAGACAATTCCGCGGATGAACTCGAGAATTTAATTATGTCGATATTTATATACCGATACACTCTCTCGCGAGAACTGCTGCCAAAATAAACGTAACTCAGCGTGTGTTATGTTGGAAAGTGCATTACTAAGCCCGCGAGAATTTCAATCGGAATGCATTATATATATGTACGCGCTCGCCCGGTTTCCATTCAACCGTAAGACACGCGCAAGAGATATTTAGTCACGCTTCCTGATCTTCCCTTTTTTTAATCTTGTATCTTACGTTTCAAATCAAGTTTCTCAGAAGTGTGAATATAATTTCAAAAATAAACAGATATAAGAAAAAATATCTCTGCAGCGCTTAGTTCTTTTTTCACTCTCTCGATCTCTCTTTCGACAAATAAATTTATCCATCATCTCTTTCATTTCTCTCACAGGTAAGATCACGCTGGGATCAAACCGAGATGCGGATATTTTGGTGGCTGGTACCGGCGTTGAACCCATACACTGCGCGATCGAAAACAATAACGGCGCGGTCACTCTTCATCCCATAAACGGAAACACGTCTGTCGATGGTGTACCGATAAATTCACCAGTGAGACTCGCGCAAGGTAAGAAACCTTGGCCTAAATACTAATAATCCCAGCTAATGCACATAGCTGACCTTCTAAAAGGGCAGCATAAAAGGTTCTTCGTCCCGACTAAAAATACTATTTCAATTAAAGATGTCTTGATATTTATCGGTACAGCATTATTTACGTAATTATTACAAAATTTATTTAATTAATAAATAAAATATTATATATATAATATAATGAAATATTATTATTTAAACAAATATAATAAAATATTATTACGAAATTCATTTAATTAATAAACAAGATAAAATACTGACGGAGATAAAGAAAACAATGTGCTAAATGTTTCAGGCTGCATGCTATCGATAGGTCGATCAAACTATATGCGCTTCAATCATCCAGCCGAGGCTAAGCATCTACGATCCGTCCTTCCCCACTCGAGAATCTCAATGGCGCCGATCAGTTTCGCTTTACCCGACAACCAGCCGCAAGAGAATCATCACTTGGAGCGAAAGCCGCCAGTCGCGCCGCGAAAATCTCCGAGGAATTCCTGCTCCGACGACGAGATCGGCTTTCTGGGCAAGCTGACTAAATTCGAGATGCTGTCGAAGCAAAACAGAAGCAATTGCGTCTCGCCGAAGGTCTTTCCCGCCGGTGCCCTCACGACGAACGTGCCGGCCGATCAAATCCTTGGTCACTCGAGATCATCGAGTCTCGTGTCCTTGACGAAATCTCCAGTGAACGGTAACGTCGAGTCCCCTTCGCAGAACTCGATCGGTTATCACGACGAGGCTCGTCAACGATCGGACCCGCGACTCGGAACGCCGACTCGATCGAACGCGACGAACCTGCAGTGCCAGAATCACAATCAAATCAGAATGTACTCGGCGGAAGCATACCTGAAGACGTGCAAGCCATGTTACCGCGATAGTAGCAGCAAGAACGTGCGATCGCCGTCTCTCGGAATGACAGCGCCCAAAATTGTCGCCGCTCGAAGCGGCGACTTGATGTCTCGAAGTATGACTTGTCAGAGCGCGAACGAGTTTGATCATCTCCCAGACGGGGACTTCAACATGAGTCAGAGCCTGATTGTCACGAAAACAACGACCACGGAGTTTCTACAATTGGAGAACTACGGATCAAATCCGAGTATCTGCAGCGCCGGGGACTCTAATCCCGCGATGTGGAGGCCGTCTGTCACTCAGGGTCTCGGCTCGAATTCGAATATTAAGCGAATTCAACCACCGAGCCCGGCATTCAATCGGAATCCGCGATATAGCGAGCAAAAGAGGGTTTACGCGAGAGTCAAGAGTCCTACTCCCAGTGTCGGCAGCAGCTGTTCCCTCGAGGAATTGAGGGAAAGGCAAGCCGACGCGGAGAACAAACGCAGAGAGGCGGAGACCAAGCGGAAACAAGCGCAGGAAGAGAGGTTAAGAGAGCAAGAGGTCGAGAGGCAAGAGAAAATGAGACTCGAAGAAATCTTAGCAATGTGTGCTGAGTATGAAAGACAGAGCACTATCGACAAGCCGAGGCAGCATAATCGGTAATTATTGCGTTTTGCGTATGTTTCAATTTAATTATTTTGTTTCAATTTTCTTCTATTTTTATACAATATATATTTTTTTTTAATATTCTATAATGTTCACTTTTCCAAAATAAACAATTAAAAAAATTTTGCAGAAATTTATTTAAAATTAATTTTTATATATTTTGTTTCAATTTTTTGTCAGAAAAAAGAGAAAGATTGAAGAAAATATTGTATTAGCAATTACATAATAAAAATACTTTGCAGGATCATAACAAATGGATCTCTCCCACGTGACAAGAGACCCGGCTATACCTCACCCTTCGACAGTCCGAAGAGTCCGTCAAAAAATCAACCGCATTTCTCCTTCGACATCGGCAAGCAAACCAGTTTGGGTACTTCGTCTTATGAAAACGTATCCGTCCAAAATTCGAAAGTTATTTTTCAAAATGGCAATTCGCCCTCCAATCGTAAGGATCAGTCTGTACAAATTGAAAATTATTTGTGCGACATTCCCGTTGGATCGTCGCATGCAACTACATCGAACAGTAATCAAATGGCAAAGTACTCTAACGCTCACAACACAAATGGCAGCTATAATTTCTCAGGCGCGGTTTCCCGCGGCAGCAATTACGAAAACGTTATCATCGGCAATAATAGAAATAGTTACACCGATGGAATCGATAATTACATAAAAGCTGACGACGACACCAAAGGCTTATCGTCCATATATGGAACAATTCGACCGAATGGAACGAAAATCGAGCAAGCGACGCAAAATGGAACCGCGAATCTTTACGAAAATATCGCGATATCTTCGACGACGCGGAATAACAATCAGAATCATTCCCTGCCAAAGAAAAACGGCCAGATATCGAACTCGTGCGAAATGATAGAGAATAAACTCGCGATATCGAACGACGATCTCCTCGAGGCGATCGAGCAGCTGTCTATGCTCTCGAAGCCCAAGGAAGTCTGCGTGATACCTAAGCGAAACAATACCGAAAAGGACAACGCAAAGTCCAACGAAGCGAAAGCCGACAAAGAGAGGAAGCAGTTGGAGGAGAAGGACAGGAAGAAATACATAGATTTCTTGCAAAACGAGAAGCTGCACATACTTGGCAACATGGATGTTTTGAAAAGGAGCGTCGCCGAAATTGAGACTCAAGAAGAAGAAATTAGTCGAGAGGTGATTTCATTCTTACTTTGTAAACTAAACAATCTTGAACAGATAAATTCACAATTGCGAACTGTCATCTCATATATGCGTCGTATATCGTATATTAAATAAGTTGTTTATTTGTTCTCTTTATCTCTTTCTGGGCATGGAATGCTATAAGACATCCGATCGTAAGTATCTGTCATGTTAGATAATAAGATATATTAATTAATAATAATTGGTGATTTCAAACTTAAATTTTCGTTATCTACATTTAAATGTTCCGAGTTAATATAATATTTATGTGTTTACGTTTTCCTATAGAATCTTTTGATATCGAATTTTTTTCAGCGCGCGATGTTCGTTTGTAGAATACGACAATAACGATAACAATTAATTTTTCTTATAAAAATGAATTAAATAAAAAATTAAATTGGAAATATATAGTAAAAAAATAGAATAACAGATTAAATAGAAAATAAATTAACAATGTAAAGATTTATTTATATACATCATAATTGTATCATCGTTATTGTCGCATCTTATGTAATTATTACACGGAATCTAGGAACGAATATGATGTATTTTGGAAGCAATTATCTTGTCGATGTTTTATTTGTCCAATAAATTCGGACTTATAAAAATTTCACTGAAGAATTGCTTGGAAGCTTTTAATAAAAATCAAATGCATTATTTGTTTGACAGCTCGAATTGGAGCAGGCGCTATTATCCGCGGAATATGAATCGGAATCTTTAAAGCTCACGCAGGACGAGGGAGAGAAGCTTAAAGTGCAAATGCGAATAAACGAATTGGAAAGAGAAATGGCAGAGGATAACGCGACTCATTCGAATTTACAAGCAGAAGCGAAACAACGCGTTCAAAAAGCACAGCAAATTTGTGCTCGACTGGACGAACAATTAAATATTTGCTCGGATGAAATTACGCAGCAGAATATTGCTGACAAGTTTGCAGCTCAGCAAGATATCCTCGAAAGCGAAAGGAAAGCTTTCGAAGACTTAGAGTTTCATCATCTCGAGGAAGAGGCGAGCAAATTGGCTACAAGAGAAGAGCTGCAGAGGTATATATTTAAATTAAGAACTGCATGTTTCGGGAAAACGTATGAAATATAAAAAATTATAAAAACATGAAATGTGTATCTCGAGAAAAATCTGTATAAAAAATCTGTATCTATATAATCATTTGCAAAATAATATTGTATTTTATATAAATTTTTTTGACAAATTTTTACAGATTTTTCTCCATCGCAGATATAGATTTACATTTTATTAAGATTGATTATTTCGCATATTTTTCTTGAGATTAATATTTTATATGTTTTTTCGAAATGCATATTTCGTGTACATACTTTTCACATTGATATTTTCTCAAGATTGATATCTCTTTGTAAATTCTTACAGATATTTAAGTGACCTTACAAATAAAATCGAAGGCAGAAAATCGCAATTGAATCACTTGGAATCGCAACGATCCGAAATAAAGAATACGGCGACTAAAGAGGCTAGATGTCTCGAGAGACAGAAATTAGGACATTTAAAGCGATTAGAAGAAGTCAGTATATAGCAATAATTACGAAAAACATTAACCTACTAAATCTAGCAAATTCAAAAAGAAATAATAAGCCTTATAAGTATATTAATAGAATTATACTTATAATTCTATTTTACTTTCTTGCAATATAAAATATTAATTATAATTGCTGACTAAGTATACATTAATTTTTTTAGTGGGTTAATATCTCTTTTCTCATCGGTTAATATATTGTATCGTTAATTAATAATGACTGAATCAATTAATGATTACGGTTATAACAGGCTAGAAATCGAGTACGAGAAATAAATGAGGAACTTAGCTATCTGGCTCAAAACTCTGCTGAATATTCTGAGGAAAAACGGTCCCCGAGCAGGGAAGATTTTGACAGAATCTCTAGAGTGACAAATGATTCTCCTATCGTAAATAATCAAGGCAGTTTGGGAAGAAAGACAATCGAGTCCCTGAAAGAAATTGAAAGAAATCGACAGCTTCATTTAGCTAAACAAGGTGCAAATAATTTCAATTTACAAATTTTTAAATATAATATAGAGGTCAAAAAACAAAAATAAAAATGTTAATATTTTTCTAGGAAGTCAAGTAATCTCGGAAGAAAGACGAAGAGTCGAAGAATTAAAAAGACGCGTACAAGATGAAGTTCGCTCGCAATGGGAAGAGAGGAAAATGAATTGTGCGTCTTTTAACAGTGTTGAATCTGGCGAAGAATCTTCCAGTTATTCCACTGGACCAACAGAAAGGTAAGTCGAATATAAATGTAGTTAGTTAGATTTTTCATTTAATTAAAAATTAAAATATTATTATTTTGTAATTCCTTTTTTGTCTTTATATTATCTCTGTATGTGAATAGATAAAAAACGATAACATCATAATTCAAAAAATTTTGCATTAATGATTTTTCACAATACATGATGCTTAAATATTAGTATCATAAGTATGCATTTTTATTTACATATACGAGAAAAAAATCAGAGATTTATTACGTCACGTAAAAATTAATGCACACAGAAACATACACTATTCATACAAAGTACATGAAATACAAGGTGCTTGCGTTATTGCGCAATATATCTAATCGTGACTCTTTTCATCGTTGATTGAAGCTTATTACGAAATCTTCCTCATCGACGCACCTCGATGTGTACTAGCGTGTAATAGTTTGAGTTCCCCACATGTTCAATAAAAAATTTAAATTTGTCGACGTAATGACTTATCATGACGTAAGGTAGACAGTTAAGCAAATATCTAAAATAATTTCGGTGATTATATAATTTGACTATATACACTTTTTTGCACTTTATTTTTTGTAAAAAAACAAATTGTTTTCATTGTTAAAAAAAATATATAAATGCATTTTAGAAAAAATGTGATTCTGAAAAACCCATTTTGCGAAATGTAAAAAAGATCAGTCTACACATTAATCTTACTCTCTCTAATAATGTTATTGTCAATAAGCAAGATACTGTTTAAGAGCAATTACTGATCGCGTGCGAGGGCCGCATATCGCGTCGGTTGATCAGCACTCAACTCGAGTCTTCGTTCTCTCGCGGTGCAAGGTAGGCGGGGCGTTATCGCGCGATACGATATCTGGGTATATAGCTACATGTCTTTCCGTGGCTCTAACGTCGCGTTAAACGTGTACGTGGAAAAAGGGAAATGCGAGAATATTCGGAGCGTCATGACGCGCGATAAACGCGGACAAACAGTGACTCGCTAATAACGAGAAGGATTAAGATGTGTATTCGGTGTCTGTTGTCGACAATGTTTCAAAATGGATCCAAGAGAAATAAGCGGGATGGTGCTAAACGGAGCCAGAATTACGGGGTGCAATCTGATCACTTTCCTCACTAGTAATCGTTGTTACATCTGCGCTAAAGATTGGATCTGCGACAACTGTTATCGTCCTCTGGAGAGTCATACGCGCGATATTCGCCAACGTTATTTGTGAGTTATGGGTTTTTGAAAGAAATCTTATAGTTTTTTCTATTAGATATTAATAATTCAATTAATAATTTATGAGACAATTAAAATCTATTTTTTTGAATGTACTAATTAATAAAAAATGTCATTTTAAAAACCTAAATTTAATTAATTAATTCTCTCTAATACAATTTTTTTGACATAAAACAGATTATTAAAAGCTTTAAAATTAAAGTTTATCTAATAATAAACCAAAAATAAAATTATTAATTAAAAACACAATTAAAATAATGATTAAAATAAAGCAATGTCTTTATTATTACGACAATATACATATGTGTATGTATTGTGTGTGTGTGTTTCACGCGCATTTAGAATGAAGATGAGATAAAGCTAACAAGGCGACACATTGCAAAAAGTAGAACAACGTTCACCTTCCGACCTCTTCATAATACGTTGTAATATATCTACACGCGCGATGCGCAGACACAACTGCATTTAACGTTTCACTAAGTATTATATATGTATGAGAGAGAGAAAGAGAACTTTAATTAAGATAAGTAAAAAAATTTAAAACTTAGATACTGAAATTATCATAATAATATGCTAAGCACTTTCCTGTTTACATTATTACATTAGCGATCTTTAATTTAGAATCGGCTGTATGTACATATTCACTAAATCTATTTTTTTATACCTATCACCTTTTGGCCTTTAGTTTATATATCATGGTCTGTTGACCTTTTATATCACCGTATTTTGCACTAAAACCTTATATGATCAATTTTTTCACGAAATTGCGATAAACAATTTATCTACTAATGTATTAATATACTCACTACGGAATTTTTTAAAAGATTAATTTATCTACGACGTATTAAATTGTTTACAGTGAATCTATGAATATACACATAGCGAGAGAATGACTTCTTGTATAGAGATCTAATCTAAAACTAAAGTATAGAACTCTTCGAAAGTAACATTCAATGTGTACGCCACGTGAGGCTTCGATAGCTTTAGAGCCGCTACTGAATGAGAAGCTTGATAAGTATTCTTAGTCGCAAAGACTATTAAAATTAAAAAGGTCAGTTATTGGGAACAAGGGAATGTTTATAGCCAAGGCCGAGGTTGGCATAGCAACGAGATCGGAATGTTCGAGTATCGTTCGTGCTGCATTTAACATTGTAGAAGAATTAAATGCTATGCCGGTGGTATCGTCGAACCGGTCTACCGAGTCACTTTGTACTTGTTAGGTTTTAATAATACCTGCCTTTCGCGCTATAGTCGACTATAGGTCTCGTCTTCTCCTCTCAGTCTCGCGATGGTCAGAAGCTAGGAATGTGATTTTCGAAGTGCACGGTATTTCTTACATGAGGATGTCGAATGCGCTGAATTAAAATTCGCGGAAATCAGAGTTCACGCTTCAGTTAATAATAGCGCTTGCTGAATCAGTCAGTGAGAAGTTTCATTTTAAACGTAAATAAAGTGTAAACACGATTCGACGATATCAACAGATCTACGATATTATTACGATAATATTGCTCGATAATCAAACAAAAAAATTCTCGAAAATCAGCTGGCATCTCACCTTTAAACTCGAAAATATGCATTTTTCAGGCAAAATAATTATTTAAAAAATTTCTAAGTGTTTTAATTATCAGAATTTTTTGGAAAGACATATTGTACATGCTAAAAACTATATGAGAACTGTTCTGGAAAAAATAGAATTCTTGAAAATCGACTGGCATCTTTAAATTTGAAAATATGCATTTTTCGGGCAAAATAATTATTGTAAAAAATTCCTGAGTGTTTAAATTATCAAAACTCTTCGAAAAGGCATTGTATATAGCAAAAACTATAGGATAACTGTTTTGAAAAAAAAATGAACTCTTGATAATCCTGTAGTATATCACCTTTAAGTTCAAAAATATGCATTTTTCGGGCAAAAAAATTAGTTTAAAAAATGTCTAAGTGTTTTAATTCTTAGAATTCTTTAAAAAGGGATTGTACATGCCAAAAAAAACTATAGGAGAACTGCTTTAGAATAAGTACTCTCGAAAATCGACTGGAGTTTCATTTTGATGTCTATTGTATATAGGTGTCCGGTTGTCTTTATTTCAGTTTAATCAATATTATTTGGCTTTTAAAAGTCTTCTTAGAACTCATATAGAACTATAAATATTTTCAATTCTGATAATTACTGATAAAGAAAATGTCACTGGACAAAATAAGACGCTGTGAAGTTGGTGTCTCAGTTTGTCCTAAGGCATTTTCATTGCTTTAATGGTCAGAATTATTTGTTTGAGGAGCTCTACAATTATTGTAAATAAAAGAATCAGAAATCTTAATTATTTATAATTATTTATAAGTTTCCAAAATGAGATGCCAACACACTCATAATTGCTATATAATGTTTTATATATTTATATTTTTAATTAATTAATTGCTTTGATAATTTTATTCGATATTATTCAGCATTAATCATTACATTTACGCAAGACGCAAAAGATATAATTTTATAATGGATTTATTTTCAGTGGTAGCGGAAGTAGCGACGGTGCAGAAGGCGGAAACAGTGAAAAATTGTCTCCTAGCAAGCTTTCGGAGCTTACTTCACCCAGTCCAGGACCGTCAAATAATTCTTATACCTTGCTTCAAAATGATAATGTGAGTATGCAGAACAGAGAACTATATATTAAATTAAATTTGAATATATTTAATTTTGGCATGCTATTTTTAATAAATTAAATTGTTATAATACAGGAAATGATACAGTTCGTCTTTGTAGTTGTTTATAATAACAATAATTTAATTTACAATTTAATTTATATATTTTAAGTTATAAAAAACATTTATAAAAATACATTTAAAAAAATGATTATTTGATTTCAAGATTTGATTATTTGTTTTCAAGTTAAAAAATTGCTAACATATTTTGATTCAAAAGCATTTACAGTTTCTTGTGATTTTTAAATTGATTTTTAATGGAAATGTTGAAAAATTACATAACAAATAAAAGGAAAATCGCTACAAATAATTCTAACAAAATTCGAACAATGATCACAAAACTATAATAATATAAGTTTTTAGCTTTTTACATATGTACAGATATTGTGCATATGTATTACAAAGTACGTGTGTAGAAATCGATCTCCTACGGAGAGCAGGAAATAAATACTTTATAACACGTGTATCTCAGTGTTCAAAAACCTTTATTGACCGTATTATTTCTTGTATTTATTTAAAAATAACGAACTAAAAAAAATGATTTTCATTTTATTTAAATTCTAAAAAAATATGATATAAGCAGTTTGTAGTTATACTTAAAATTAAAAGTTTTTTCTTTATTAATGCTTATTCTATATATATTATTCTATATATATTCTTATATATATTAATTATTGTTACTATAAACAACTATCTATATGTATGCTATCATTTCCTATATAAAGATTTAATGTATTAAAAGCAGAATGCGTAATTCATAGATTCACGTTTTGATTAATCTTTTTCATACAATTAATTTAAAAATATTCTACAATATTTATAAAATGATAAAAGTATAAAATTTATCTATAAAAAGTAATCTATATTTTAATCTAAAAAATATTTTAACGACAATTAAATATACTAAACATGGTCACTTGCAGATATGTATATTCCAAAATGTTACGTCTCTCGAATAAACGCGAAAATCTATCTTCCAATCTATTTCTGGTCATGTGGATTTTATCGCGCACCTGTTCAAAGAAATGTCTTTCGACAGTCTCGTCTCAATTTTTCAGTGTTCACCCAAGCATGATTTCTCTTGCCTCGAGACGCATTTATGTCGCGGCTTTATATATTGCGAACATCTCGTGCACTTGACCTCTTAACGTAAAAATTTTTATATAATTTGCTGAAATCGTGATATTCACAACTTTTTTTATGTGGACCTGCTAATTATTGGTACGTTCTTATATAGAAGACACATACATACATATAAATATCTCATATATAAGATTTATAAATATTACATATAAATAAATATTTAAATAAATACATGTATTATAATATAATTTCTTTTTATTTTTTTCTACACTTGTCTCTTTTTTATATCTCTCTCTTTTCTTGAAATTTCTTTTATTTTACGATCGATAACGTTAAAATATATTCTTCTTTAGCAATAAATTTACTTTATCTATTCTATTTATTTCAAATATTCACACAAAAACAAAAATTTAGTCTCTCAGTTATACGCAGAATACAGAGTACGTTTCGAAGAATTTTGAGTGCAAATGTTTATGTAAAATAGTCCATGAAAAATAAATCAACTAAAAAAAAATTATTTTAATTGTTTAGAGAAAACAACACAAAGAAAGAAATTCTTATAGTGTTATGAGATAAATTTATCATATTGTATGTGTCAGTTGTTCTAAATGCGAGAAGGTACGCATTTTCTTTTGTATGACGTTCATTTTTTTCGTGAAAATGTGGCAATTCAAAGATATCTTAACTTAGAGCATACTTTTGCGTACGTATTTGTTGCCGCCGGAAGTTCGCGCGTCGTCTTGCATGGGACCGCCCATGCATTTTGTGCGTCGTTGAGACGTATGTTTTCAACACTGACATTTCGCAAGTAGGTATCCATTTGAATTCTGGAGCAAGTGTTTTCGTCATTGCGCACGTGTTTTTCCCGGTGTACAACACGCATATGGACCGCGGTGCGTAAATGTCGAACATTGGACGGAATTCAAAGAATATATTTTATACTTAGATAAATGAGCTTTTGTAATATCTTGATTAAGCTTGCAATAATAATTTATAATGACAGAATTGATGATGTTGGATTCATGAGTTTCTTTTGCAATTGACCCCCTTTCTTGTATATTTATAAATGTAAGATAAATTTCTCATGTCATTTTCCAGACATTTAATTAAATATATTTTACTACAATTTTTTACCATTGTGTCAAAAATAAACTAGTAAACAAAATAATTTTTCAACATACTTTAGATATTTCTTGAAAAAAAATTGTATTATATTTCCTCTTACATTCCTACCACTACTTAGCATCGAGTTAAACTGAGGCGAAATGTCGGCAGTAAATTAGTGTTTGTGATGAGTCACATCGCGTTTGCCGAGCTGACGGAATTTCTCATCTCGTCTGAACCATTCAACTATTAAGAGCAATTATTTGAAAGAATTCTTGATATTATATATATAATATCAAGATTAATACTGAAAATAAGTTAATCTTATCAACAAGATTATTATTATATTTTAAACAAATTGATCAATAATATAAGGATACATATATATACATACATACATACATACATACATATATATATATATATATATATATATATATATATCCTTATATCTATTTATTTAAGATATAATAATAATCTTATTGCTGATAACAATAACTTCAATTAATCTATTTTTATTGAGATTTTCATAAAAAATATTTATTAAATCATAATTCATTAATATCAGTATTTATCTATCCATTATATCTAACGTAATTATATCTAAAGAATATTATATATTTTATTATATATAAAGAGATATATCGGCTTGTATTTAGCGATCTGTATCACGCGACGTGTATCATGTGATATTTTATGAATGAATAATCAAAATTTGTTGCGCGGGCGAATTTGGTGCTCACGGCATTCGTCGAATAAGTGGGTGGGAGTCACATTTTACGGTGGGAATTATATAGCTGGACCACCGAGCCACCACTAGCATCAGTCTTTCCCCGTCATCTGTTCGGATCTGTGTAAACGAAACGAGACGTCTTGGCATATTTGCTATCGCTTTCTGTAAAATCATACGAGCGAACTTTTTGAATTGCAATACAATGTCACTTATGTGGATAAATTATGTAAAAGGCAGAACGAAGAAACGTTACATCAGACGAAGACGTGAAGTTTGTAAACATGTATGCAAAAAATTTAATGCAAGATATTGAAAGATCAAATTCTTTTTTGACATTGTCAAAAAAAAATTTGAATAGATATATGATTTCTTATTTTTGTAATATTAAACGCGGCAAGAGAAAGAGTGAACATAGTAAAAGTAGTGAAAGTTGTTATAAAACAAATATATTGAATAACGAGAGGAACAAATAACGAGAGTTCGCGGATTATTTTCAGATGAGAGACGACAGGAGAACATCGATGGAAGGTGAGAGGCTTAGTGATAATAGCGGAGGCGGTGGTGGCGGCGGAGGTATCATCGACGGAAGCGGAAGTCGTCCCCTTTCTCAAACATCTAGCGAGATGGACACTCTTAGTCCACTGCAGTCTGTGAAACATCGTGAAAAGGCAAAACTTCAGGTAATTTCCTCTCTCTTTTGATTAATTATCTACAAAAGATACAAACAACAACAACAGCAGTACGGCAACTGCTAAAGAAATAATTAGAAGCGCAGCAAGAAGACCTTTATTCGAAGAAACTATACTCGACTTAAATATTTTTTTAATATTATCGATTCTGTTTTATTCCATCCTATTTCATTTTACGTAGCTTATTTTATTCTATTCTATTTCTATCTTATTTTATTCTATTTTACTTGCACGATAAATTGCTCAGTTTATTACATTATTGCTAAATCGAAATTCAATAAACGATGATTTTTACAGAGGCCACTTACAAGATATCTACCTATCAAGTCGGAGTCTCTAGATTTAAGGCATCACATAGAGACTGCCGGGCATCAGTTACCTCTGATTTATGATGTTACGGTCGACACGACGAGCTGCAGTGGCTATTTATCAAAAATGAGTAAAAAGTTTCATCATTGGAACAAGCGATGGTTTGTGTTCGATCGCAAACGAAAAACGTTATCTTACTACAGTGACAACGCGTCTAGAAAGGCTCGTGGTGTAATTTATTTCCAGGTAAGCGCATTGAAAACTTCTCTATATAATAAAAAAATGCTAATAATGAAATTATAACATTATAACAAAACATGACATTAAAAAATGGATTGCAGTCGATTGAGGAAGTCTATGTGGATCATATGAACACCGTACGATCGCCACAACCTTCTCTTACTTTCATCGTCAAGACTACATCTAGACTTTATCATCTTATGGCACCTAGCCCAGAAGCTATGCGTGTTTGGGTTGATGTTGTGTTTACCGGAGCAGAAGGATATCACGAATTTGATCACGGCGTTTGATAAAAAAAACTTACTTGTGAGAAGTAAAACGGATTCATGATATAAAATCAAATTCTCTGATTCGATAACAAGTAAAAATATAGCAATTTCTGATCTTTAATTACTTTCGATTACTTCATAAGATTATTTCGTAAGGAATTTTTATGCTTGAAATAAAAATAGTTTCCGATTAAAAGCAATAAATAGCTACGACTCGAAACACGAGATATGAATAACGGATGATTATTATATATTTTGAAATAATTTTCTATAACGGAAAACTTGTCCATATTAGGCAATATTCGGATATTTAAATGCGATTTCACGTATCAATATCTATATAGATATCAATGAAAACGTCGATTTAAGAAAATAAGCACAAGCGATGTAAGGATCAGGAGTTGCTCCTAAAGATGAATGAAACAACTAAATGCATATTTAAACTACCTAAGCTATTTATATAACCGAAGTAAGAGATATTTTAAAATTAAACATTATAAATTCAAACGAAATCATTGAATTTTATATAATTTTTTTAATATAATAATGAATTAAAACTATTTCTTGTAATCTGGCTAGTACTTTTGATCGGTATCTTAGCCTTAATTATTTTTTCGAGACTGCCATACGCTTATCCACATTAGTAAAAGAAATCTACAAGATATTGACATTAATTAATTGTATTAATTTTGATTTAAATTAAGATTTAAATCAAGATTCAAGAGATTAAGATTATTTTTGTAAAATGAGATTCTTTAAATCATCTGTACTTTGCAGAAAAGAGATCTCGGTAAATATAAGATTTTGAAAAATTATTTCAATTGTTTCAGTATTTGAAGCGTATAAAAATAAAATAACGTTTGATATATTTATATAAATGTTTCTTCAAGATTATTAAATGATTTATTTTTTATCTTGTTTTAAAAATGCACAAATTTTATAAATAGTAAAAATAATTGTATAAAGCATATATTTTTTTTTTGATAGAATAATTGAGGAGTAATAAAAGATTCCAACAAAGATGCTTTAAAATTTAAATCTTATTAAATACAAATATTTTATATCTTTTGTCAAATAAGTATATAAATCTTATTTTCGACGGTCTCTCCTCAATATTACTTCAAACACTGAATTATTTGAGCTATTTGAAATAATGGGCATTAATAATACATCATGCGCAAGTATTATTCATTAATATCCAAATTAATTAAAAACGGACTTTTACCAATCTAAGTAGATAAGTGTTATTAGAGTTTGTTAAATTTTATATATACTTCTAATCTAGTCTTCCAGCGTATAAATACAAGATTTGTGAAAAGTTAAACGAAATTAAGCAAATAATAATAAAAAAATGCTTTGCAAAAATCTGTATATGTTCAAGAACTGGGGAAAACCAATATTTGTAAATATATTATGTAATTGTATCATTTATATGATACATAAAATTCATATTTTAATATCATGCCATACACATATGCCAAGGATTAAATGGAATAAGACTTTTTACAATTTTATAAAGTCCATGTGTGTCTTATATAAGCTGCAACTTATTTTACGAAATAAATATTATAAAAAGATCGATATCTCATTCTGATTATATTATTTTAATAACATCGCACATATTTAAATAAATGTTTGCAGTTTGACTCGCACGGATTTTAAAAATGTCAGAATGCTTTATCATCTATATCATAAAACTTAAAAGATTATGTAAAAAAACATGTGCAACAATAAATAATCCGATAGTACAATGTTATATAACTCGAGGATTTTAATAAAGTCTATTGCACTTTTTTATTGTAAGATGATATGAAATATAGATTTAAATTGACATATAAAAATGTTTTTTCTTTCCTTGCATCCTGTTTAAAATATATAAATTAATGTAAATTTTTTAATTCAAAAAATTATAATTTATAACAGAAAGACTCAGTGTATCCTATTTTGTTTTCTTTAAATTTATTTAGGATCAATACCCGACATATATAGAACCTGGAAATTGTCACTGGAGATACAAATAAGTAAATTATAGACAAAAAATATATACATAGAGCAGAAGATTTATAGATCAAACAAAGGTCTTATATTTTGCTGATGATGATTATATAGAAAAGCAGAGAAAATACAGTGAGAAAGATATATTTTCTGTCATTCATATCTGCGCAATCTTTTGTTAAAGAGAGATGGACTCCTTTTCTGTTTTCCCTCTCTCTCTATCCTTCGAGCTATGTCTATATATTATATATATATGTTATGTCTTATCATGCATTCATTGCATCGATTTCCTTGAGAGTTGTCAAATGAATACTAGATGCACAAGAATGCTTCATCAGAAATGTACGCAAGGTTTGTACCCGTCCAGTAATATAAAGAGATTTGCAGTACCGGAGGAAAAAATTCCATGGACAGTCGAGTATCCCGAGTACAAACCGGTCGCATATACCTCTGCCATTCTTCAGGGCAAACCTTGGGCAGATCCGGACATCAACGAACCCACTTTCAAACCAAGATGGAATGCGATAGATGGTAACTACCTCTCGATTTTTTTTCTTTGTTTAAATTCAGGACAATTATCATAATTACGTAAATAATTGACGGAAGAAAAATGTCACAGAGGATGTCGTCTATTTATGAGGTTAACAAATTCACCGCATCATATGAGACTAAGAGTGATATTGCGCATGCGAAATATAAGCCGTTATCGCGCGCTATACTTGAAACATAATTCTTCACAGATAAGGTGAATCGAAAGAGTTTCACGGGTAACTACGCCGTAAACGCGAATGGTCAGCCTTTAAATCCTGTGGGACGAACCGGTATAATCGGACAAGGACTTCTGGGTCGATGGGGACCGAATCACGCAGCCGATCCGATCGTTACACGATGGAAACGCGATAATGCGAAAGCTGTGGAACTGGATGAGCACACGGGGAAACCTGTATTACAATTCGTCGCGATACAAAGACGAGATTCCGGAGAATGGGCTATACCAGGAGGTATGGTTGATCCGGATGAAACAATTTCCACCACTTTAATGAGAGAATTCATGGAAGAAGCGTTAAATTTTTTGGAAAAGAACGACTGTGAAAGAAAGACGCTTCAAGATTCTATAGCGGAATTTTTCACGAGAGGCGACGAGATCTATAAAGGATATGTAGACGATCCGCGAAATACGGATAACGCTTGGATAGAGACGGTGGCTATAAATTTCCACGATGAGGATAGTAGTATCGTTGGGAAACTCGCATTAAAAGCCGGAGACGACGCGCGTAATGTAAGATGGATGGATGTGAATCGTCAAATAAATTTATACGCCAATCATAACGAATTCATTAAAAAAACCGTATTGCGACGCAACGCGCATTGGTGAAGCTGATAATATATGTACTTATGATTACGATTGTTCTGAGATGAGAGGATATTATTAAAGAGAGAGAAACTATAAAGTTAAAAAAATTTATTTTTGTATTACGCATTGTTTAAGTACTCTCACGTATACTTTGCACACAGTATAGTGCATAAGCGCGTATCAACAATTGTCATTAGTCATTATACTGTCGTCAAACTATGTTATAAAATCTTAAGTATACCTTATATCGATAAAATGAGATTTTTCAATAAAAGATTTGAAATATATACATTTTTAACAAAATCAGAAGCTATAATACATCAAATATTACAATCTTAGGAAGTTTGCGAAGGCGTGCAATGTCTGAACTTTTTTCAATTGTAATTGTTGTATCGAGCATATTTCCATATTTGATTTTTTTAATCGCACATCACAGTTATGTTCTAACTGAATCACAAGTTTAAATACATTATATATAAATATAATAAAGTAATTTATATTTATATATAATATTAGTTTAAAATTCTTGCTTAAATTATATGTCAATAAGTATATGCATTGTTTATAATACAGTTTAATGTTAAAATTATACGTATAACTTTAACAAGATAAAAAAATTTCCAAACGCTTATGCATATACATTTGAATATATATAATATATACCTACATATACTTGTTTTGTTAAACGTAAATGGAAAATAACAAAATATGAAAATAATATTGTGAACAAATGCGCGATTTAGGTTTGAAGTAAAATTCTGATTTATATGACGTCATAAGTTGATCAAAAATTTGCTCAACTGATATCATTCTACGTACTACGTATAAATACTAGACACATAAAAAACAAAAATAGAACAAAATGTAGAAATTAATACATCTGTGTACCGTTTACATGACAATGAGTCTACTTGGCGCATCTTACATCGATATAATAAAAATATTTTTTCAACATGGCACGTGACAATTGTTAGTAGTTATCATAATAGGTGCTCGACTAGATTCTGTTAAGCCCAGAAAATCTAAAAATACTTGAGTAGGATCTTCGATTGTTTCCTCATAATTTGGCACCTCCAACGTACATTTTGCGGTCAAATTTGTACTTAATATTTTATCGATGTTTGTATTCAATGTGTAATCATTTAATTTTATTTGCTTATCATTTGCATTATTCTTTTCTAAATTTTCTTCATTTTTTAAACGTACGTTTGGTACGATGGAGGCATTGTTATAGTTCTTCAAAATTTCAGCTTTCTCTAAATCAAGTGCATGTTGCGCTTGTACCTGACCCAACTTGGCTGCTCTATCGAAATAAGAGCGCGCAGCATCAATGTCAATCTTTAACCCACCCCTTCCTTGAGCATGGAAAACTCCTAGATTATATAATGCGTCAGCATGATCATGGGCCGCGGCATCGTTGTAACATTTTACAGCCTGAAGGAAAATTATAGTTTTGTATATTTTGTAGCATATTATTCTTAGTCTAGCTATTTTATGTTTGTTATATTATTGAATATCTTTTATATCTTTATATATAGATCGAAAAAATTTTCCTAGCCAAATTGAATAATTTAGAATTCGTTTTTGTAGCTTTCTAGAGATCTAAATATTAGATTAATAAATTGAAAAGGCTCTGATATATAATTACAAAATCAGATATGAAAAGGGCTAATAAAAGCCAAGTGCAAAACTTGTTTTTAAATTTTTCTCTAATTAGTTTAAATGGTTTGGTTCTTCCTTTGGCTCATCCTTCCTACCATATCGATTAATAAAAAAATCGTCACGTATCTTGATTCGCATCTTTGTGTTACATTTCTGATAGTCCTCGCAGCAAACGATGACTGTTTTATTTATTTTGCAAAGTGTGAGGACATATATTTATCACTGATAAGTTATCATGTAAGACGGAAATGTGGATCGATTAAGACACGTGATTTTCTTACTAATCATACTGAAAATGATTCAAAGAAAGGACTAAAATGTTCAAAATAATTAGAAAGGAATTTAAAAACAAGTTTATTGTACCTAATATCTACGCCTGGCTCTCATTAGCTCTTTTATATCTGATTTTGTATTTAAATATTAGAGCATACCTTTTTTTGATCAGCTAAAGTTCCGATGCCTAATTCATAACATAGTCCTAAATTAAACATACTTCCGGGGATGATACATTAGCGCCCGCGGAAAAATGTTTCAAAGCATCTGCATAGCGTTTTTCCTTTAACGCTTTTATGCCATAATGAAATTCGTATTCTCCTATCACTAGGTTATGAGTATTTGCAAATTCGTCAGCAGCCTCTTTAAATGCCTAAGGATATAAAAAGTTCATAGGGATATAACATTTTATATATTTATTTCTATACAGAAAATAATCATAATAGAAAAATTTTAAATAAAAAAATAAATGTATACAAATTTTTATTATTATATGATACTTTTAAGTTATGCAGCTAAATACAGAGTTTAATTTCAAAATTCTATAATATATCTCTCATTGACAAAAGATGAAAAAATGACAAACATAAATTATTTAGTTATAATTTGCATCAATTTCCAAAAATAACATCACAATAAGTATTGAAATAAAAGAAGTTTCTTGTTATGTAGAGAAAAGATCTTCAAATTTGTTGAAATGTATAATTAAATAAAGAGTGCACAACATACAAATATATATATTCTGTACACTTATTTAATATTATTTTAAATGCATAAATCACATGGTAGCAACATGCTTTAAATATAAATATATAAATGTCTTACACAATAAATTTATTCAGGAGCATGAAATAAGTTGCATGCTTCCATATTAATTTATCTATGTAGCATATAATTGATCTATTTTAGCATATAATTACAGAGTATAATTTCTGCAAAATAACATCCTCACCTCTTCAATGGTGAGAGGACCAAATGGTTTACTAGGAGCTGCGCTCCATTCTGAAGCTGAATCTTGCTGATTAGATTTTGGTTTATTGTTATTACCAATACAATTGGTGACTGGTAGAATATTTTTTGGTTTGAAATTTAATAGCTGTGTAACTATAAATGAGACTCCAGAGTAGTTATATAATTTACTTTTTAAAGTCTCATTACTGTCTTGACCAAAGACTCTTTTGCGGAAGCAAAGAGTTTGGCATACAACCCATCCAGCTGCCAGGACACTGGACTATTAAAAATAAAAGTTACATTAGCGATTCAATGAAGTTTCTTTGACGTTACTTCGATGCATTACGACACACACAAATAATATTTGTTTTAATTTAAAGTATTTACCCAACCAACAGCCTCTGGCCAACTGTACTTGGTATTCCATTCGTATTTTTCGTCTTTAGCACCAGCGCTTCTGGCTGATCCGCAAAAACTTTTATCACAAGTAATAAAAATTGGTGGAAGAAATTTTTGTTGGCATGTCAAGCTTGTTTTGACTTCGTTCTTCGCGTTATCCTGCGACGATTGCGAGTAAACGTTGGTACGACAAACACGTCGCTCCAACGTTTCGCGAATTCCACGAAATACGACCTTCCACATTTTTTTTCTTCTTCTGCTCCTTTTTTTATATATTAGAAAAAACTTGATTCGTTAAAAAGGTAAAAGCTACTACTTTTAAATCGTGGTAAATCACTTTTATTATTATTGCATTCACTACATCTGAGCGCTAAGAGCGAGTGCACTAATTGTGCGCAGATTGCACAAATTTATAAAGAAAGACAGGTTGGTATCATTTTAATACAAAATAATTCTATTTACGTATTACTGCATTGTTCAATTTTCAAAATTCTCTATTCGACAGCCAATTGGAATATCTCATTTCTATACATTTCTGTTCATAAGAAAATAGTAAAATTTTGTATGGCTAAGTTGGTAGTATTTATTGGCTACTTCAATTTCTAACCTTATCACAAACGTTGAGAAAACCACGTTTTTAGAAACTTGACTAGCGAATAGCACGCATTTTATGCGTGTATCTTTATCTGTGAAAAGTTAATATTTATTTTTAACTAAAATGGGGAAGAAATCGAAAATTGGAAAGCAAAGAAAAGATAAATACTATCAATTAGCCAAAGAAACAGGTAATTACTAATATATAATGAGAGAGATGGAATTACTAAATAATTCATAATAGCTTGACATACCACAGTGTGTCGAATGATTTAATATTTGTCATTAAAATAATAATTAAGAGTGAATTTTTTATTTAGGTTACAGATCACGTGCTGCTTTCAAATTAATACAATTAAATCGCAAATTTGAATTTCTACAAAAGTCCAGAGTATGCATCGACCTATGTGCAGCACCTGGTGGCTGGATGCAGGTTGCCAGGCAAAATATGCCAGTATCATCGTTAATTATAGGAGTAGACCTGTTTCCGATAAAGCCTATACCAGGATGTATTAATCTTACAGAAGACATTACAACAGATAAATGTAGGGTGGCTATCTCGCGTGAATTGAAAACGTGGAAGGCTGATATTGTTTTAAATGATGGTGCTCCTAATGTAGGAAAAAATTGGCTCCATGATGCGTATCAACAAGCTGTGTTAACGTTATCAGCTGTTAAATTAGCAAGTCAATTCTTAAAAGCTGGTGGTTGGTTTGTAACAAAAGTATTTCGATCTAAAGATTATCACCCATTGATCTGGGTGCTAAAGCAGTTATTTAAAAGGTATTTATATGTAATATTATTAATACTATTCGAAATAATTTTTTTATTAATTATTATTTGAATATCACAATTCTATTTTAGGTACACGCTACTAAACCTCAAGCATCACGTAATGAATCTGCAGAAATCTTTGTAGTGTGTCAATATTATATTGCTCCTGACAAATTAGATCCCAAGTTCTTTGATTCAAAGTATGTATTTTCTGAATTAGAACTAGAATCTAAAAAATCTAACTTTCTTCAATCGGACAAGCAGAAGAAACAGAAAGCAGAAGGATATCCTGAGAATGACTATACATTGTATCATAAATTATCTGCAAAAGAGTTTATTGCCTGTGAAGATGCAATAGAGGCTTTGCAAAATGCTTCTGAAATAGTGATAGATGATGAAGTTATTAACAAGCATGAAAAAACGACTGCAGAAATTAGAGAATGTTGCAAAGATATCAAAGTACTTGGTCGAAAGGACTTGAAATTGCTACTTAGTTGGTGGAAATCATTAAAAGAGACACAAGCTGAAACAAAAGAGAAAGAAGATGTAGCAGAAAATGAAACTACAACAGCATCCAAAGCCATTAGCCTTGAAGATCAAGAAGATGTGGAAGATGTAGCAATTGAAAAACAAATTGTTGAGCTCAGGGAAGAAGAAGCTAAAGAATTGAAACGAAAGAAAAAGAAAGCTAATAAAGAGAGGATAAAGTTGAATGAACGCCTTAATCTAAAAATGATTCATAAGGCTGATGAGGGACCTAAATTAGAAGGGGATGACATGTTTAAATTAAGCCAGATTCAAAGTTATGAGCAATTGAAACAAGTTACAGATCAAACGCCTGACATTTTAGCAGAGAGCGATGTAGATTCGGACGAAGAGGAAATCAAATCAAAAAAGGTTTCTTATGAAAAAGAAACTGGTCATTTGGACAGTAAGGGCTTATATTATAAGTCAGAAGATAGCGAGGATAATGATACGGATGCTGAGTCAGATGATACAGATAGTGAAAAATCTGGACTAGGTATTATGAAATAAATATTAAAATTTATTTTAAATTTAAATATAATATTTTTAAATATTAATATTAATTTTAAAAATGTGTATTTGTAAAATTTTATGTATTTTTATTTCTTATTTATATTTATTCTGTACTTGTATATTTTTTAAAATTTATAACAAGAATTATTATCGCAAAATAGGTCTGGAGGATTCGGAAGACGAAAGTACAAATAAAATGCAAAAGAAGAAACAGCAACCTAAAGATTCTGACAACAACCCTTTGCTAACTGATTTAGATTTCCGGGACAAAAAGACTAAAAAAATTCATAAAGCTGAACTTTGGTTCGAAAAAGACATATTTAAAAATTAGAGAATGAAGATGACGCAGATTATGAATTAGATAGAATGATCGAGCAATACAAGAGAAAAGGTGGACATATTCTTGGAGAAGAGAAGATGAAGAAGGAAATAAATAAGGAAAAGAAACGCAAAATTAGTGAGAGCAACGATGAAAATTCAGATTACGACGTGGAAGAGATGATGGCACCGAAGAAAAAAGTGAAGCAGATCGGTGGTAAAGACGGCTTTGAAATAGTAGCACGAGAAACAGGTAAGAAAGCTTGGATGGAAATTTTACCGATCGAGACTACTAATGATTACTGGCAGTTGTTAATTTTGTCACTCTAATACATGATTCTTTATTATTACAGATAAAGTAAAAAAAAGAAAGTTGACTTCTGAAGATTTAGCACTTGGATCTTTATTGATTCGCCAAAAATCTCGAAGGGATTTAATTGACTCGGCTTGGAACAGATATTCGTTTAACGATGAAAAATTACCCGATTGGTTTGTAAAAGATGAAGAAAAACATATGAAGAAAGATGCACCTGTACCTAAGGAACTTGTCGAAGAGTACGAGAAGAGAGTCCAAGATTTAAATGTTAGACCAATTAAGAAAGTAATGGAAGCTAAAGCGAGAAAAAAGAGACGCACAATGCGCAAACTTGAAAAGGCCAAGAAGAAGATGGAAGTGTTGATGGATAATGTGGATATCAACGACAAAGAAAAGGCCAGACAAATTAAAGCGTAAGTAAATTTTTTTTAATACTTAATTTAATTTTTTTTTTATATTTAATTTATAATAATTTATAAACCGTTCTAATGTGACATATCTTTAATTTGACATAGATTATACAAAAAAGCCAAGAAGGAACCAAAAAAGAAGTTAAATATATCGTAGCAAAGAAATATACCGCGCAGAAGCGAGCTGTTCGGCCTCCTGGTGTGAAAGGTCGATATAAAATAGTCGATCCGAGAATGAAGAAGGACTTACGCGCGGCTAAAGCTAAAGAAAAAACTAAAGGACGTGGTAAGAAAAATCGAGGCGGAAACAAACCTAGGACAAGACCTAAGAATGTGAAGAGGAAAAATAAATGATTTCTATATTCATATGATGAATAATAATTTTTTAATTTAATTACGTTACAATAATCTTTTGCATTATTTGCATAATTAATTGGTATATGTAAATAAATGTTTCTATTCCACAAACTCAGAATTTCTTTCTATATTATAAATTTTATATCGATTTCAATTTCTTTGATTATCGATACTAATTAATTAAGAGGATAAATGAAGAGTGTACTGATACTGATTAATAGAAGATGTTGCGTAATGCGAAAAATGCATAAATTATAGTATCCATTAACGAGGTATAGGTCACAAAGTCTACACTTAGAAATTGTTTACATATAGATATTCAATCCTATGCATCAGTCTCAGCGCAGAATATACTATGTTAATAAATAGTCGTGCAATACGATCTTACTCGCGATTAGTCAAACTTGTCCTTGTTTTATTTCAAGCAATTCTGCTTTGTGTATAATGTCAATATACACGGAAATAACCCGAGGCACCTCTATCCATAATAAAACAGACAGAACAAAGTAGTTACAGAGCTGCAAAGTATAAACTGCGCTCTGTGCAAAGAAATTAGAAGGAAAAAAAATAATTTACATTAAAAAAACAACAGTGTCGTTCGACGTCTTTCGTGTCAGACAATCAGTTTCTAAGATTTTACGTAATCTTACGAAACAGTCTACGACTAGGGTATAAAAGTGTGTAAATCTTCACCACCCATTTGACTCACGACTAGCGTCCCTTGTATATAGCCCCTTTAAATCGTCCTTCCTACGCAAAACTCCTCCGCGGACTCATATCGGATATCTCGATGTAACTACGGACCTGCGTAGCGTCAGGATATCGCGGTCGATGTCAAGGACAAGGCCGATGGCATCTATAAAGATATCGCTTCGCGTCGGCGTCGACGTACCGTCATTTGCGAAAGTAGAATCGAACTACCGAATTAGTGTACGAGCGCCAAGATTCGTCATCGAAACCGCGCAAAATATTGGCGGTAAAATATAGATCACATGGCATTCCTTTGCCAACAACTACACAATGTTTTGTATACTCGATTAAAAATGTATCTAGTTACGCTTCTACGCATGAAAAGTGGCAGCGATATACCATATGTATATGTATATGTAATTTAGAGCAAATTATTCTATTAACATTTGGAAGCGCGCTTTAAATTTACGATTGTGTTTTCGAAATCGTTCTAACAGTTGGCAGATATCAGTGATGCACTTTGTTGCAACTGCGTAGCTGCAACAAGGTCGATGTCAAGGCCGATAGATGTATAGAGACTGCTTATTGCAACCCCCCAAATTGACACATTACTGCTCCGTTATTGAGAAAAGGGATTCGAGATTCGACCTTAAATAGGATATACATATCACACGGTAATAGATATACGCGGATATATATGGACGGGTTTATTTCCCGCCTAATAATGCATAGAGAGAGAGAGAGAGAGAGGCTTTTGACATTTGACAACGAAGCAGTTGGAATCGACGTATGCGTATTTAACTTTGCAATTTTGTGTTACGTCAAATTACAATAAATTAATAAATGCGAAGATGTCGCGCATCGATATTGACATTTTTAAGAAGCGTAAAAATATCTCAAACGTAAAAATTTATGTTAATTTAACATGATATTATTGTAGGTAAATGAAGACACGAATATATTATGTTAATATTTTAACACAAAATAAATGCAAAACTTCAAGTAATTTAAAATAAATTTTGTGTGACATTAACATAATTTTAATGTAAAAATTAACTAAAAATATGTTAATTTCAGATTTTATCATCTCCACTTTTATAAAATAAAAAATCATTTTTTTGTAAATTTTGACATAATTTTTTGTCACTAAATAAAACAGGACCTGATTATTATGTAAAATAGATGCACATTGTGTTACTTTTTGAGTTGTTTTAATAATTTAATATTTAAATTCAATAAAAATACAACAGAGCAATGTGTTAATCGTGTGTTAAATATTTATCACCAAAATTTTAACGCGGACCGTTTTGTAAAATTTTCCAACTGTGTTGTCATCGTGAGAAGCAGCAGCTTATTTGCATGCGGCGCCAAGTATCTTTTTGCATAAAAGATCACGATCGTGTGTGTCATATGTGATTGACACTGCTCCTAAATTTCTACAAACTTTGCGGAATAAGATAAACGATTTTATTAAGTTTAAACAGTGATTATTAATAATTCAAAATTCAAACCGACACATCCTCTCTCTATGCCTCGTCATAGTCGCCGTGATATCCGACGACGTTTCGTGTTTCTCAGAATGCGATATGTGAGAAAAGTAGCGTCGGTGTATTTGTGTATCTACACGTGGTAGGCGCTTACGTCAAGGGCGACCTCGACTTTCCACCGTCTCTAATCTGCGCTGGGGATCGGCTCCGAGACAACAATTTTGTTCGATCATGCGACTTTATTAATTCGCGAGGCACAGGGCGAAGCACTTTATCGCCCGTGATATATCTCGAAATTTTAGACGCTCCTGCGGTCTATTTTTAGAGCGAGTTTATTTAACGAATTCAAATATATATATACCTGTTTTGATAATATTATATAATCTACCTTCGTCGCGATTCGATTTAAAATTGCGAAAAAATGCGCATTTTGCATGCGTTTTATCGGGGTATTGGGGTGGAGGGATCAGATGACGTCGGTCTCGATGACGTCAGATGACGTCACATGACGTCACGGCGTCGAGTCGTCTCAGACGCAAAAAAAAAAAATATTAACGGTCCTGCAAGTGTATTAATGAAATTTCTCACTCACCGGTGTCGCTTCTCTTGTTCGATCTACGCTTTTTATCGTCTTACCTCGAAGATGTGGTAGCCAAGTGCCTCCTTCCTTCGTCGTCTTCAATAATCCACCGTTAATCCAATACTGATGCACACTCACACACACATATATATATGTATATATATATATATATATATACACCGGCACTTATTTTTCATATAACAGGCCTTTATTCACTCGCCACGAATATTCGCGTCGATCGCAACGAAACGCAGTAAATATTAATAATATAATGATAATAAGGATTAATAAGGACCGATTGTGTATGGCGATTCGGAGAATCCTGCGACACCGATTTCTTTGTTCCTTCCGTTCGCGAATACGAGTCGAATTAACTGGACCCGATGATTGACAAAACACTCCCGACACTTCCAGGACTCGCTGGACACCCGCGGGACTCGGATCGGACGGATAAATCACGACGGACAGCAGCGAAAAGCCGGGAGCTCTCGCAGCCCCATCCGACGTCAGTTGGTCTATGAGACACGATAAAATATCTCAAGCGGTTTGAAAAACCCATCCTGCGTGCAACTTCACATCGAAGCCCTGATAGGCGGATCGCGACAAGGAGTAACTTCGCGCGATGGGGTGCCAACTGAGTGTTCCGAACATTTTTTTCTCACAAAGTTGCCGGACATTGCAACTTTCTTTCGTCAATCGGTCATAGATATAGAAAATACATAGATTAGCTTGCGCCGAATTGAGATGATAAACGGAAGTAATTAGCTAGAAAGGGTTAGAGATATATGATATATTATATATATATTGTTCTCTCTTTCTAATGGCCATTATGAGGTTAATGTCATTTTTTGCTCCGAAAATGGTTATATCTCGATTTGTTCATTTGCAACACATTTTCGCGATTAATTAATCGAAAAGACGCGATGATTATCGCGGTCGCACGAATAATGAATTAATTATCGCGAACCAGTTTCGCTCTCACCGGTCGATGTACTAAACTAGTTTATTACACTTAGAGACTCCTTAATTACTTCATGACGCTTTTTAATTTATAATCGGACTGTCAGTTTTTTTAATGTGCTCGAGTTTTATTTTCATCGATCAATCAAACACATGTAGCCTATGTAAAAATGGACATCAGAGCGTGGGTGTCCGCAGGATTTTTTTTCAGGGAAAGGCAATGATTTATTTTTTTGTTTCTTATTATTATTCTTTTTTAATTTTTTATTATTTTAATTTAATAATTTTATATTAAATAAAATTGCAAATAAATTCCAGTGTTTATTCACAACGAGGGCAAGTGCTCCCAGCAAACACAGTATATATAAATGTTATATACTGAAGCATGTTACATGTAACGTATATGTTAGTTGTAATTTCCCACACTCATAGATGTAACATTTTTAATATTACATATATTACATTGTAGTTATATTGTCATTATATCCCAAGATAGCACTGACTTATCAATACATCAATGTGCTATTTGGTATATAATTACAATATAACTACAATGTAATATATGTTATATTAAAATGTTACATCTATGAGTAGAAAATTACAACTAGCATGGATGTTACATGTAACATACACGTTATATTACCTGCTATATTCCGTTTTATTATAGCAATGTAACAATATATATTGGTGTTTACTGGGCTTATATAATAATTATTCATATGATCAATTATAATTGCGATAATATTAATAATTTATAATAATTTCATGAATTAAATTAATGAATAATTATTCATAATTATTATTCATTAATGAAATTATATCATTATATATAATTCTTTACATAATATATGAAATGATTTCATTTTTTTTAGTCTAATAATCTACAATAATGTCATTGTCCTGCCACCTTGCGAGACACACGCGACATTAAATGCGTATGACGATCATGAATTATACATCCGTGAGACAAGACTAGAATTTAGGAGATTAGAAGAGGGGGGCAATCTACTTTGTACATTTCTATGACTGTAATGAAAACTCTCGGGGGACGCGAGGGCGCTCACGATTGGTCCTTTATTTCGCGAAGTGAGCGACGCTGCAGTGGGTCGATATCAATGTTGGTATCGATGTTTTGTGACGTAGTACATCTTCACGGGGTCAAAGGATCGAGTTGCAGCAACGATCAGACGTGTCGTCTCCTGTCCGCAGCAGCCGTGATTTCACGAGATTTATTGTACACAGTGTTACAATATTATTGAACATCGTAAGTATTGTGTAAGTATATTGACGGTGAATAATTATTGCATCTGAATTGGGAGTGAATGATCGAGAAACGACTCCACTTGCCGGCTCGATGCTATACCTTGTCCCAAAATGGCGACACATTTTTTGGCGGTATATTATCGGCCCGAGAAGTGAAGTCGATTCGTGGTAATTATTTCTTCTCTGGACGTCATATATATATATTACAAGTAAATAAATATTCGAATTGTGGAAAAATATACTCTCTCTGTCGCAGTTCATTGTTGCAACGAAAAATTCTCAGAGTACAAGTGCTCCAAATTTTTTTCGGATAAATGGCGATGTCTCTCTCACTTTAATTACGATGCGGATTAAGAATAGAAGGAATGGGGGCAATCTATTATACTTTGTACATTTCTATGACCGCGATGTGAAGTCGATTCGCGGTAATTATTCTTTCTTTGAACGTGTACCTATATATTGCATTAATTACAAGTAAATTAATATTCGAAATAATTGTGAAAAAAATGATATCGTACAGTTCGTTGTTGCACCGAAAAAAATTTTCGGAGACCGCGAGGGGGCGTTCATGTTTCGTGAAGCGACGCTTGATCTAATCGATGTTGGTATCAATGTACTGTGACGTATTGTGACGTGTGCATATTTTTCAGAAGAAAAAAAAGTGTAACGGTCAGACATGTCGTGCCCTGTCCGGAGCAACGAGCAGTCGTGATTTCACGAAATTTATTGTACACAGCAGTGTTACAATATCATTAAACATCGTAAATATTGTGTAAGTATTGACGCAGAATAATTATTGCATCTGAATTGAGAGAGAATGATCGAGAAACGACTCCACTTGCCGGCTCGATATCTGTCCTAAAATGGCGACACATTTTTTGGCGGAATATTATCGGGCCGGGAAGTGAAGTCGATTCGTGGTAATTATTTCTTCTCTGGACGTCATATATTTATATATTACAAGTAAACAAATATTCGAAGTAATTGTGGAAGATGAAATAATAAATAGTCGCAGTTCATTATTATGTTGCAACGAAAAATTCTCGGTGTAAAAGTTTTTTTTTTTTCGCATAAATTGACGTTTCTCTTTTATTTTACGACGCTAATTAGGAGCAGAACGAAGGAGGGTAATCTATTATACTTTGTACATTTTTATGACCGCGGTAATTATTTCTTTGGACGCGTACCTATATATTGCATTAATTACAAGTAAATCAATATTCGAAATAACTTTGGAAGAAAAATTAATAATCGCATAGTTCATTGTTGCAAACTTTGCCATGAAAAATTCTCGGGGGCCGCGAGTTTATGTTTTGCAAATCGAGCTTGATCTAATCAATGTTGGTATCAATGTATTATGACGATGCATATTTTTCACAAGAAAATCAAAATATAACGGTCGGACGTGTCGTGTGAATGTGAAGTAACAAGTGGTCGTGAGTTTCGCGCGATTTATTGTACGCCGCGATGTATACAATATTAGAAAGTATTATGTAAGTAACATAGACTAATTATTATCGCATAAATTCAAGTCATATTTGCGGACGAATTAATTATTGAGAAACGACTTCATTCGCTGACTCTCATCAACAAATGGCGAAACACTGCACGGGGTAGCATCAAGTAGATTCGAGATAATTATTTATATTTCTTTTGATGGACGTGTATATTATGCGTAAATGAATAACGCGTTCAAAATAACGTGGAACAAAAAGATAATTATCGCATAACTCGTTTTGCGAAACATAAACATTAACTCTCCATTAGACTTGTCGCTGTAAATGTGAAAAATTTTAAATATGTAATATTGCGATAAAAAAAATTGAGTATGTTCATATTTCAGATATCCTTCATTGTGTCGACAGCGAGGGACATTAGACGACGCTACGATCCACGAGGTATCAACTGAAAGCTGCGAAATTATTGCCTAATTTAGGAGATGTCTGGCTAAAGATCAAACAACACGAAGAAGAGGCCTAATTTTTCAAACTGCTTGTTGCATCGTGTCGTGCATAACAGAGAAATTTCGCGTTATTTTATCACGTTCGACAAGTATCGCGAATGCGAATATATTAAATTATCATGTGCGAATTCGAGTCGTATTCGCGAGTGTAAGTATCAACAACGGAAGATCAAAAGATGTAGGTCGAAGGAGGACGACATGGCGCACCGAGAAAAGACGGCAGTATCTATGGATAGTGAGTGTGAATCATTAATTTATCATATATATATATATATATATATATATATATATATATATATAATAATGCAATGTTTGTAATCATATTTACCAATAAGGATTTGTATTAATTATGCATTGCGTTTTGCAGGAGGACAAATATGAGGACGCATCGAGAAAAGAATCGGCGAATGGTCAGTGAGAATCTCATACATATTAATTCATCAATATTAATATATATTTTATCGTTATATTGCCATATTTGCAACCACATTTATTTATCAACGATCATTTGCCCATTAATTCCGCATCGCATTTCGCATCGTCCTTGATTCACGATCGTTAGATAACAACGGTTAGATAAACCATGCATTAAAAAAGACGAAGAAAATTCGAGAGAGAGAGAGAGAGAGAGAAAGAGTGGTGAGTAAGTTTATCGTGCCGACCGTTCTTTATTTCGCGCAAAGCACAACCTACTTCGAGTATATACTTGACGTTCTCCCTTTTATAGTCTCCAAGTTTTTTTATAGAAGATAAAAATCCTCTATAGAGGGAGAGAGGAAGTGGGAAGGAAGAAACGAATATAGTCCATAACAAGAGCGAGAAAAAGGAGCTATCAGGAGAGTGCGGGGAAGAGAAAAAGAGCGAGAGAGAGAGACAGAGACAGAGAGGGACGCAGAGAATAAGCAAGAGAATTGACGAGGGTGCGGTAATTGAGGATCGTTAACGCGTCCTCGAGGGAGATCGAGCGAGTGGCTAGATTTCGCTAGCTCCCTTCCTCCTTCCCTCCTCGTTCTCTGGTTTCACCCTCGCTCCACCTCGCCCCCGACCGCGGCATCGCAGACCTTCAACCGTTCAGGAGTGGATGGACCTTGTTCGCCACCGGGCCGCGGTATAAGGTCAAGGTTATCGCTCCCGGCGCGCGAGCGCGACCTCCGGATGCATCGAGCGAACTGCGCGCGCATTCGGCGTCTGCGTCGCGACGTCGGCGGCCCTCCTCCGTCGCCGTGAGCCATTGCCAAGGTCCTCGTTGGTCACGGGCAAACCCGTTATACGCGGTTGCTCGTCGAGAGCAGCGCGAGGTCGGCTCGTCCTGGGGTAGGACGCGCTATTAACCCTTAGCATGGTAGGACTTTTGTCACGCGGAATACGACGTAGGCGGGTAGGTGGAAGCGGAGAGTAAATGGATATCGCGGGTAAAATGAATCTTGTAAATGACATCGCATTTACACGGAATAACATCGATGAATGTTTTTTTTTTTTTTTGCTTACGCCACTATCACATTTTACTATGTATTATTTTCGTGTATTTTACGGTATCGATTTGTTTTTTTTATTGCTTGTTAAGAATATATATAGGTACTTATTGCGTTCTACTAAATATACGTATATGTGTATGCCTTTGATACGAGGTAGAGAGATGAAGAGAGAGCGGGAGAGAGAGAGACAGAAGAGACGATGGAAGGTCGGAAGCTGAGGGTGAATTGTTCGGGGGTGAGCAAGTTCAAGGCTGCTCAGTCCGGACCACGTCCGGGCCACGTCCGGGCGTGCCAACGCAAATACGATTTCGTTTCGAGGACACTCGAGTATCGAGACAACAGATTTTAGTCTTAAACTAGTGAATTGATTAGAGAATATTGTCGCATAAATTATTTCTAATTTATATGCACATAATACTGAATAACGAGTTACATGATATAATATGTTGCATTTCTTTTGATCAAAACATTATGAAAAATTTAATGAGAAGTTCACTGATTAATATTAGCTTAATCTACTTTGACGAACAATGAAGTTTTGTATCGATTCACATCGTACATTCATGTCATACAATGTTACGAGTGCGATAATGCGTTTTCAACGTAATCAGCCAATCGGCTGATAATGCTGCGTAGTCGGTGACCATCTGCGTCATTATTCCGCGTAGTCAGTGAATTATTGTGTTACAATGATGTCATCAAAACATTATCTGACGAAACAGTAGCGAGTCGCAAAATATTGACATACATATATCGCAATCTATATGAAGTCGAGGCATCGGTAAAAATTTTTGATCTTAATACTTTTTGAAAAAAATATAAATATATAACAAAGATGTTTTATTCTCTATTTTAATTAAAAATCTATTTAATTTAGCTTACTTTTTTCAGAAAATAATATATATATAATATTATATACATAATTTTTTCGAACGCTGAACTCTCAATTTGATTTTATCTTCAACGAACACAAGAGAGATTCTTATTCATTTTATCATTATAAGACGCGCCCCTTTAAAAGCGTAATTCTTTACCTCTAATAAGCTTCATTGCGGATATAGCGCACCTCTTCTAGGCGTTGACGTTTTTCCTTGGACCTGGAAAATCCATTCGCCCTCTTTTCCTATTTTCCGCGTAGGACGTGCATTCGAGCGCGGTAACCTTGAACTTCATCAGTTCTTTCGCTTCTTCTCTCTCTACATCTCGCTATTTCTCTCTCTCTCTCGTCTGCGCGAGCCACTGACGTCACGGCTATCGACCTGAAATCTCGAGGCTACATCTATACCTATCCCACGTGGGCGCATCAACATATGTATATGTCACTCATATTATCGTTGCGATGCAATACACGAAAATGACACATAAAACCATTTTACTCTAATTAGACTTATTGTGTATATAGAGTTTATATTTAATCGCGAATCTTGTTACAAATATAACTGAAGTATTATTCAAGCACATTTAGCGAGGAAAATTGTATTACATTTGCAAACTTTAACTTTCTATCTATAGACTCACAAGAAATTCATAGTTAAAATAGATAAAAGTTTTTTATATATACGTAACATTATATTTCCCCATTGAAAATATAATCTGAAATTAAAGTGCAAATTAATCTTAAGTAATGTTAAGTATCTTGCATTAACTTTCTTCGGCATATCTATATTTGACATCACGGAAGTAAGATTCTTTTATTAAGTTTAATATTAATACAATCGTCAGAAAATGTGGCAATTCATCTAATTCACGACGCGGTCGTAAATATCCATTTTTTTACGGATGGCTCGTAAATATCGCATTCAGATGTCTTACCGGATGGGACAGTGCTTATTGACAAACGTTCAACTGCGACTATTTGTGGGTCAAAAAAACACGGTAACCCGGAAAAAAGATTACTTTATGCTTTTCGTTCTTTGGCAGTCTGAAATACATTATGAGACATCACGAGCAATTCAGCAAAAACTTAAGACTCGGGTATGTAATGGTTTCCTAAAAAGGTTTCCCATAAATTTTTGCAGAATTTTCAAACCAGTTTCATTACATGAGGTCGTTAGGATTCTCTTAGTTCCAGTTATGCCCGATTACAATTTGAAAGATGGATAAATGACGGCTGCCCTTGTTACCCAATAATACTAATATCTTTTTATCTTAATCTTTGAAGAAATAAATTACAATTTCTCTCTTTCTCTCTCTCTCTTTGCAAATAAAATATAGATTTATTATATTTTAAATAATTCTAAATATATTATCACGAAATCAAAAGCAATCAGAAAATCTAATATAGGTCTTTGTAAGAGCAAGTGCATGGCATTATATATTATTTTCGTTCAAGTTGGCGTGCAAATGGAACATTTTCTTAGTGTTATATATCGATCGACGTGATCTTTGCAAGATTTGTACGTATTTCGTGATTACATTTTCTTTCCTTATGTATATATTCAAGGTCGATTTCTCTCATTGCGAATCGCTGTATTAATAAAGTAATCGTCATCGTCTAAAATCACGCGGTTGAAATACACAACGGAAATACCCGCAATTCCGGAAGAATCGGTGACATTCACGTATTGACATTTTACAGACGACAATTTCTAAGAAGCTCGTGTGTATATATGAAGCCAGCACATCATTTCATGGAAGATCTTAAATAGTTCAGGCTTTATTTTTAATAGATCTAGAATTCTTAATATTTATGATATTGTGTTGCATATTTATATTGTGTATGTTAAAATCTGAAATAATAAAATTATTCTAATATATGTATGTATTTTATTTGTTACAGGTTTGCAAAACACAGTGCGATTCACACGTCGGGAGTTCCGTATAAAATGTCGCACGTCGGGAGTGCCGTGTAAAATTTTGCGTGTCGGGAGTGCCGAGTAAAGTGTCGGGCGATTGTAATAATTTGTTTTTTTCGCGAGTGTATGAGTGCTGCAAAGGACCAAGAGAGGAGGAAAAGGAGGAGTACGAGGCTCGGGGAGGCATTGAGCATCGGGTGACAGCGGGGCAACTGTAAGGTATGCAAAATAAAAAATTTTTTTTTAAACTGCATTGTTTATGAAATATTCATTTCTAGACTTTCAAAACATTCTGTATACACAAAAACACACATACACACACGTGTATACATAATTTGAATATTTTGTTTTCAGGTCAATGTGCTACAACTCCGCTATTGCAGGTATTGGTGAGTGAGAAATTTTATATTTCTATAGGTGTGTGTGAAGCGTCCTATTTCGTGGAAATCTCAAAATTAAGAGTTCTGATTTTATTATCAATAGTTTTAGAGTTGCTGACAGTTTAAAAAAAAGTTTTGACGATTAAGCCAAAGAAAATACCTAAGGACAAACTGATATATCAACTTGACGCAGCATATCACTTTATTCTGACATTTATCAATAATGTTCAAATAAAAGATTTATAGTTTCTATAAGAGTTCTAAGAAGAGCCTTTTTGCCTTCTAAAAATAACAAATATTAATTTAAAAAATATTACTAAAGTAATATTAATTATTAATTGAATATAAATATATTAATTGAAAAAATATTAATTAAAACCAAATAAATTATTTATGATTTTCCACGAAATAATATGCTAGTTTTACTCACATACACAAAAAGCTTGCATAGAAATGCGACCTGTGCTAAATGCAGCATCGTTGTTTGCTAAACAGTCGCATACTTCCCATACCACACATAATATAATTAAAGCACGCGGCGAGCTTTCAAAGGCATATAACACGTGCCAAAAGACGAGAGTAATTTATATGTATAAACCTGTTTACGGAAACGTTTACTTGCCAACTACTTATATATATATATTTCATTTTTATATTTTATTTGTATAATACAATTTATCGAATTAGTTTATTAGTACAATTTATCGAATTAGTAACGCGGATAATTACATTATCGTAAGAACATAAACGACTTTTTTCTAGATGTCTTAATTTTGTAATTTTATTATTTTTTAATGTACGCAATATATTTGCAAAATGATTTGTGTGCTTGAAACTATGAGATTACATCTTTCGCGGCAATAATGTTTTAGAAGAATGAATAAATTTACATATGTGTGCTTTGCGGCAGAATGGTCTATACATATAAATTCAAGGCGGAGGCCAAAGTGCACTTATGTCCGCATTTTAATGCTAAAAGCGGAACCAAGGATATCGAGACTTCTATTAAGGTAAGGAAAGGGTGATTTAAACACGATATCGCGTTATACCCTTTGTCCGCCAAGGATCTCGCCGTGATTTTTAAAATTATTCATATAATGTATTCTATAACATTTCACACATTGCACAATGCGTGATGCATGTATATTGCGCACATATATTTCTTTTGAAAATTGTTTTACTGATATTACATCCGTAATATTTTCTTTACAATGTTTTACTTGGGGTGGGTGATAATATCTTTATGATTCTTTAAGAAATTCGTTCATTATCGTATGGTAAAAGAGAGATATTTTCGCAGTTTTATGAAAGTGTCATAAGAATCTAAAGTCGAAAAAGTTTTGAAATAAGCTTTTCAATATGTATACAGTTGCTGAATCTTTACGATTGCACGCTTTGAATATTTCAACGTAGTTCAATTATTATATTTCTTTAAAAATTAGTTAACAGATAGAATTTTGAGAACGTTTGGCAAAAGTATACTTGAGAAAATTAAAAATTTATTATTTTTTCTGTCTGTTTTGGCATGATATTTTATGAATTTTCAAAAAATACTATTATAAGAGTTTTAATAATATTTTTCATAGTTTTATAGTTCCACAAATTAAAAAGTTCTGCATTCCTTACATTAAAAATTCAAAATTGAAAAAATGTGTTAACTTCGCAAATCTAACACGACACCCTTCTCTTTAAAGTAACGCGTGTAATATATATTATTTTTGACAAGAAAATTTTATATTATTTTTAACATCTTCTGACAGTTCTGTTCAAGTTCAGTACATATGTGCAATTTTAAATCTCTTTCTACTAATTAATAATTTTTAATCGATTTTTAATATCTACACTCAGCAATTAAGTAAAAATGTATTGTGCTGATTTTCCGTAGTTAATAGTTTTCAAAAGTTCTTTGGATTAATTATAAAAAGAGTTTCGATTATTAATATTAAAAAATTTTTAATAATTTAAGTGCTCATGATTTTCGATTATTTAACATTATTTTCGACAGTTTTGTTAGAGTTCTATGCTCTTAAGAAGTTTTGATTAAAAAAATATATTTTATTAATTTTTAGTGAAATTGTGTTCTGCACATTTGATTATCTTGGTAGTATTTGATGACAAGAAGCACGTAGATAAAATATAAGCACGTGCAAGTCCTGTCTAAAAATGTATTGTATTATTTATTTTTTTTTTTTTTTATTAGTAGGTAGTAATATTGTTTTCTGTACTTTATCACACATTTGACATTGCATGCTTAGGAAGTTTTTCTTAAAAATATATTTTAATTTTTAGTGAAATTGTGTTTTAGAAAATTGTGTTCTGTACATTTGATTCTTTGTAGTATTTGATGAAAGACAGGAAGCACGTAGATAAAATATAAGCACGTGCAAGTCCTGTCTAAAAATGTATTGTATTATTTTTTTTTATATTAGTAAGTAGTAATATTGTTTTCTGTACTTTATCTCACGTTTGACATTGTATGCTTAGGAAGTTTTGCTTAAAAATATATTTTAATTTTTAGTGAAATTGTGTTTTAGTAAAATTGTGTTCTGTATATTTAATTCTTTGTAGTATTTGATGAAAGATAGGAAGCACGTATATAAAATTTAAGCACGTGCAAGTCCTGTCTAAAAATGTATTATTTTTTTGTATTAGTAGTAATATTGTTTTCTGTACTTTATCGCACGTTTGACATTGCATGCTTAGGAAGTTCTGATTAAAAATATATTTTAGTTTTTAGTGAAATTGTGTCCTGTACATTTGATTCTTTGTAGTATTTGATGAAAGACGGGAAGCACGTAGATAAAATATAAGCACGTGCAAGTCCTGTCTAAAAATGTATTGTATTATTTTTTTTTTATTAGTAGGTAGTAATATTGTTTTCTGTACTTTATCACACATTTGACATTGCATGCTTAGGAAGTTTTTCTTAAAATATATTTTAATTTTTAGTGAAATTGTGTTTTAGAAAATTGTGTTCTGTACATTTGATTCTTTGTAGTATTTGATGAAAGACAGGAAGCACGTAGATAAAATATAAGCACGTGCAAGTCCTGTCTAAAAATGTATTGTATTATTTTTTTTATATTAGTAGGTAGTAATATTGTTTTCTGTACTTTATCTCACGTTTGACATTGTATGCTTAGGAAGTTTTGCTTAAAAATATATTTTAATTTTTAGTGAAATTGTGTTTTAGTAAAATTGTGTTCTGTATATTTGATTCTTTGTAGTATTTGATGAAAGATAGGAAGCACGTATATAAAATTTAAGCACGTGCAAGTCCTGTCTAAAAATGTATTATTTTTTTGTATTAGTAGTAATATTGTTTTCTGTACTTTATCGCACGTTTGACATTGCATGCTTAGGAAGTTCTGATTAAAAATATATTTTAGTTTTTAGTGAAATTGTGTCCTGTACATTTGATTCTTTGTAGTATTTGATGAAAGACGGGAAGCACGTAGATAAAATATAAGCACGTGCAAGTCCTGTCTAAAAATGTATTGTATTATTTTTTTTTATATTAGTAGGTAGTAATACTGTTTTCTGTACTTTATCACACGTTTGACATTGCATGCTTAGGAAGTTCTGATTAAAAATATATTTTAATTTTTAGTGAAATTGTATTTTAGTAAAATTTTGTCCTGTACATTTGATTATGTTTGTAGTATTTGATGAAAGATAGGAAGCACGTATATAAAATTTAAGCACGTGCAAGTCCTGTCTAAAAATGTATTATTTTTTTGTATTAGTAGTAATATTGTTTTCTGTACTTTATCGCACGTTTGACATTGCATGCTTAGGAAGTTTTGCTTAAAAATATATTTTAGTTTTTAGTGAAATTGTGTTCTGTACATTTGATTCTGTAGTATTTGATGAAAGACAGGAAGCACGTAGATAAAATATAAGCACGTGCAAGTCCTGTCTAAAAAGTATTGTATTATTTTTTTTATATTAGTAGGTAGTAATATTGTTTTCTGTACTTTATCACACGTTTGACATTGCATGCTTAGGAAGTTCTGATTAAAAATATATTTTAGTTTTTAGTGAAATTGTGTTCTGTACATTTGATTCTGTAGTATTTGATGAAAGACAGGAAGCACGTAGATAAAATATAAGCACGTGCAAGTCCTGTCTAAAAATGTATTGTATTATTTTTTTTTATATTAGTAGATAGTAATATTGTTTTCTGTACTTTATCACACGTTTGACATTGCATGCTTAGGAAGTTCTGATTAAAAATATATTTTAATTTTTAGTGAAATTGTGTTTTAGTAAAATTGTGTTCTGTATATTTGATTCTTTGTAGTATTTGATGAAAGACAGGAAGCACGTAGATAAAATATAAGCACGTGCAAGTCCTGTCTAAAAATGTATTGTATTATTTTTTTTTATATTAGTAGGTAGTAATATTGTTTTCTGTACTTTATCACACGTTTGACATTGCATGCTTAGGAAGTTCTGATTAAAATATATTTTAATTTTTAGTGAAATTGTGTTTTAGTAAAATTGTGTTCTGTATATTTGATTCTTTGTAGTATTTGATGAAAGACAGGAAGCACGTAGATAAAATATAAGCACGTGCAAGTCCTGTCTAAAAATGTATTGTATTATTTTTTTTTATATTAGTAGGTAGTAATATTGTTTTCTGTACTTTATCACACGTTTGACATTGCATGCTTAGGAAGTTCTGATTAAAAATATATTTAATTTTTAGTGAAATTGTGTTCTGTACATTTGATTCTGTAGTATTTGATGAAAGACAGGAAGCACGTAGATAAAATATAAGCACGTGCAAGTCCTGTCTAAAAATGTATTGTATTATTTTTTTTTATATTAGTTAGTAATATTGTTTTCTGTACTTTATCACACGTTTGACATTGCATGCTTAGGAAGTTCTGATTAAAAATATATTTTAATTTTTAGTGAAATTGTGTTTTAGTAAAATTGTGTTTTGTATATTTGATTCTGTAGTATTTGATGAAAGACAGGAAGCACGTAGATAAAATATAAGC